AGGGGTCAAATCAAAGGGGTTAGGTTGGGTTGGGTTGGGTTGCATTTTTTTTGCTTTTTTGGTATTTTAGGGCATTACCAGAAGGGGTTAGGTTAAGTTGGGTGGCATTTAAACAAAAATCGTATTTAAGGAATTTTTGGAAGGGGTTAGGTTGGGTTGGGTTGGGTTGCATTTTTTGCCTTTTTTGGTATTTTAGGGCATTACCAGAAGGGGTTAGGTTGAGTTGGGTGGCATTTTAAAAAAAAATTCGCCTTTAAGGAATTTTCGGAAGGGATTGGGTTGGGTTGCATTAAAAAAATTAAATTAGGACCAAAATCAGATTCTATTGAAAATGCTATAAGAAACATATAAAAAATTATCTGTCTTTTATCTGGTTCCTATCTGTTTAATATAATATATTATGTTTTTGAAACAGGCATTGCACTATTAAACCAGATAGAAGTTTGTACATATAAAAAACGATATTTACATATAGGTCCGTAGGTACATGTAAACCATATAGAAACAATTTCTATATGGATTGCCATATTTAACCATGTAAGAAAACCTATCAGGAAAGACATACCTATAGCACAGAAACCAGATAAATCCATATAAATGACTTTAATTCCATATTTTATCACATCTAGCACAGAAACCAAATAGGTAAATCCATATAAGTTCCTTTAAGTGGTAAATGGAATTCACTATTTAATCATATAGATGTCATAATGTAAACCAGGATGTTTCATATAGGACCTATAAAATCGTATAAAACCGAATTCGTTTCCTTAGTGGTCACTTGGGTATCAGAAAACCAAAACTAGTTTGTATCGATCTAATAATAATTATAATTTACCTTCCTCCTCCCTTTATTACATATATATAATTTTAGTAGATAAACTACCAAAAAACAATTTAATAAAAAAGCTTATTTTTGTATTTAATTTATTAACAAATATGCAGAAAGAAGTTTATTGGGTGTTTTAAAGTTAAATAAATTGATTTCTGCGTCGCAGTGGAGTAAAAACGTTTATTATTGTCTTTAATATCCTCTCAATATTTAACTTTCCAAATGTCCTGGAAGTCACCATTATTCATTTTTAGTATGTCTTGGAAGTAATCAAAAGTCAGTTTTTAGGATATGTCTTGGAAGTCATCAATACTCAGTTCCAAGACCGTCCTGGAAGAAATCATTATACATATGGCACTTCCAAGACCGACCCGGAACACGTCACATGTCTCGGAAACAGTCAATATTCAGTTGTACTTGTCCCGGAACACGTCGACTTACATATATATATATATATATATATATATATATATATATATATATATATATATATATATATATATATATATATATATATATATATATATATATATATATATATATATATATATATATATATATATACATACATATAGTGTAGATTCCATATATATATATATATATATATGGGTCATTTCACGTCAAATTTACCGACAAAATTTAAATTTGCCTGAAATATTTTTTTTTTCGTTTACGACACCAAAAAAAGTGACACGTATTTTTTTGTTTCAAAATTTTATAAATTATGTTAAAGTTACGATTTGTTTTTAATTTCAGTACCAGAAAAAAATAATTTTAAACAGTAGTTTTTGAATAGAATAAGATTTAATAAACTTTAATTTTTTTTGGCTTAATTTTAAGGTTATGCATTGTTTTAAATATTTAAATTAAAAAAAAAAAAATTTTTTTTTTAATTCAATTTTTTTAAGCAAATTTTAAAAATTAATAAAAAAAATGAAAATCGACATTTTTTTTTTAAATTTTTAAAATGTGTATTAACTTGTCAAAGTTTGCAGAACATTGTATAAAAATTTCAGAATGGACCGTTTAATATCGTATGAAATATTAATAATTTTAGATATCCGCGCTCTTAAAATGAAGGCTGTTACAGAGGCATATTTAAGATAAAGCACCATGGGCTATTAAAATTACAATTAGGGATGGGTTAGATTATATTGGATTATATTATATGTATTTTAGAAATAAAATTGCATCAAGGTTGTAATTTTTAATATTGTTTTTTACCATTAAAAACTGATTAATAATTTAAACAAATGTACAACAGTGTGTTAATTCATGGTTAGTTGCACATCGATATTTCATGTGTTAAAAAAATGGGTGCAAACAATTTTTATTTGACAAAATTTTACATTTTTTTATTCAGGAGATGCAATTTACTCCAAAATAAAAAAAAATCATATAAAAATTAAACTCACATTATTATTATTATTTTACAACACAAATTACTTGCTTTTATAATATTTTATTTTATAAAACTAACAGTTTGGAATATTAAACTCGAAGAATACGTTTTTATTTTTAAAAAGTTATTGTCCGCCGGTTCAATGGAATGTATTTTTTGTGTTCCCGTAATGGTTTGACACAATCTAAAACGTTTTTTTTTTAAGTTCTGCGGCTTCATAGTCCTTTTCACTAGTATAAATGACGGATATATTGCTCAAGGAAGAATCCTTTAAAGCCCAATGATAAAACTCAAGAGCTGTTATTATATTATTGCCCTGAAGGCTAGCCTTTCGTGCTTGCCTTTTCAAGGCTCCTCCAGCTCCGTCACAAGGACCTTTTCCGTGGGCTGTGGCTTGATAATGCCAAGTTGCAGAGCGACCAAAGTCTCGCTTATGATTATAAATTGTTGAAAAATGTTTAAAGTTTTTAAATTGTTGTGGTGCTCCATCAGAAAAATAAACAAAATTACGTATTTGTGGGTAAGAGCTAGAAATAAAATTATTAAAAGCTCGCAAAAAAACGTACACTGCTATGGAATCATGTTTTTTGCAATCAGAAATTATGACCAAGGTTTTATGGCTAATGTATCCATTATTAGTAAAATAAAAAACAATTGGAAAAAGTGTGGCCTGGTTGTTATTCCAGTGATAACCTGGAACGGCGTTTTGAATAATAAAAGCATAATTTTCGGCAAAATCACATACAACAAGACTTTGATCGTTCTGTAGATTGTTTTTAATTGATCTGTAATAGCTTGCTTGTTGTTCTGCGATGAAGGAATGTGAAAGAAATTTATAAACAGATGTTAAAAAATTTTGTATGTAAATTTCCACTGGGACTTTTACGGTTTCGAGGGCTGTTCGAGGTTTCGAAATCCATTGTTTATGAGTGATTTTGTTGACGTGGTATTTTTGAATGGCTACTTACGAATGGCACCAACACTATTTTTACTAATGATTTTTCTGCAAGGGGCACATAAAAGATCTGATGAATCCAAAAAATCAAACTTTTTTAACATTAATTTGGACGCCTTTCGCAAATTTGTTTTATTGTTTTTTGCAATATGCGAACTTTTACGTAAAGGGTTACAGCACCGATCAGAAAACTTTTTATTTGCAGGCATTTTTACCAAAGATGAACAAACAATAAATATAATAGAATTACAATTTTAACAAATACGGGGTAAGAACAGATTACTTGTGTGACACCAAAAATCAAACTACATCAAACTCAAGATCAAACTATATGATACGTCAAAAAAATATGATAAAAATATACACGTTGAGACTTTTTTTAGTGTAAAAAAAACTTTTTCTAGAACTAATAAAATATTTAACAATAAAAATCGTCGTAGAGTGGCTTTTACTAAAAGTATATATTTGCAATTCTCTGTCAATTTTATAAATTAATGGTATATTTATCTAATTTTGTTATAAGAAGTGGCAGACATTTATTAAGCAATATTAAACTTAAAATCCAGGGGACAATAAATCAGTTTTATTTTAGAATAAAATATTAAAAAAAAAATTTTAAACTAGGTATTTTATGAAATTTGCTTTATAGGCTTGTGTTTTACTCCTGCCCCCAAAGAAAATAAATAAAGTTTTAATTATTAGCTTATCACTTTAACCATTTTAAGGAATATAATTTTTTATTAATATTGCATTAAAAAATATAAAATGGTAAAATTTCAAATTTCTGTTAGTAATTTTGAATGTTAATCGTCAATATTTTGCGATATCCTAAATATGTCTCTGTAACAGCTTTCATTTTAAGAACGCGGATATCTAAAATTATTAATATTTCATACGATATTAAACGGTCCATTCTGAAATTTTTATACAATGTTCTGCAAACTTTGACAAGTTAATACACATTTTAAAAATTTAAAAAAAAAATGTCGATTTTCATTTTTTTTATTAATTTTTAAAATTTGCTTAAAAAAATTGAATTAAAAAAAAATATTATTTTTTTTTAATTTAAATATTTAAAACAATGCATAACCTTGAAATAATGTCAAAAAAAAATTAAAGTTTATTAAAAATTATTCTATTCAAAAACTAATGTTTAAAATTCTTTTTTTCTGGTACTGAAATTTTAAAAAATCGTAACTTTAACAAAATTCATAAAATTTTGAAACAAAAAAATACGTGTCACTTTTTTTGGTGTCGTAAACGAAAAAAAAAATATTTCAGACAAATTTAAATTTTGACGGTAAATTTGACGTGAAATGACCCATATACATACATATAGTGTAGATTCCACCCAAAATTTGAGGAAAATCTGAGTTGGTGATGAAGTGTACTGTTTGATCTGACGTGAAATGAGCCAGGTGCATAGCACATCCGAAACAAAAGTATAGTGACAAGAAAATGTGGTAATTGTTTGTATAAAAAATACTTATAATGAAGAATAACCGCAAATGCTGCAAATATTTAAAAAAATGCTATAAAACTAGACAAACTCTTCTAAATACAACAGTAAAAAAATAAATATACATGTGCAATAAAAGTTTTATTGAAAAATAGCGTTTTAAATCCGAAAAAGTAATTTTTGTATTTTAATGTAAACTTTATCGTAAAAATGTGTTTTAACGCATTTCTATCCATAAATTTACTACTGTAGTTCAAAAATGCATTTTTGTGAGAAGATATAAACTATTTTACAAATTTCTAAAACTAAAGAAAATGGGTGAGTCTAATAAATTATCCTGTACTGTACTTACTTGTAAATGCATATCTGCGGCTTGACGCACTGAAACTCGTTGTTCTTGCAAGTGGTATTACAACCGACTTCGTCCGACTTATCTTCGCACTGGAACTCCCCGTCGCACTGCATGTTTCCTCTGATGCATTTACCGTCTCCGCACCGGAACTCGCTTTCAGAACAATTCCTCGGCTGGCAACCGAGCTCGTCCGAATTGTCGCCGCAGTCGGTCTCGTAGTCGCACTTCCACCTGCCCGGTATGCACTTGTTGTTGTTGCACTTGAAGTAAGTGGGCTCGCAGGTGTGGTACTCAGGTTGGCTGCAGGTCGCGGGCTCGTCCTCACCTAGAGATGCAAAACACGTTTTTTTTCAGATTAAAAAAACATTTTTCATTTTCTTGTTCAAAACCGCTTCAATTCGCGACTAGTGGAAGAAAGAGGAAATTCCTCGAGCGTGAAGAGTTTTGTAACACGCGAGTGGAGTCTTCTCTTTTGGGCAATAGTCGCACACAATACTTTAATGAACTACCACAAGGAATTTAAAGCCAACTTTATTTGATACTTTAACTGACATCTGACAACTATCAAGTAGTTTTAACCTTACTTTTTACCAATTTTAACTTAACGTCAGTCCGTGGGATAAACCGATATCAATCAATTAAAAAATGGAGTAACTATTTTCAGGGGGGTATAAATCTTACTAAGACTGGTACGATATAAAATTCAAAAAAATATGAAGGTAGGTAGGTGTGTATGTAATACAGGGTGCAGCAAGTTTCCTTTTACCTATGTGTTACTTCTATGGGTATTTTTGTATTTGAAGAGCTACAAGGTGGTTTAATTAGAGAAAACTTGCCTAATAACAAGCCTATTAAAATAAAATTTATAACGTGGAAAAGAGCCAGCGGTTCCCAAATAACTTAAATAAACTAAAAATCTTTCAAAACTAAAAATCGTTATTCATGGGAATTTTGAAAATAGGTAAGTTTTACACATTAATCTACATTTTTAACCCATTTCCTTTTTACTAAATTTTGAGTTACCATCACCATCCTGTATTTTTATAATGGCCGCCATACCTGATGTGCTTTGATACATTGATGGATTCCTTGTTTTTTTTCTATTAAACCATGTAAAATTCCAATATAGCAGCCATAGGAAAAACAAAAGATGGCAACTCAAAATCTACTGGGCGAAAAAAAAAACAGAAATTCACAAGAATAACCAAGTTATAACGATTTTTGGTTTTGACAGGTTTTCAGTTTTTTTGAAATTATTTAAGAACCGCTGATTTTTTTTAAATTTTAATAGACTTGTAATTACGAAACTTTTGTCTAATTTAACCGACTTTGTAGCTCTGCAAATATACCCATACATAGAAGGATACTTGGTGCACACAATTTATTAATAAAGTAAATTATTTTATTATTATTATTATTATTATTATTAGTTAGTTTCAACATAAGAAAATCATAATATATATTATTGAATATTGTAATTAAAATTGTGATATTCAATGCAAATTTCTTAAAATTGCGTAATAAATATTAATTTATTAAATGCAGCAACGAATACTACAAAATGTAAGTTTTTCATTTAAATTTACTATTAGTATTTTTAATAAATTATTTACTTGATTGTAGGGAAGTAAGTTTCCAATGCCAAAAAAAGACAAAAAACGTAAAAATAACCATTTAAAAAACGTTGAAAAAACAAAGAACAAAAGAAGAAAGTTTTTTTACGAAACATCTCTATTCTTACGTTATTTCCCAGTTGGCTTAAAAAAAAAGTTTTTTCACTTGAGTATCATCCAAGTTTTCTGTTTGGTCTAAAAACAAATTTGAACAAACAAAATTTTGATGTCGTTTAACCCTGCCAAAATTTAAAAAATATTCCTTAATATTTGAAGTAATATAGTGTTGCACTATATTGTTTTCATACTGTCAACAAATAATTAAAAAAAAAGATATCAACTAGGTATATGGATGCTTTTTTTACCAAAAAACACTTAATATACTTTTTTTGTAGAGTAAAATTTTCTACAAAAAAAGTCTTGTGTATGTATTGATAAAGGTCTATTTATTATGAATTTATTATTATGTCAATAAAATGAAAAATGAAAACATTTAAGCAAGGCCATAATACACACAACAAGGGTCTGATAGAATAAGGTTTATTTTTTTACAAAAGGGCAGTAAAATGGTTGTCCTTAGCACTTTAAGGCCACAATTAAGGCTTACAAGTGCCTCTGTAAGAAACACAACGTTTAAAACGATTATTAAACAGCACAAACCCAAAGCACAAGAATTGTACACAACAAAAATGGCCGTCGTTAAACCCTGTGCAGTGTTGCAATTTGATAATTTTTTTTCTAAATTGTTTTTAGACTAAGCAAATACCCGGACAACATTCGTGATATTTATACTAACATCATGTCGTGATTTTCAAAAATTTTATTCATACTGATATTATACGGAAGTCACCGCGTGATAAATGAAAATCATACGAACGTCACATCGTGATTTTCACAAATTTTATGTCCGTATGATATGATAAGATATTCCAATATTTAACAAAACGTTCACGTTTTGTTAAACATTAGAATATGTTTTTTAATTGAACCCGGACAACATTAGTGATATTCAAACAACGTTTTATAAATTATAACGGTGTAATGTGAATAACAAACTAGGTTTTAAATTCGCAGTTCGCAGGGCTCATACGCATGCGCAAATTTTGCAAATATCACACCGTGAGTTCTACATGATATCACTGTGTTGAAGCATGTGTATGCACTCAGGACAAATCATTTCTAACTGAGACTGTTTCCATTTCGTGGGGGTAAAGTAGGAGAAATGTTCTCACAGGTTAGCGGGCATTGAGGCGCATGCGTCAGCTGCATTGCCGGTTTTAAAAAAAATAACATATTTTTGTCCCTATTTAAGAAGTATAATAAATACTTTTTAATAAATTGGATGTAAATTGTATGAAAAAAGCATTTAACAATAATAAACTCACAAAATGATGATATTTTAGATTTTATAATGACAATTTTATAAAAGCAAAAATTTGGCAACATCGTATTTTGATCACGATTATAGCCAAAAGATTTTTATGGTAGACATATAAATATGTAGATGGTTATTATAATTATCAATTTTGTTTGTTTTCTGTTGTATACCAAATGTTTTGGCATTGTTTTTTTCCATTGTTTTAACGAGATTTTAGTGGATTTTACATAATATGCATATTATGCCACTTTTTGCTTTTTATAAAGCCAAATCACAAAAATGTTTGTAAGCTTAACCCAGGCTATGGAATCAAATAATTTAGAAAAATTTTATATAACCTAAATTTTGTTTAGTTGACAATTCGTATCATAAATGGACGTATTAATTTCTCTATCTAATGTTATGTGATGTCTATGGTATCATATATTGTAAATCCCCCACTTATGAACTGACTATGCGCATAAAGGAAAATGGCACACTACGAGAACAAATTTCCCCTTAGAAACGGGAACAAGGTCATCTATACAAAATATAGGCAATAAGCGGTATATGTGTGGAAGTATGTGGGGAAGTAACGGATAAAGTAGTGCTCACCCTCCGCGCAGTCCGGATCCCCGTCGCAGCGCCACGCCAGCGGGATGCAGCGCCCCGAGTTGCATCGGAAGTGCTGCGGGCTGCAGCTGCGGTTGCCGCAGTCCTGCTCCTCGTCGGAGTTGTCGGCGCAATCGTTGTCCTTGTCGCACACCCACACGGCCGGTATGCACTTGTCGTTGCTGCACTTGAACTGGGTGGGCGGGCACGTCGCGGGCGGGCAGTCGGCCTCGTCCTCTCCCAGCGGACAGTCCTTGTGTTTGTTGCAACGTTGCTTCGCCGGCACGCAAACGGCGGTGACGTTATCGTTACCGTCGCACCTGAACTGGTTGTTCAGGCAGTTGTAGTGCTTGCAGTCGGCTTCGTCGGAAAAGTCGCCGCAGTCGTTCTTGCCGTTGCACAAATCCGACGGATGTATGCACTGCCCGTTTTTGCACTGGTACTGCCCGGGCATGCACTTGAACGGCGGGCAATTCTCCGGCTCGTCGGAACCGTCCCCGCAATCGTTCTGCGTGTCGCAATGCCACCAAAACGGTATGCATTTGTAACTAGACTTGCACTCAAAGTGCGCAGAAGTGCAATTAGCAATGCAAGTCTTATTATCCCTTCCCAAAATATAATTCTCCGGGCAGGCGCATGTAAAATACGGCGCAGTAGGCGACAGCAAGCACAACGTGGAGCAATTCGCGTTCCCACAAGGATTTTCCGTTTTAGGTTGCTTAAACGGATGCACCACTCTCACGTCCATAGGCCTATGAACTGTGGACAATATAGACTTGCAATTCTCACCCGTATATTTATTGCACCTCTCCACCGATTTCGTCTCCCAATCGGTCCAGTAAACGTAATCCTCCCACACGGCAATAGCGAACACGTGGTGCAACTGCAACTTGGGGTTCCTCTGCCGACTCGTAATAATCTTGATGTTATTCCCCTCTAAATCCGAGACGGCTATGTAATCCTCCCTGGCGTCGGACCAAAACAATTCGTTTGTTTCCAGTGATAGAGTGAGAGCGTTGGGCCAACCCAGGCCCGATTTGATTAGTACTCTGGGGTTCGACACGTCCATGCCGGCTTTACCGATGTGCACGCGCGTACCCCAGTCGCTCCAGTACATGTTACGGTGTTTTGGGTCTAGTACTATAGCTCTTGGTTCTTCCAAGCCCTTCGAGATTAAAACTTTGCGGAAACGACCGTCCAAGCTAGACACTTCGATCGTATCAGACCCCTGAAAATTGAAAATAATTATTCAAATCATTTTTAGTACTAATACATAGACGTAATATGTTCATACTTGTTAAGTACAGGGTATGAAAATATGTTTAAACCTCTGTTTAAACTGATATTTGTTACACCAATTGTACTAAACAAGATTGAGTAAAAAAGATTTTAGGTATCCTGATTAGCATTTGGAAATTTAGTGTTATAAATTTTAGCTGTAACACAATTAGGGTTGCAACTTTTCATGAAAAGTTGAAATTTTTGAAAAGTTGGGTTTTAATTTTCGGAAAAGTTGGAAAAGATGGAAAAGTTGAGTTTTTTGTAATGTAAACGTATAAAACATAAATAATGCTTGTCAATGTATTAAAATAATTTATTTCTTATGTATTTATACATACCTATGTAACAAAATAACAAAAAAAAATCAAACAAAATAAAATGAACAGACAACGTAATAACAAAAATAAACTAGGTTTGAGTTAAAAAAAATCATATTTTTTAAGTAAATATAAAAAAACACATACGAAATAAAAAATAATTACAAAAAAATATGAAGCAAAAATTATTATATTTATTGTTGTTAAAAATTATGGAAATTTACAAGTAAAAATTTAAAAAGAAAATAAAACTTTCTTCTTTTCCACTTTTATATTTTCACTTGCAAATTTCCATAATTAAAAAAAATAATATTTTTTTCATACTGTGTATAAATTTAAAATACGTTATAATAAAACAATCTTTATATAATAGAAAATGCTGTTAGCAGACACCATTTTTGATAAAGTTTGACAGAATGTTATTCCAAAAAACAATGCTTTTAGCACGTTTTACTAAAAACACTTCAAATCTAGCGATTTATATCGAATTTTGACCAAATTATCTACCAAAAAAAATTTATGGTAGTGGAAACACTGGTTAGAAGTCAACTCATTGTTCATTGGCTCCCACCTAATAACTTTTCCAACTTTTCGACCGAACTTTTCCTTGTTTGCAACACTAAACAGCCTTTACTTCAAACTTACATTCGTAAAAAGTCTGGTAAAATTACATTAATTTACATACATTTATACCGCATTTTCATTTGAAATATATACACTCGAGTGAATCCGAAACGTTCTATTCCGTCAATCAGAACAATAACAAACGTTTGAAAATACCTAATAATTTATTATTTTTATTAATTTATTTATTTAATTTGTTTTCAAGAGAATTATTTTATTTTTTATTTTAGTTTTTAAAGAGAATTTTTTATGTTTAAACGTTCTATTCCGTCAATCAGAACAATAAGAAACGTTTGAAAATAATAATTTATTATTTTTATTAATTATTTAATTTATTTAATTTGTTTTCAAGAGAATTATTTTATTTTTTTATTTTAGTTTTTAAAGAGGATGTTTTATGTTTAAACGTTTTTTTTTAAGAAAACACTTTTAGTTAAATGCAAAACAAATAATGAGTTTACACCTTTAATTAATTAATAATATTATTAATTATTTATGCTGATAAAAGTGATTACGTTACATTTTAAGTATCTGAATCATTTTTTATAGTAAATTAACTTAATAATGCGTATTTCGTATTAATAATCCAGAGCAAACTTTGACTATCACCCAAGCAAAAAAAGCTCGAAAAAAGTTGCATTTTTAGTGGCTTAATCATAAAAAAATTGCAAAAATGTCAGTGGCTTAAAAATTTTTGTCATTAATATTCGTTAAGGTGCCTTCCGGGACGTCACTGGACAATTTTAATCTAGTTAAAGAAAAATTAGCTCATTATCAGTATAAATAAAGCTACCAAATTTCAACAAAATTGGGCAAATGATATTTAAAAAAATTCAAAAAGTCCGTTTATATTTTAATGTTTTTTATCTTGAAAGCTAAGCATTTCCGGACCTACGTTATTATAAACTTTTTTCTTATTTTTAGATGACGAATGACCAGCTGAGAATTGGTACATGTTTTTAAACACCCTGTATATGTAAACATATATATAGACATTTATCTGCATTTTTATAATTTGTGATTTTTTCGCCGACTAGATTTTGATTTACCACCACCATCTTTTGTTTGTCCTATGGCTGCCATATTGGAATTTTACATGGTAAGAAAAAGTCAAGGAATCCAACAATGTAACTAAGAAGATTACATTCTATATAATCTTCTTAGATGTACCAATTTGGTACTACCAACTATATAAGTTCTGGCGGCCATTATAAAAACAAATGGTGATGGTAACTTAAAATATGGTAATAAAGAAATTGGATGAAAATGTAGATTAATGCGTATGTTACATGTAAATCTTAGTTTTTTTTTTAATATTTTGAAAACCACTGGATCTTTTCCTATTTATAAATTTAACTTGTAATTACGCAACTTTTCTCTATTTTAACCGGCCTTGTAGCCCACATAAAATGATACTGTATAATATACAGTGTATACCATTAATCTTATTGACTCAACTTGGAGTTAAATATGCCCTTTAAATTTGAAATGTTTATTTTCAAAATGAAATTAGTAATATATAAAACTATTTTTCTAGCCATTCAAAATTTCCTGAATATGTTTCAATTTATTTATTTCTTATTTGTGCTTTCTTTACTTAATTATTCCTTAAAATACAATTATTAAACTTTATTGTAAAACATTTTAACTAAAATTAAGTAAATCAAGTTTTATTTTGTAAAATAAAAAAAGTGAAAATACAATATTCCTATAAAAAAGTCTTAATATGTTTAAGGGTTTCAAAGATAAAAAAGCATATACTCTCTTTTTTTTTAATATAATAAAATAATTATATTATTTAAACTTTTAAGAACATAAAAGAACATTTAAACATTTCAAAAAAATTACATTTAAAAATTTTGAAAATTCATCTGTTAAGAACTGGTTTTTAAGACCCATTGAAAAAAAGTATTCCCGCTGTAGGCAGGATAACTCATGAATCATGAGTCATGATAGCTTTATCCGAAATCCAAAAAACAAATATTTTCTATTAGTATGGATTATGACTAAACAAAGAAGTTAAAAATATGAATTTGAATTTAAATTTTTGGCGTTGTATACCAAAAAGTAATTTGTTTGCATAATTTAGACCATATATTGCTTCTTAAAAAATCCTTTGTTCAGTTATTAGTGAATTAATTGTGTCTAGAAAAAGTGTGTAACATTTCAAGTACTTACATAGAAGTAAAACAAGCATAATAGAAGGGAGTTTCAATTTTTTCCTTAAGTTTTAACCGATTGACTTAAAACTTTGGAATAATATTCTAATTAGGAAAATATTTTTTTGATATTTTAAAACCCATGTTATCCACTCACATTAAAAATGTAATTTGTGATAAAATAATAAGTTTTACCTTATAAAATATTTTTAAATTTAAACAAACCTTTTATGATTAGTATTGTCATACAAATATGCCATTTAATGGCATTAAAAGACCGAAACTTTTAACTCTCGTTGCTGTAACAAATAAAATGTACATACCTTATCACACCAATATAGGTTTCTTCCAACCCAATCCACTGCCAATCCGTCAGGGTTCTGCAAAGTCGACTGATGCAAAACATCCGTCACCGTGATGTTCTTCTTAAAATCGCAAATCCTCTTAATCGAGCTGCCCAGTTGCGTAACATCCGACCAATAAATGCACTGACTGGCCCAATCATAATCCAACGCGACAGCGTTGGTCAAATTGTGCGCCAACAAAGTCGAGTGCCCCAACAAATCGATTTCTCTGATGTAGTATCTGTTGGCCAGTATCAGGTTGGCGTTGTCGGTGGAGTTTGCGCGGCAGGATTTCCCGTCCAAACTGGAGACGTAGTTCGATTCGCAGTAGCAAAGATAGGAGCCGATCGTGTTGTGGCACCCCTGGCTGCAAGGCCGGTCCAAGCACTCATCGATGTCCTTGCACAGCTGCTTGTTTTTGGGGTTCACTTCGTAGCCCGGGTTGCATTTGCACTCGTAGCCGATCGGTTTGTCGACGCAGCTCTGCGCGCACGGCGACGGCCTGGCCGAGCACTCGTTGATCCCGCACTTTATTTCATCGGAGAAATCCCCGCAGTCGTTCTCGCCGTTGCAAACCAGGGTTTCGTTGATGCAAACTTTGTTCTCGCATTTGAACCGATCTTTGCTGCAGTAATCCTCCGAGCACTTTTCTTCGTCGCTGTTGTCGCCGCAATCGTCTTTGCCGTTGCACTTGAGGAGCTCGAGGATGCACTTGCTGTTGTTGCAGCGGAACTCGAACGGGGTGCACGTTTTGTAGCAGTTCGACGTTTCGTCGCTGCCGTCGTTGCAGTCTCTGTCGCCGTCGCAGTAGTTCTCTTGCGCTATGCAGGAACCGTCGTCGCATTGGAACTCTTCCGCGTCGCAAAATTGAGACCCACAGTCTATAAAACAATGGTCAATTTAGTCCAAAGACGTCGAAAGTGTTGGTTTGATTTTTTTCTAAATTAAGTCACTTTAAACAGGGTATCCAGAAAATAGTGCAATACTATATATAGTTTTTTTAAACAAACCAATTACAGTGGCGACTGGTGGATTTTGCATATGCTATATCTCAGTTAGTAGACATGGGACCCACACAAAATTGTTTATTTAGTGTCATTATAAACTAATATAAAGTTCTGCGCAAGCAAAATTTAAATAGAAGTTTGTAAAAAAATATATATATTTTTTAGCAAAAACTATATATAGTTTTTGCTCCGCCTACCCTGCAGCCTGACCCCACGGTGTGCCTGAACGAAGTTTAAGTCACATAAAAATGCCGCCAAAAACTGATTGCCGTTGCTTGTTCAGGACCCTTTGGTGACTTAAAAATAATATTTACCAAAATCCTAGCTGCTCCTCTTTTCGAAATTTTTTGAAAATTCATGATTTTTTTTTTAATTTTTGTTTATTTCAAAGTCTACCCTTGACAGAGTACACATTTGTACACCGATTTTTATAATATTGGCGTATATTATTGAGGAGACTTAAAGAATACTTTTTAATACTGTTCACATCATTTAATATATACAGGGTGAGCCAAAAATCGCTTATTTTTAATAAAGCAAAAGCGTAAATTCATGATTTTGGTATAACACGCAAAAAAGATTTATCCCCATTTTTTTTTAGATATTTCTACGTTTATCAGGTTACTACTAAATGGCATTCTTATTAACCTTTTATAAAAAATAGATTTTTAATAAAATTAAATAAAATAACGCTTACAGAATATTTAAAATGTTGTTTAATTTATGCTTTTTAGTAGTTTTCAATTTTGAACGAAAAACTGGTTAAAGTTTTTTGATCGGCACTCTTTAAAAATTTAAATTAATAAAGATTTAAAAACGATATTTACCAAAATTCTAACTGCTTTTTTTAAATTTGTTAAAAAATAATTTTTTTTTTAATTATTTGTTTATCGCAAAGTCTACCTTTGCCAGAGTACACATTTGTACGATTTTTATTGATTGCAGTTTCTTGTTCGGGACCCTTTGGTAACTTTAAAATGATATTTACCAAAATCCTAGCTGCTCCTCTTTTCGAAATTTTTTGAAAATTCTTATTTTTTTTTTATTTTTGTTTATCTTACCTTTGACAAAGTACACATTTGTACACCGATTTTTATAATATTGGAGTATACTATTAACGAGGCTTGGATAATACTGTTTTCATACTGAGCACATCATTATATTTATACAGGGTTAGCCAAAAATCACTTATATAGTAAAAAGCATAAGGGTTATTCTCAAAATAACTACAATCTTTGCGTGACGTGTGTTTTTTTCTCCCATATTAAAAAAAAATGGTAAAAATAAGTAACATTTTTAAAGTACACAACGTTAACTAACAGTACTTTAAGTAAAAAAAAAATACCGCCCAAAAAACTGATCTGAATAGAGATATTGTCCTTTCCGTGGAACGTGACTATATCGTGTTGGTAAGTTTCAGTTAATGTAGTGAAAAGCCTGCATATTAAAAAAACCTAAAAAATTGCCATTATTATTAAATACCCCAAAAATACATAGATATGGTTCATATTCCGTTTTATTATTTTTAATTTAATATTGTAGTTTAGTCATTTATACGTTACCAGTTTCGATCCATTCCGAGAACTTATTTGTAAGTGCAAAATTTCAAAAGTATTTCGCGCCACTCACGTCAACCGTTAATTTTATGTCATTAAAAAACCTGTCATTTGTTATTTAAGTCGCCCTTGTCAGTTCTTTTTTGAAAGGTTGTAAAGAAGCGTTCATGTTTATGTACGAGGCTCCAGTGTAGAAGCATAGGCTGTCCTTTCTGTTACAATTATATTTCAAACAGTAAGTATTGAATTATTTTTTAATTATTGTCATTATTATTGTCAAAGTTTTTATTTTTGGCACATGACAAATGCGAAGGCATAACCTAAAATTTACCTTTCTTATAGAGAATAATATACATAGATGTCCATTCAGTGGACGTCTTTTCTGTGGACATAATTTACCCATAAATAGAAAAATTAAGGTTTGCATGCAATATCAATCTTATTTTAGTTTAGGATTTAAGTAAAGCTTTACAAAAATGCTCTTGTAATAATATTACCAAACTTTTTAGTATTAAAAAAATAATAAACCGAAAGTGTAGTTAGTTTGAGAATCACCCATAATGCACAAAAAAGATTTATCTCCAAAAAATATTATTTTATTTAATTTTATTCAAAATCAATTTTTCTTATAAAGTCTTAATAAGAATCGCATTTTGTAGCCTGATAAACAAAAAAATATCTAAAAAAATATGGGTGGGTTATGCCAAAATCATAAAGTTACGCTTTTGCTTTATTAAAAGAAGCGATTTTTGGCTAACCCTGTATATATTAAATGATGTGCACAGTATAAAAAAGTATTCTCCAAATATCCTTAACAATATACTACAATATTATAAAAATCGGTGTACAAATGTGTACTCTGTCAAAGGTAGACTTTAAGATAAACAAAAATTTAAAAAAAAATCATGAATTTTCAAAAAGTTTCGAAAAAAGGAGCAGCTAGGATTTTGGTGAATATCATTTTTAAGTCACCAAAGGGTCCCGAACAAGAAACTGCAATCAGTTTTGGCGGCATTTTTATGTGACTTAAACTTCGTTCAGGCACACCGTGACCCCCTGATAAAAATAATACAAATTTTAAAATTTATACAGTAAATCCACATACTCCAGATTTTATCCCATTTTATTTTTTTAATATTTTAGGAAAAGAAATAATCATTTATTTAAAATGGTATAAAATCTGTATATTTAGAATTTTTAAATAAATTTTAAAATTTATCGATAAACTATGGTAAATTATAAATTGCACCACTTAAATTTGTATTACCTTTATTAGGGGGGACAGGCTGCAGGGTAGGCGTATCTTTTTTTAAACAACTTCTATTTAAAATCTGCTTGTGCAGAACTTGTTAATTTAGTGTCATTATGAACTTATATAAATTTGGTGTGGGTCCCATGTCTAATAACTAAGATAATCGTATAAGCAAAATCCACCAGCCACCACTGGTCGAATTATGATGTGAGATGTGCATGACATATTATCAAATATTTGATGACAATTTGTTTAAAAATCAACCTTACTTTGTAAACAGATTTTAATGTCTATTTTTAATACACAAGTGGAAATTTCCTTCTTTTTATTAGGCATAAAAGTTTTATGATTTGATAAAATAGAATTTAATTTTTAAATTCAAATACGTAATATTTTTATATTAAAACCTTATCGTCTAGTAAATATATAATAACGAAAACGTTGTTGTTTTTTTTTGTTGACTTTTCGTGATATAACAGGTTTTTTAAGATTAGGAAGAAAACAAAAGCTAATACAAAATTACGACCTTTAATTCGGATTCAGCGACACAAAATCAATAGATCGGCAAGGAATTACAGTATTGTCATTGATTAATATGTGACTTTTCACTCAACGGTATCGCACTCTGTACTGGCATGGGCGCCGACAGAAAATAATCCAGAGGGGGGGGCAAAAAAAATTACGTGCAATTTCAAGTATTTAGGTAGACATGTTTATGCTTTTTTTATTAAAAAACATAAAAAAAAAACTTTTTTGTTTTTTTAACTATTTTTTTAAACCGCTATAGTAATTCACAATAAAGTATATATATTTTGTTAATAATTAAGTATTTCCATTGAAAACGCATTTAGGTAAATCTTGCTTTTTTCGTTTGATTAAACAACTCAGACCCACATTAAAGCATCTGAAAGTATTTATAAAGTTTATGGTTTTTTGCTTGTAATCAGTTGACTTTCGAGAAAAAAGTAAACACATTTTTTGTGGGGAATTTCTGCACAGATATGTACAATTGGCGTCCCCGAAATGTGAACGGCAAAATTTAATCGTGTAATATGGGCTTTGCATCAGTGTCGTCGGTAGTTGTCAAATTTGATAATAGTTGTCAATTGCAATATTAAAAATGCCACCCCACTTAACCGAGGCTCAGAGGTCCAGGGCAATAGCCAAATTAGAAGAAAATTGGTCTTTAAGTGAAGTAGCTGCAGATTTAAATGTCAGTAAAAGCTGCATATTTTATATCAAAAAACATTGGCAAGAACAACAAAGATTAAGAAGACCTATCAGGCAAGGTGTAGGAAAAATCTCCAACGAAAATGAAGACAATGCTCTTGTCGCACATATTAGGCAAAATCCTTTCAATAGCGCAGTTAAGGCCCGAGAAGATATACAATTTCCAGGATCTCTTCGAACAGCTCAAAAAAGATTGAAACAAGCTGGTTTAAAAAACTGTGCTGCTGCTCATAAGGTTTTTTTAACTGAAGAAAATAAGCGCAGGAGAGTCCAGTTCGCCAATGACTATTTAAATTATGGAGAAGATTTTTGGAATAATGTTATATTTTCGGATGAAAAAACGTTCCAATCTTGCAATAATGGAAGGCTGCGTGTATATCGTCCAAGAAACGCAAGATTTGAGGAGAACTATACATTAAAAACCTCAAATAGTGGACGCTTTTCCATAAATGTTTGGGCGTGGATAAGCATCCATGGTCCGGGAGTATGTTGGGAAATTGATGGTAGATTAACGGCTGAGCACTATACCAGGATTTTGGACAACGTTATGCTACCTTCAGTTAGACATGTGTTTCCAGAAAACTTTATATTTCAACATGTAAGAAAACTGTATAGTATTCAAAAACGATTCTAATAAATATTATATTACAGGACAATGCACCAGTTCACACAGCTCGCGTGGTTACAGAGTGGGTAAACAACAACCACATAACTGTTTTGCCATGGCCAGCTAGAAGCCCTGACTTAAACCCCATTGAAAACGTGTGGGGTTTTATAGTTAAAAATATATATCAACGGGACTTTAGGCCAGCAAACCGAGATGAACTATGGAGTGCTGTTGAAAATTCTTGGGATGAGCTTGCTGATTCATACGACATGCGTGAGCTAATAATGTCCATGCCAAGAAGGTTGCAAAGGGTTGTGGCAGCTAATGGCTCTGCAATTAAGTATTAAAATAGCTTAGCAGCACAGTTTTTTAAGCCAGCTTGTTTCAATCTTTTTTGAGCTGTTCGAAGAGATCCTGGAAATTGTGTATCTTCTCGGGCCTTAAATGCGCTATTGAAAGGATTTTGCCTAATAAGTGCGACAAGAGCATTGTCTTCATTTTCGTTGGAGATTTTACCTACACCTTGCCTGATAGGTCTTCTCAATCTTTGTTGTTTTTGCCAACGTTTTTTGATATAAAATATGCAGCTTTTACTGACATTTAAATCTGCCGCTATTTCACTTAAAAACCAATTTTCTTGAGCAATATGTTAATTTAGTTATGTTATTTTTATTGTGTATTTACCTACTTGTTAATTTATATTGTTGTATAAAACCAAATTAAAGTTAATTTATTTGTTATATTGTTTATATTATTGTTTGTTAAAATATTATTAAAAAAATAGAACGATTTAGGATATTGTTCTTATTCTTAGTATTCTCCCTTCTATATGTAACACCACTGGCCGAAGCCAGGAATGAACGAATAAATTTTATGAAAAAAATCCATGACAACAAAAAATCGTTCACATTTCGGAGACGCCAATTGTACGTATTTATAAATGGTTTAGTCATCAAAATTTTAACAGGAATAATTTTGTTTTAATCTTTAAATATTTTTTAAATTTTAATTGTTTTTGCTAGAAATAAAATGAGTGTTAAACACATATAAATATAAAAATTATATAATTATAAAACCATTAGATACATTTTTAAATTTTAATGACTTTAATTTTGTATAAGAGTCATTAAGGCTCTTTGCCAGTTGTCCCTAACATTTCTTATTAAAAAAATAATAAATTGAGACGGCTAATATAGAACTAGATTCATAAATAAGAACTTAAAATAACCAAAATTCAAATAAATAAAATAGCTGTTTGTGATACATTGCGGAGCGCGGCTATCTCGCGAGAGCGGCAATGTCACTTTGCGCTCGAATTACAAACAGGATTTTTTCTACAACCGGTGTTTCTATAAGAATGTTTGGTAAAAATTAATAATTATTGATAACCTTAAATTTGACATTTGTATCAAAAGTCGCAAATGCACTAAACGTTTCTTTTTTTATGGTTTCCATGGTAACTAAGCGAGCGACAAAGTAAAAAAACGCTCGCTCCTCGGAAAAGTGCAACTTTGCGCTTTATTTTCGAAGCGCAAATTTGTACTTTTCACTTGGTTGTAGAAAAAATATTTTTAATGTCTTAATTAAGGTAAACATTCAATTTTCTTAGTTTCATCAATCTAGATTTCCCACAAAAAATGTATGTATTTTTTTCTAAAGTCAACAGTTTACAAGTTTTTGATAAAATTTTAAATTATATTTTACTGTTAAATAAAATTTGTTTTCTTTGAGAAAGAGGGCCCAAAATGCCACAACTATGCTTGATTGGATTAATAAAAGAAAGTTAAAAAACATAAAATGTATAAAAAAACATCTCAATCAGAGTTTATAGTCAAGATAGGAAAAAAAACGCGTTTTTTTGGAAATTTTACAATGCAAAAATATTCGAAAAAACTTTTTAAGATTAGAAAAAAACTGAGGGAGATTCAGATTTTCGATTTTTTTTATAAAAATGATAACAAGTTGTATAAATAATATTTGGTATAAGAATACAGCTTTTACAAAAAAATTATAAAACTATACAACGTAAGATAATTCAAGTTTATTACCTTGTATTGGGTTTTCATCTGCACCGTCCATGCAATCGTTGTCACCATCGCAAACCCACGTCTTCGGAATGCATTTTCCCGTACTGTTGCACCTAAATTCGTTTTCATTGCAATTAGTTCTGCTGCAATGTTCCGTTTCGTCAGATTGATCTTTGCAATCAGGATGGCCGTCGCATTCCCACGGTTTCGGGATGCACTCGCCATTTTTGCATTTAAATTGTTCGGCTTTGCATTGCACTTCTGAAATAAACAATACGGTTTCGTGTTTGTTTGTTATGTGGATAATTATGTGTTTACTCACTGCAATCGTATTCATCGCTCAAGTCTATGCAGTCAATGGCGCCGTTACATCTGGCCGATAGGGGGATACAGGAAGAATCACCACAGGCGAATTCGTTCGCAGAACAAGAATGATCTAAAGAATTAAATTGGTAATTCAGTTCTAGTTTGTGTTTCTTGAAATTTACTTTACTTGATATCACGGAACACAAAAACCGGTATGCTGATGCGCATGTTATAGTTCTCTCTTGCACCGTGTGACGTCATGTGCGAACCAAAAGCTGGCAGGTAACTGGGTTAGAATGTTATTTGCACTACAAACTCAAGTTATATTCGAAAATTTATATATGGACGGCCTGGGTGCAATTATTAAGTGTAACAAATGTTAAGAAAAAGCTAAATTGGCATCAAGCGCTTTTAATACTAATGTAATATATTTTATGCACGATGACATTATAATATGAAAATTATAACAAAAATTCTTTGACGTAAACGTCTTTTTATAGCCCGCGGGCGTTATTATGACCCAGCGGGCTATAATGACACGTCAAAAATTAAAAACAACAATGTTACACCATTTGATATATTCGAAGTAAGTTTTTTCGTATAAAGATTTTGCAATTTTTCGCCTTTTCAGCTGCTTCCTCAATTTCATTCATCTTTAAACTTTAAAACTGACTGATGTCAGTTGACATTATAATATGACAATTATAACAAAAATTCTTTGACGTAAACGACGCTTTTCTAGCCCTCGCGCTAACGCGCTCGGGCTCGAAATAGCGCCTCGGACCATAAAAACCTTATTATGCAAAAAAGACATGGTAAGAACTTATGCAAGCTGTAAAAAAATATGTAGTTAGGGTGAAAAGTTACCAAAAATTGCCTTTACTTTCATTTTATCCTTTCCCTTGCATTCATCTACTGTGCTGCCAGATCTTTATTTTTTGTAAATCGAAAATATTTAACGTTAGGTTAGGTTTGGTGTTGGAATTTCCGTTTATATTAGCCCGTCTGCAACAGCACAGCGTGGCATATTTTAAATAGTTATTAAGTCCAACAAATATAACAAACTTAATAAATAACCTGGTATAAAACACCCGTGCGTGGCTTATAAATAACTTGTAAATAGTTATTGCTGTTCAATAAATGCAGTAAAACGAAAAACGTTGCAAAACTATCGTGCATGGCTTATGCTTTAAAAAATACAATAATTTCGAAAAAAACTTTTAAATAATCGTAGTAAAACACAGGTGCATAGCGTATGCCCATGCAGAACTCTTTGTAACATTTGAATATGGTTCGCACGTGACGTCACATGCGTGGAGTTGACGAGTTTTCGTTTCATAACCAGCATACCGGTTTTTGCGTATCGTCCTTGCTATAGAAATTTGTTTTAATCGGAAGTAATTAACCAATCAGACCACAGTATTCTCCACTGCTCACTAGATTGCGACAGTGTTTCTTGGTTATTGGTTAATTACTCCCGATAGAAATGACTTGATGTAGAAAGTAAAGTCGCTAATTTCAAGAAGTACACTTAATAAATAACAAAACATACAAATTAAATGAATGCCAAAACTTACTGCAGTGTGTTTCATCGGAGCTCAGCGCATTCGGAGTGGTGGAGTCGTGACAATCATCGTGCCCATCGCATCTGTAATTGTAGTGTATGCAGTGGCCGGAGGCGCATCGGAATTGCGTGTGGTCGCAGGTTTTGTTAAATTTGCAGTTCTCTTCGTCCGAATTGTCCCAACAATCGTCCGAACCGTCGCATATCCAGTTCATGTGTATGCAAGCCGTTGTATGCTTGCAGTTGATAAAGTTGAGGCCGGATATTTCCGTGCAATTTGGCATTGCTAAAATTTAATTTTAAATTCAAAAATATTTCATGCAAGGCAAGAGCTAGGCAAGAAAATGTTTAATTGTACGAATGCGTTTGGGCAAGTGCCGAAACAAAAAGAACCTAGCCACGGCGTACTCTATACCAGGCGGGAGTGTGGTAGTGGTAGGCGTGACGTCAGGAGGCCGACTACAATAAGCAAATTAATGTATAATCGCGGTAATACAAGACAGTTTTATATAAATTATCTATTGTTTTATATGAATTATCGATTGTTTATGTATGTGGACCATCGCATTAGTGCTTTTCTATTGATATCGCTCGATTTAACGTTGATTTAAACATTGCATTAGTTTGCTGCTTTTATAACATTATAAATAAAAAAAAAATTCAAGAAAATGTTGCGTTCCTAAAAGGCAACAGGAAATTTAATGTATAATTGCGGTATGCAAGACAGTTTCATATGAATTATCGATTGTCAGAGCCAGTCAGAAGTTTTTTGCCTCTCTGGACACAGAACACTATTGCCAGCAGAATAAAATTATCTTTTCCCGTCCCCAACTGTCAATTATTAAAATTATCTCATAAAAATATTTCTTATGTTTCTTTTATTTTATGTATAGCCTCCCTGCTTAAAATACCCCATAGAGACCCTGTTCAAACCGATAGATATTTATATTGGGATGTATGGTGTTTCTATAGGGTGTATCGGTTTGTATAGGACCCATAGTTGAGATTTATGGTTGTTCTATAGGGATATCCACCCTTGATTTATTTGCTATCGGTTTCAATAGGGAAAATACACATAAATGTAGAACTTAGTTTTTCCCCTATAGGACCCCATAGGTTTTAATAAAATTTTGTCAAATGTTTTATGGTTGCTCTATAGGGATATCCCTATATATCTTTCATTGAGTTATTTGCTATCGGTCTCTATAGGGAAAATGTAAAATTTATGGTGTGCCTATAGGTAATTTCCTATACATTTTCTATCGGGCCTTATCCGGAAAAAAACATGGACAAATGCACATATTGAATCCGGTAGCGCCCGATAGATTATTTTGTATAGGTCTCTATGGGGTATTTTAAGCAGGGCTAATAAAAGAACATATTTAATAATTTTGATGCCAAAATACTATATTTATATAGTATTTTGGCATCAAAATTATTAAATTTATTCTATAAATTACCTACAATATTTTTTATAAAAACAGTTTTATGATTTGCCCCGTTTGCATGCTTCAAATGGCCCTTTGACATTAGCTAAAGAGACTCGTTAATCTGATTATTTATAGCGCATTTTAAATTATTCGAATGCGCTTATTAACTAATCCAATGCTCAAAGTATTTAAACTAATGCACGCTAAAATCTTACCCTAAAATAATATATTATTAAACTATACTTTCACACAATCAATTAAAATACGTTTATTGAAAATTATTCATCATGAACTTCTGAAAAAAATGATAAACCTCAAAGTATCTCATTCTTCAAGTACCTAATCAAAGATACTTGCATATGTAATAAGCTGTTATTCAACACACTTTCAAGCTTACCGTTGTATTTTTATTTTAATAACAGTTCCATGTTTGTTTTTAAATAAATTACTATTTTAATAGCAGTTCTGTTTGTTCTAAATAAATTACTATTTTAAGAGCATACACAAAAAATAATCACTTACATTAAATATTCAACATTTTTATGGTTATATATAAGCAAATATATTATACTCTTAATTCAAATCATATATAAGTTTACTTGTGTTTATAAATTAAATCTATTTTGCTTTGTTGAAAACTCCTTTTTTAAATATTTAAAACCTTATTATTTCTATATTTAAATACATGAAAATTGAATTGAAGTCATTATTCTTAATAGCACCCAATAGATAAATTAAACTAATTTCTTTATTAAATTAAACTTAACAAAATTAAAATTTATTTTTCCATATTATAAAAATTAGACTACACTTATTTCAAATATACAAATCCAAAACAATCGGTATTTTAAAATTGAAGAATTATTTTTTGTTCTGTTTGTTTTAAACAAATTACTAAGTATTTTAATAGCAGTTCTGTTTGTTTTCAATAAATTACCTAGTACATATTGTTCTGTTTATTTTGATGCATTGTCCACCGTTCAGTAAAAATTACTCCTTAAAAGCAATAATAATCCATAACTTTGATTGCAAAGCAATGTAATACAATAGGCGCGCGTTGATCAGATCGGCCTCCTGGTACGCCGTGACCTAGCCTACCTCTGGTAAATTTTACATTTCATTTGCGTTATTATTTTTTGGTTTAAAAGGTGATAAATCATATTAAAAGTTTAAGTAAAATATTTGTTTTTAAGTTATAAAATCAGATATACATAATTTACTTACGACATCCGATTTCGTCACTTTTATCGCCACAATCAGGATCGTGATCGCACCGCACACTCTTCGGAACGCACTGCCCGTTTTGGCACTGAAAATGCTCGGTCTCGCTGCAAGAACAATTCTGCTCGTCGGAAGAATCCCCGCAGTTATCGATCCCGTTGCAAATCATCTTCTGCAAAACGCATCGCTTATTCTGACACAAAAACCAACCCTGCGGACAGCGCCTCCTCGCGCAATAACCTTCCTCCTCGTCCGATCTGTCAGGGCAATGGTAGAAACCATCGCAAGTCAGCTCGGTCGGTATGCAACTGCCGTCCGAGCACCTAAACTGGTTCGTGCCACATTTGGCCGGCACGTTCGTGAAACATCGGCCGTCCTCGCTCAACACGTGGCCCTCCGAGCATGCGCACTCGACTTTGCCCGAGGGGGATAAACGACACTCGTCCTCGCAACCGCCGTTCATTATCGAACATGGATTCGAGAAGCAGTCGTCGGTGTCGTTGGCAACAGCGACTATACCCATGGGTCTCGAGACATCTCTGCGTAATAAAACAACGTACTGCCCAGTGTATTTGTCCGCTCTCAAGACTGCATGCAGCATCCAATCGGTCCAATAAATAAAATCGCCGTACACAGCCAAAGCAAACGGATGCTGTGGGGTTACTTTTGCAAGCACCACTCTCTTAGTACCATCGTACTCGCATCTTTCAATTTTATCCAATCTCGCATCTGCCCAGTACAACTTCTGCGCCTTGTGATCCAAAGTAATACCATTGGGCATGCGAATGTCGGTTTTAATGATCGTCTCTCTTCGAAAACCCGACAAAAACACCCTTTCAACGCTGGGTTGGTGCGAGTTCCAGTTAGTCCAGAACAATCGGTTGCCGCAGCTGTCGATCGCAATGCCGCGAGGTTTATCCTGCGATCTTAGCCTTACTATAGTTTCAACACTGGATGCGTTTGTCATGTCATCGGATAATTTTACTCTGTTGATTGTGGCTTCGTTATTGCAAGTCCAGTATAGCGCGTTCATTATTTGCTCATACGCTAAACCTTCGACTGAACCTTGCCCTACAAAATACACATTTAATACAATTTTATAATGTTTTGGAGAAAAATATGGGGCGCCGTCATTAATAAATGCTGAAAAATAAATAATTTTTATTGATATACATTTATTTTTATTAAATAGGTATATATTTTTTTACAAATATATTTAATTTTTGTTGAAAATAAATATACAGTGTGTATTAAAACGAATAGATACACTTAAATAAAACAAGTGCCAAACCCCGCCCACTGTGGTAGGAATTTTTATGATAGGCTAGGGTATTGTTTAACTGCTGCTGGTGGTCTATTTGAACATTTAATTTAGAAAAAAAGTTATTTTCGTTATTTTAGAATTATTTTTGTTTGAGAATTTATAGGTTTTATTTTTATCGAATTCGTTTGTTTTTTTTAATGCATTTCTGCAAATAAAAACTAAGTATTGCTTAAAATCCATTAAATTCCAGTTAATGACGAAAATGTATTTCTTAAAAACTATACACATTTCCCTACGACAGCGTCGGAGCTACTGAACAAAACTGCATGCCCTTGTATCTGGCTGCATGCCGCGCTATTGCCATATGCTATTATTATTTTCTAAAAGGTATTTCTTAATATTAAAAGGAAGAAAATTAACCAAATCAAATTTTTGACATATTTTTAATTTTTTTGTTATTTTTAAAGTTTCAAACAAATAAAATTGAACTATTAATTAAATAATTATAATCGTTCTCTTCTGATTTAAAACAACCTGGCAACTATGGTTCGTAATTACGAATGGCTTGGTTTAAACCACGCCCAATTAAAGTTTGTTTCTTTTTCTCTGATCAGAATATAATTTGTCATCCTTGTCTTCAGCCTTACTTACTTGATTCTATACAGTCTGTATATGTATATATATTAGGGTGTGCTCAAAATATTGCAGAATATGTCCAAACAAAAATTCTCTCACAAGCGCAGCCCGTAGTTTAAATTTTAAGAGGTCCTTTATCGAATTTAATTTATTTATTTAATTCCGCCAGCTATATTTTTTTTTATATCAAATAGATAATCTAAACTTATTCAGCATTAAATTTTTGACAAAAATTTCAATGAGTTAAATGGTTATTTTGTAGTACGATCAAAAAAATGTTTTCGATAATTTTTTATTAATAATATTTTTTCAATATTTGACTTTTATCAACTAAACTATTGATGATGCCAGAAAAAAATTAATAAAAAGTTTTAACTAGGTACATAACATTTGCTACAAAATTTTAAGGGCAAGAATTTTTGTCATCAATAGTTAAGTTGTAGGCCTATCAAGTCTTATTATTATTATTTTTCAATTATTTTTGGGGAACCTTATGGAAGTCCATTAAAACTTTATAATACTTTATTTAAAAGAATCGATCATTTGTTTTGATAACTGAAGTTTTATTTTTTGAATAAATGAATGTAAAAAGAAAATCATAAAAAAAGTTATAAGATCGCTAACATATTCAACAACTAATGATATAAAAAGTTTACCATGACTAATTTTGAAAGGAATTGAAATTTTGTAGCAAATGTTAAAAATTTTTATTCATCATTTTGTGCCATAGTTCACTTGATATAAGTCAAAAATTGAAAAAATAAGAGTTTGTGGGGGTTAACTTTTTAAATATAATTAATTAAAAAAATTTAAATACATTTTTTTGGTCGTCAAGCGGACTTTAACATTGCCATTTAACTTTTTGTCCTATCTCCAAAAGTTTAGCTTAAAAATTTAAAACGTGAAATATTCAAAAATTGAAATTTTAAAGCTTTGCAGAAAGTCAAATATTAATGATAGAAATTTTAATCAATTAATTTTTTTGTCAAAAATTTAATAATAAGGTTAATTTATTTATTTTATAACAAAAATTCATAGCTTGAATTAAATAATGTAAAAAATCCTCTTTTCTGTGTTATTTCAAAGGGAAAATTTTAAAGTCAAAGAGGGACCTCTTAAAGTTGAAACTATGGTCTGCGCTTGTAAAAGAATTTTTGTTTGGACATATTCTACAATATTTTGAGCAAAGATTGGAGAAAAAAAATATCGATTTTTTGGCACACCCTAATATATACATACATACATACATATATTTATTTTATATATATTTATTTAAAAAAATATATATATTATAAAAAATTAATATATATGCCTCCATAATAAAAATGTTTTACTTTATTATTTGTCAGGCAATATTAATATTATTTAATTCCCATAAATAGGAAATAATCCCCTAATCTGGCATCACTGTCTTTCTGTTTGCACAGTGAACAATGCCACCTAGCGACCATTCGCATAAGCTCAGTTTATATTTATAAGTTTACTGAAAAATATATATATATTTATTTATAAAAAAAATATATTTAAAAAATTTAATATATTTGCAAAAAATATAAATATTTAATAAAAAATATATATTAAATTATATATATATATATAATTTAATATATATATACATATATGTACTTCAGCATTAATTAATGACACAAACGGCGCCTCATGGAAAAAACTTACTCTCCACTATAATCCTGTGATCACTACCGTTGTAAAACACGGAATTTATGGAACCTTTTTGTATATCAGAATAGAATAAACGTTGATGTTTGTAACTAAACGAAAGACCAATAGCATTTTTCAACAATGTATTATTTTTTATGCTAGGATGTGGTGAGTTTTGCAGATTTTTGTCACTTATCATTTGAATTGATTCAATGCTCACCACTTTTGAGTACATTATAAAGCTTTCAAATGCTAAAAAAACATTATAAATTAGAATTTCATCAGTTAAATTTCTCAACCTCTTATAGTTAGCCTTTTTTGTGGTTGTGAAAGTAATGCGACAATAATAAAAAAATATTTACCTTCACAATTCTTTCCATTAGAAGTAAGCCTGCCATGTGAACACAAGCATACAGGGTGAGTGCTGTTAAACAAGCAAAGTTGTTCACATCCTCCGTTATTTTTAGCGCAGGGGTTTGTTCCTCCCTGTTTTTTCTTGGAATAAATTTGTATATCCTTAATGGAATCGCCTAAATCATGCTGCAAAACCGTATAATCTGACAAATTATACACTAAAGCTACCTTAATGCTGCCACGTTTATGTGTACTAAAAAATTAAATAAAACGTTTAGATTATATTTGATTAAATTTTTGTAACTTACGTATCAATCCAATACATTTTGTCATCGATCACAGTTAAAGCTACCGGGTTTTCCAGGGAACTGTTAAGTAGGACGGAAAATTCACTGCCATCATATTTAATTCTTCCGATAGAATTGCTGCCGGAATCACAGAAATAAACAAATTCCATTTGGGAATCTAACGTAATGTCGGATATAGACACTTGATTATCCAACAGTAACTTTCTATTTTGGCCGTCCATTGTGGCGATTTCGATTTTGGGACCGCTCGCCCAAATCAGGTAGCCTTTAATGGGATCCACTACCAAGGAAGTGGGTTTACCGATGTCGTTTGACAGTAGAACGTGCTGTTTGGTACCGTCAACGCCGGCCACTTCAATTACTCCCCGCTTGGAGTCGCACCAGAACATATTTTTGCCTATCCAATCAACGGCGAGGCCTGTAAATAGAGATGTAAAAAAACGTTTTTTTCGTTTTTTTTTCAAATGCGCTACAATAAAGCATATTCTGTCAATAAATAACATCAATCTTAAAAAATTGAGTATTTTTCAATTTGAAATTTTGAGCAAAATGTATATTAATAATAAAAGAAAATAGGTACTGCAAAAGCGGCCTAACTGAAAAAAATCATTTTGTGTTTTTATCTTTAAATATTCCTATTATTGAGTGAACTAGCCTAATAAAGTCTGTTTTAATAAGAAGATTAGTTACTACTATATTAAAATACTTTATAATAGGAATGTTTTAAGATAAAAAAAACAAAATATTTTTTTAGTTAGGCTTTTGCAGTATACGCCTCAAACTTGTATATTACATTTTCCATTATTAAAAATTTTAAATGAGACTAAAAAATTTGATTTCTTATTGTTTGGTACTTCACACATAAGAAACCAATAACAATGTAAAAAAACTTCTTGAAGTCTATTATACAGTAGGACAAAATTTTATTTTTCCCTCCCATGAAAAATTTCTATAGATTTTGAAAATAGACTTAAAAAAATGATACCCTTGTCTCGGCGTTTTTCAGATCACGTCATTTTTTTAAGTGCGATCCAATAAAATGTTATCCACCGTATTCGGCACATAATATAAATGGTTTCGATAACAGCTATAGACAGTATATTTTTATGAAAAATTTATTCACTGAATAAATGGACAACCATTAAGATTATTTATTTATTTTAAAATTATTTTAATTATATGCAGGGTGTTGCACATTTACGAAATACTGGTGTTTCACGTTTGTGGTCCATTGAGAGTTTCTGAGGAACGGCAAAAGATATCGATTTGAAATTTTTAAAGCCTATTTTCTAAAATATTTTAAACAAAATGCCACTTCCGGCTTGACCGGAAGTGACATCAACTTTGTTATTTTAAATGGAACACCCCATATATTTTTAAATTTCTAAATTCTACATAAAATTTTGAGTAAAATTTCTGTACCATGTCCTTTACCTAGAGTAAATAAATTTGGAGTTTTGGATTTTTTCCGTTAAAATATGACAAATGCGCGTCAATCAAAAATAGCCTATAACTTTCTTGCTATTAGGTTTGCAGAAATGCGGGTGGAATTTTTGGAATCTTAAAACGTTTAAAAGATTCCATGTCAATTTCTTAACATACCGGGTCCACATTTAAAATAAAAAAGATATTAACGTTTTAAGTTAGCCCAATTTGCCATGGGGTTTTTTGGGTAATTTGTTGAAAAATGTTGAAAAAATTGGCATCGAATTTTTTAAACAATGTTTTAAGATTCCAAACATTATACCCCCATATCAGTAAACCTTATAGCAAACATCTAGAAAACTATTCACTTTAGGTATTGGACATGGTATAATAATTTTACTCAGAATTTTATGTAGAATTTAAAAATGTAAAAATATATGGGGTGTTCTGCTTGAAATAACAAAGTTGATGTCACTTCTGGTCAAACCGGAAGTTGCTTTTTGTTCAAAATATTTCAAATCTATATTTTTTTCGTTCTCCAGAAACTTCCAATGGACAACGAATGTGAAACAACCTGTATATCAAGTGGTGTTTTTAGGTTGTGCTACCACTATAGATTCGAGAGCAATGTATAATCGTCAAACTAAAAGATCAAGATTTGTTTCCAACATATATTTAATATAAGATAAATACAAATCTGTTATTTATTAAAAAAAATCAAAAACTAAAACAAAAATATGTTTTCTTTTTTGTATTATGTAAAAACATAAAATATTTCAGTTGGCTCTTGACACTCGAAGCGGTCGGAGGCGTCGAGCTAGATTCCTTCTAAGTAGCGTATACGATACAAACGTAAAGTACCAAAAACGAAACATAGTATCCGGAAATATCGGTAATCGTTAATAAATAAATAAATAAATAAACAAATAAGTGCAAGAAGTGCAACAAGGGCGAAAATTCCGAGATAACGCCGTAAAAGTGTGCAAGTGAATAAGTAATTAAGGCTAGGCCACAACGATGTCAACCGGCACACCTGGATCAGAGCGTCTCAAAACCTGCAGGAGAAGGATCAAAGGACACCCCGCGAAAGACAAAGCATCAGGATTATAGCCTAATAATCAAGCTAAGTAATTTTTCTAATTGCATGTTTTACCGTATTTACCGTATAATCGTTAAATGTTTATATAAGCATTTCACATGTTGCCAAAAAATCTGAAAAGAATTCTTTTTATGTCATAAAAACTAAATTTAAAAAAAAAGTAAGAATATCCGTAATTGTTAAATAAACAACCTCATTTTCTCATAGTAGACAAACATAAACAACCATTGAAAAAGGCGTAAGAGTAAATAAACTAAATCAAGCAAGAAGACAAAATTCATCATAAAAAAGTGTTGTGTTTGAATAAGTAATACTGTATATGCATTTAGGGTCACAGCCATAAATCAAACCTAAAGATGATAAGAACTCAATAGCCAATAACGTAAATAAACCATCTATTAAAGCATACGTTACACGCCTGACTAAGACCGAACTTCAAAAATTAATACGATACACCACAGGGCCGGCTCTATCTATTTCGTGAATTAATATTTTTAGGTTAGATTTGGAATAAAGTAAGAATGCAAAGATACAAAATAAATAATAATAAACGGTAATCACTAATTTAACAACAAAATAAATAGTTCACCAACAAGGGCAGCGTACTGACACCCCGGCTCAAAATAGAAGAACAGCACAGAAGAAAAGAAGAATGATCCTATCAATAGTCAATGCAGACCATTTGGTGGCATTCCACCACAAACACTACAGGGCCGGTTATCTATTTTGTATATTAACATTTATATTTTAAAATTAAATTTGAAAAAAAAAAGTAAGAATGCAAAGACATAAATTAAACTAAAACGGTATAAACACTAATTTAGCAATAAAATAAATAAAGAATATACAAGGTTGGTAGCCGGAGTAAGCAAAAAACTAACATACCCACCCCCCATTCACGAATACCAATTGAATGGGGTTACTACTAAGGCCTAGGTTCAGGAGGATTCCGGATTGTACTTAGTTTTGGGTCAGTTCAATGTCCTCCAAAAACCCTTCCTAAACTGGACGTATGGCCCGACCCGGCTGACAAAAATCCCGGGAGCGGCCTTAACCTTTGACATCGTCATCCACGAACTCCTAGGGTGGATCTACCAGCCGGCGTAAAAACTTCGGATCCAACAAACACAGGTAATGCTGTGATTTGGCGGGATACGCAGGCGAACGGAAAGGGGGTAAAATAACCCCGGGAGATCAGTGGATGATAATATATCTGTGGCCTGCCATACGTTCCCATACTCATACTCATATTCATGTAAAAACATAAAATATTTGAAGAAAAAAAAATGATTTATAACAAAATAGAGAATTAAAAATCTGTTTAGGTTAAAATAATAAGAATGGATGCCTAAAATATTAAATGACGTCATTTCGTGAAACGATGAGACACGGGTACGTTTTTTAACCTTTATTTTTAAAATCTGTTAAAATTTTTCATGGGAGGAAAATAGTGTTGTACTGTGTTATAGGTAAGACAAAATCGAAACAAACCCTTATTGGTCAATTCGATGGTGCATAACACGTGACTGTATTTATATTTACTAAATGTCATTTAGTCACTAAATTTTAATGGCTACATTTTAGTCTATGAACTGGACTGGAAACATAAAAAATTAGACAAATGAAACTAATCTTGAAAAAAAAACATTTTATAAAAATAACCGTTTGAAAAAAAAAACATTAAAAAAACCTGAAAAAAACGGTTAGTTTTTTTTCAAGCCACATCTTTACCTGTAAGCCAATCCACAGGTCCATTGTCCAACACCGTCTGCTCAAGGATCTGTTTTCTATTGGTACCGTCTCGTTTTATTCTGGTCACGGTACCATGATCGCTATCCGCCCAATAGATGGTGTCTTCTTCCACGTCAAAGTCTATGGAGGTTGCGCTGAGCACCCGCGATATCGGACCCAAGACTTGCGTTTCATTACTACCGTCCAAAGCGAGACCTTGCAACTCCCAGTTGAGGGAGTAGTAGATGAACTCGTCCACCCCTACACATCTCGAGAAGTTCTTCGGAACTCTGCTGTACCCAGTGGCGCATTTACAAGCGTAACCGTTGTAGGAGGTCGGCAAGCACAAATGCTCGCAACCGCCCTTGTTCAGTTGGCACGGATGGAAACCTTTCTGTTCCGACGGATCGTAGATTCTTAGCGCCAAAACGCCGCCGGTGCCGTTCCTGAGCAGGGTATCGTCAGCTCCCGTCGTTTTATCGGCCAGTCTGATCGACAGATCCTCGTTATCGTCGGCGTAGTAAACCTTTCCTTTGTACACGGTTAAGGCGGATATAACGTGCGATACGAGGTTCAACTTGGTAACGCCTGTACCGTCAAATTCGCTGTAGAATATTTCAAACCCACTTATCCAATACAATCGGTTGGAATCCAAGTCGACAGTCAAACTTTTCGAGCTCGTTTTTAAATCCCTCCCGATTATTTTACGCGAGCTGCCGTCCATCAGCATACTTTCCAAGTTTGCGGACGTAAAGTTGAGCGAGGTTATGAAAAATAAGAAACCCTGATGCGGGTTGACGGCTATAGACAAAATATCCTCGTTCTGAATCAAAGTGGCACTGTATTCGCCCTCTAGATTGCAAACTGTTATGCCGGAAGCCGACGAAACGAACATCAGATGCGATATCCAATCGATCGCGATACCGGAGGGATTGTGCAGGCCCGTGGTGTCGATCAGGATTTCCGACGGTCCTGATGTGAGGCCGGATCTTTTTATTTCGTTTATGTGCGAGTCGGCCCAGTACAGCATGCTCAAGGACGCCACGTACTCCAACTGGACCGGATTGAGAACTTGGGGGACGCTTATTGTGGGGATTGTGTGATAGTAAGGTTGCTGGATGTCGACGCCTCTTATCTCGCTGCTTCTTGCGATCAAAAGAACCTTCTCGTTCTCTGAAACAAGATTTACACGTTGTAAATAAGGTTGCAAGGTTAGTGGAGGCACACTTAAAACTAAAGCGCGGTGACAAGGTAGAAGGTCAGTTCCTACAATATGGTCTCTACTCTTCTTAAGTAGTAAAATCCATCTTACCAATTCGTTTGTTTTATGGTAAAACCATAGTATAAGGACCTTATACTGTGGAAAACTATGTTTAATACTTATTTTTAAATACTTTTTGATTTTAAATTATATTTGTACCTTCTAAAATGTGTTTTTTAAATGTGCAACCCTGGATTAACGGGGGGCTTTGGCGGCTATAGCCCCAGGCCACGATAATCACAGGGCCGCTGACACCTTAGTATTTAAAAGTTACATTAATAATACACATTATATTACCTAGGTATGTATATCCAGATAAAATAAAACATTAACTAATATATTTTTATCAAAAACCTCCCTAAATATAATTTATGTTTAGTAGGCAGTTAAATACCGCCGTAACTGCATATTTTTAATTTTTGATTTTATGGCAATATTTTACTGCTCAAGTTGGACTTTGAAATAAAAAACACCCACAATGGAATAAGTTTTAAAATATAGCATGCCACTTATTCGCTTGTTTTACAATTTATTAGGTGACCCTGTATGTAAAGAAGATAAAATAAATGAATAGATACTGTGAGTTATATTTATGTTGTTTTTTGTTTGCTTTTTATAAACCTGAGCGTGCGAACTACTAAACACTGATATTTGGATTTTTTCTTTTCCAATTTTTTACTAAATTTAAAATAAATATCTAAATAATTAAATATTATCAATACTAAAATAGTTATTTATGTCATTAGGTTAAGAAGTAAGGCTTTTTGTGCTAAGCTCAAGGTTTGAAGGCCGACGCGTAGCGGAGGCTTACAATTGAGCGAAGCACAAAAAGGCACTTCTTGGAGGAATGGCATACAACATTTTATCTTCAAAGCACTTTATAAAGGTCAATTTAATTCAACATCAAAGCGGCCTAACCTCACTTTTTTAGAATCTCATTTATATATTAGCTAAAGATTACATTAAATGTACAATAATTATTATTGCTTTTAGAAGCAGTAATAGTTTGACAATACCTAGCAACATGATTTAAGTAGAAATGGATTTTTGCTATTACATTGAATTCAATTAATTTTTTAATAAATAGGTAGGTATCTAATTTCAATTTGTTTTGATTTTTATTTTAAAAATAGGTAGTTTCTGATGTTTAAGCTATGTTTAACATTTAATTTCACTGAAAACTTAAAGCAAATTAAAACTTAAAGATAATTTAAATCGTAGAAAAAGAATAGTGCGTTTTCTTGGTTGCCTAACCTCACTTTTTGTTTTATTATTTATATTTAATTTTACAATAATTTAATGAAAAATATTAAACATTAACAGTAAAACAAACAAATTAGTGCTTATTATAAATAAATTAAACCAGTTTAGTACGTTAATTTCTTAGAAAATGATTAATTTGTCAAAACAATACCCCTAGCGAGAAAACATCGAACTAATTACTTGCCTCAAAAATTTTTATCGGCCTAGGCCATAACAAGGTATTTCTTTATCAAATGTTGACAACAAAAAAGTTTAAATTATAGACCGCGTGGAGATAAATGTATTTTAATAAAGAACTTTATCAATCAGGCCCCGTAAAAGTGTAAGACATTTAAAAATATGTGTAAAAAGTGTCAAAAACTGATATTGTACTTACCCACACAGGTCTTGTTGTCCGTACTAAGCCGCATAATATGAGGACAATCGCACCTATAAGTGTGATTCAAATGCAGCAAACACAAATGCGAACACCCTGCATTATTCTTCCCGCACGGATTGACGCCATCAGTTGGATGCCGACTCGGGTGCATCACCTTAATATCGAACGGTTGCGTCAGCGTTTTCTGCACCACTTTGACATCACCCCCTGTCCACTTGTTAGCTCTAACGACGCTATTGGTGCGCCAATCCGTCCAATAGACGTAGTTTTCGAAGAGAGTGATGGCGAACGGGTGCGAGAGCAGCTCGTGGTTGGACATCACTTCGTGGTGATCACTTCCGTCGTACTTCGTGGTGTGAATCGAATCGGATTTGGCGTCTATCCAATATATTCTCCTCGAATCGTAGTCGAGAGTTAAGCCGTTAGCCCAGCCGCCGCTTCCGTCTTCGTCAACTCTCACGACAATCTCCCGGTTCAGGCCGGCCAATGAGCACCTCTCGATTCTCGGCAAAGATTTTTCCCAGTCCGTCCAAAACAATAAACCGTCTCTGGGATCTACGGCGATGGCTCGAGGGCTTTCCATATCGCCGGCAACCAAGGTGCGCCGGAAACTTCCATTCAACTTTGCCACTTCGATTTGATCCAAGTTGCTCTCGATCCAATATAAATTTTCCCCGATCCAATCGACGGCCAGACCCTCTGCGCGGGAGAGGCCTGTTTGGACCACTGCCTCTATGTTGCCTATGAAGCCGCCTATGATGGTACCTCTGTATATTTTGTCGTCCATAATGTCAGTCCAGAAAACCTAGAATAACATGTCAAATCAAAAAGAGTATAGGTAATTGATTTCTGTGTACAATGAGTATAATTTTTGTAGTCTAGTCAAACGCCAAAATGGGCACAAGGTCTGCATTAAATGCAAACGTTTTCATACTTGTAGTTGATACCATGACGACCCTTTTTCTTCTCTTTAATAAACTCGCAAGGGTGGCTGGCAACTTGATATTTAGGGGTAAGTCTAAATAATTCTGTAAATATGTCATGGCCCCAAGGCCTCTACCCAAGATACTGCTTAATTACGTCTCTTGATGAATGTTTTTAAATCTCTAACGTGCTTTTTAATTATCTGCTGCTAAAATGCTTGTTTTCCGATGCTGTTTGATGTTAACTTGCTCTATTTTTTGTTTAACTTGTTGTTTTTGTGTTCGGTAAGGTTAGAATTACTTTTCAGTATTCAAATTATTGTTATTGCGTTGTGTTAACCTGTTCTGTTTGTTTATTATTGTTTTTGTGTTGCGTTAACTTGTTTTGTTTGTGTTTTATTTTGTGTCGTGCCATTTGCATTTATTAAAATGCGGTGTGGCATATTTGGATGCAATTTGGACAACCAGTCCAAGAAAAACCCGTTAAATAAAAACATTAAATTTAATTGATTTGATTTGTGAAAACAGTGTTTAAATACCACAAAAAGAATAGACAATATTAAAGTTAAGGCCGCTTCTGTTTCCTATAAACTTTTCTGGACAGTGACTATAAGTTTAATTTAAAACACCAACACTTTCTTCAATATTAAGTTTAATAAAAACGCACTAGGTCCAGATATTTCTCTATTTTCTTTGATAATATTACTATTATTCGTGTATTCTCACGGCAACTACTCATCAAGTGACGTCATGCGCGGGACAAACCAAAACTCGTACACGGGAGCATCCAGCCCTGGCCTCTACCAGTCTAAATAAAAGTGGCAGTAATGTCTTTATTGGTCAGTGATCAGTTCGGCATAAAGTATTAAAACTTGTGAAAACTGTTTTTTTAATACCAAAACTTGTTTGAAACTTTTTTCATTTCATTAATTAATACAAATTATAAACATCTAAACATGAACAAGGGTAATTTTTTTTTGTATTTTCCAGCTGAACCTTGCATCTGAGGTCATAAATGCTTAAAACAAAACTCTAGCTCTTAAAATTATCTATAACTTTCATGTATCATATATTTTCCAATTCATGGTTCAAACGTTATTTGAAATTTTAAATGAGAATGTTATTTAGACGTTTGTGATATATCGTAATTGATATAAAAATTTTTAGTTGAATGATTTGCGTTAAAAAATAAAATTTATAACATAACATGTATTACAAAATGTCACCAAAAGCAAAATTGTTTGATCTTTTTTACAATCCATGTAATATTTGTTCTATCCATTTGTTTTTAATAAACCCATTGATGAAAAATTATGATTATTATTATTATAACATTTAAAATACAATTTATTAAGGGACAATAGAAGGTGCGGCAAATTATCCGAAACAATAGGAGGTGAGAGTCGCGCGACTCGACTTGAGGCGCCCTCTGTGACCATACCAAATGTGCTTGAAAATTATATTATACATGAAAATTATAGAGAGTTTTAAGAGCTTTAAGTTTTGTTTTAGGCATTTAGGATCTCAGGTACAAGGTTTAGCTAAAAAATACAAAAAAAAAACGTTTTTAATTTGTAAAAATTGCATAAAAATATGCATTAAACACAAATTTTTAAATTTAATAAAAGATATTTAATTCTTTTAAAAGTAATTCAATCCATGCACAAATTAGTAAATTAAGTATTAGTAGTAGAAAAAGCGTTTGTAGTAGAAGTAATATAATACTTCCTTACAGGAAATGGTCGGAAGAACCTCCTAGAAGCGGGTGACTATATAAGTGAGTTGTAATTAGGGTTTTAAAATTTCCAAAAAAATTGAGCTGGCGAAAAAAACGGAAAAGTTGGAAAATTTTCAGAAAAATTGATTTTTTAAAAATTTTATTCAAAGAGTAATACAAAAAATGCAAAAGTCAATTTCCAAAAAAGTGAATTTCCGACGCTGATTTTAATCATAATATTATAATTTTAATAATTATACCTTTTATTCAGTAAGAATATTCTACCGTTCCGCAATAAAATATATTTGGTGCTGTATTAATATATATAATAACTTTTATTTGAAACTTTGATTTATAAAATTATAAATTTTTGTGATTTAACTTTATTCATTATTTTGTACACTGCCCGTCAAAATTAACGCATAATAAGTAAAAAAATTCTGACTCTAAAACGCCTTTCCCAATCTTTATGAAATTTTGTATAAAAATACTTCAACTCAGTTTACGTGTTCAAGGCTTCTTCAAAAAAATATTTTTTTAACGATGTGGCTCCCGTCCCGAGGCGGGACTTAAGTTCAGTCCCGATTGACGTCATAATTTTAAGATTTGTTATGTTATAATAAAATAATAATAATAATAAATTGTACCTGTATACATGTTAAGGGCACTTTAGTTACGTCATAAAACCAAACCAACCCAAACTCAACAACACAACCCAACCGACCCCGCCCCATTGGGCCCCCCCCCGCCCCATTGAGCAAAAAACCCAACTAAAATGGGCAAATTTATGTTACGATAAAAATAAAACACTTTTTAACAAAGAAACAACAAATTTATAAAATAAAAAAAGTTTGACAACTTCTAGTGGGATCGAACCCGGTACCTCTCGCATGCCAAGCGACCGCCCTACCATCTAAGCCATCGAGCTTGACACAAATTATAAAATCTCGCGGAATAAAAACGGATTTACAGTGTGTGACGTCAATCGGGACTGAACTTAAGTCCCGCCTCGGGACGGGAGCCACATCGTTTTTTTAAAGCCCTTTAATTAAATAATAAAAAAACGTTCTAAAAATAACTTTTAGAGAATTTTTTTTAAGTAAATTAAAAATATGGTGTTAAAGACCGTATTTTTTTTTAGTATAGGTACCCTAAAAATGTTGTACAAATCAAACGAACAGTAACAAAGATACAGCGCTTCAAAGTCGGTAAAAATTCCCCCTTTTTGATTATTTTGCTAAAAAATGGTGATTTTAGACGACTTTGAAGCGCTGTATTTTCGTTACTGTTTGTTTGATTTGTACAACATTTTCAGGGTTTACTAACAAAAATACGGTCTTTTACAGGATATTTTTTATTTACTTAAAAAAAAAATTTCCCCATAAAAGTTTTTTTCGAGCGAATTTTATTATTAAATAAAAGGGCTTTAAGGATATTTTCTCGAAAAACCCTGGAACACGTAAACTGAGATATAAGTTAAAGTATTTTTATCCAAAATTTTATAAAGATTGGTAAAGGCGTTTTAGAGTTGGATTTTTTTTACTTGTTATGCGTTAATTTAGACGCGCCGTGTAGTTTGATATTTTAAATGGAGTTCTTTTTGCAATAAATCAATTTAATTCAATTTAATGTTTAATTTTATTTTTTTTGTTCTAAAGTATATTTTTTTAAATTAAAATAATGTTAAGTTGTTCATTGCTACTTTTTTTCAAATGTGTATATTTTCCAAAAAAAAAAACAATTTTCCAAAAAAAGCCAATTTTTCCAAGGCCTATGAAAAAACGAAAAAAAAAACAGATTTTTTCCCCATTCTTTTCGACACTTTAAAACCGTAGTTGTTATATCAGTTAGATAGACGTGTTAAGGAAATATAAAGTGACAGTTAGTGAAAAGTGATTATTATAAAGGGCTGATCCTTGTAACTGTAACAATAATATGAATCATACCTAAAAAATCAGGGGAAAACTTTTAATTCATTTTCGCTCATTTGACATTTTTGAGTAAAATCATAATAATCAAGAAATACCACAATACATTAAATACATTAAATTTTAAATATTGTTCCTGTAAATTGTGAAGAACCCATTTATGTAATATTATCGAATATTATTATCATTTTATAAGAATATTAAACCAAATTTTGGTTTAAACTGACAACAATATTATAACATAAATAGGTTCTTCCCAATTTACAGAAACAATATTTGAATGAACTGAAGTTAACAGAGTTTTCCTTCTATTAGACTGTAAAATGTTGAAATCTCAGGATTTAAGTAATATTGTTTTATACGATATTTCGTAAAATCTAATACTAATAAAAGTAAAACTTACCATGTCATTTTCTGGGGTATGATGAAAATCCAGAGTAATGGTATTCTTCAAGTTGGAAATAAACGACTTCAACCCAAAACTGTGCAACTGTATCCCCCTCAACTCGTGCCTGTTGCTAAAAATAACGTACGGCGTACCGGGATCCGTGCTCTTGCAAGTAAACCCGTCTTTCTGCAAGACATAACCGTGCTGACAAGTACATTTGTACCGCGAACCTCTGGGGGTGCATTTCTGCGAACAAACGCCCCAGGCTTCGCAAGGGTGCGTCTCCAAGCAAGTCGATCTGTCCGCTTGCAGGTGCAAATGCGACGGGCAAGAGCAAATCAACCCGTCCGGGGAGTTGTGACAGTTGTGCGAGCACGCGTAGCTGTGATCGCACAGCCGCTCGACGCATCTGATGCCCTCGTCCGATCCATCGACGCAATCCTCGACTTCGTCGCACAGTTGATCCGTCGATATGCACTTCGTGTCGTTGTCGCAAAGTCTGTTCGGGTACTCGCAATTGAAGGCGATCGTTTTGTTGTTTGTGCGCTTGCATATGACGCTTTCGTCGGAGTGATCGAGGCAGTCTTGCTTGTTGTCGCACAGCTGAGACGGCGTCAGGCATTTGGTTTGATTGTCGCAGGTTATGTTGGGGGCGACGCAGTGAAAATTTTTGTGCTGCGTTACGTTTTTTATCTTCGTGGGATCGCAGTTCATTTCGTCCGAACCGTCCAGGCAGTCTACAGTTGCGTCGCAGAAAAACATCTGGAATAGAATGAATGAAAACAATAAAATTTATGATGAAAAGCACAATGTTTTAGGCAAAATCATCGCAATTTACGTTAACATTTGCGAACAAGTTGATACTAAACATAAACTTTTCATTGTCTTTGGGTTCATAAAGAAAACATAAGGTTTGCTTTTGTAGTGGTGGTAGTAATACAAATTTCATAGAAAGAGTAAATAATTTTTGTATATCAAACCTTTGAAAGTTAACCACCAGACGGTTCCAAAAAGTTTCCACAATAACAGTTAATTCTAAAATTACTATTGGATATTTTTTAATTTTGTTTGTGTTTTTATCCTATATCAAAAACGTTAAATGGCCATGGTTTGCAGGATGTTTCTATGCTCATTTCGATAAATTTAAAATCAACATTTGAGCGTACTAAGATACAGAAAGTTTCTATTATGGCCTTATGGACTTTTCAAATACGCTATAATGAAAATATAGCGACTATATTTGGGGTTGAACAAGAGAAATCAACATAACAAACAGTACTTTTAAACTTATGTAAAATATTTTATAAGCCAATAAAATAGTAGAAGTTAAAAAAGTTTTTATTAACTTCAACTATTTTATTAGCTTTTATTATATTTTTTGTCGGAGAAATTTAATTAAACCTATCGATTATACCCTTATATTTTAAATTCATGCTGACTATTTTATTGTTTTTTTCTTTTTCGAATTAGGTTCCTGATACAATATTATCGCCGACGGTGGACTAGTGGTTAGTGCTGCTGACTACAAGCCGGAGGTCGTGGGTTCGAATCCCACCAGGGGAATGGCTGTTTATTTGTGTTTGTCCTATAATAGGACTATTACACAATAATTGTGTAATAGTCCATCGGAGGGGACTTTAAGCCCGCGGTCCGTTCCTACCCCTAACCCGCACAAGCCATTCAGTTGGCATATGGGACTTCTTAAGAAGTAAGGGTGGAACTAAAAGAGCACTTTTGTATATAAACTTTTTTTTGTATATCATATATATTATAATTATATATGATATTATCATGGTCATCGAAAACGATAGAAAAAAGGCGTTTCGAGGTAAAGCAGTAGTTTCCATAATTTTCCAAATTTTCACATGAAAATTCGCATCTTAACATATACAATTCGATAAATTGTAGTTCTTTTAATATGATAGGAGACTATATTTGGGTTAAACAAGGGAAAGTAAAATACCCAACAGTAAAAAGGTTCACTTATAAACTTATGTTAAATATTTTGTAAGCCAATAAAACAGTAGAAGTAAAGAAAGTTTTTAAGACAAACTTTTTATTTACTTCAACTACCTACTTTATTAGGTTTTATAAAAAATATTTTTTTTCGGATAAATTTCAATAAACCTATCGATTATACCCTAATATTTTAAATTCATGCTGACTTGTGTAATAAATAAAAAAACAAATTAGTATATTTTATTGTTTTTTTCTTTTTTTAATTAATTTCCTGATATATCATGGTCACCGCAAACGACAGAAAAAATGCGTTTTGGGGTAAGGCAGTAGTTTCCATTATTTTTTCAAATTTTCACATGAAAATTTGCGTCTATTCAATACATTGTAGTTCTTTTAATATGATGGGAGACTATATTTGGGTTAAAGAAAGGAAAGCAACATAACAAACAATAAAAAGGTTAACTTTTAAACTTATGTCAAATATTTTGTAAGTCAACAAACACAAACTTTTTATTAGCTTTTATAAAATATATATTTTTTTAAGAATTTCAATTATACCCTTATATTTTAAATTCATGCTGACTTGTGTAATAAATAAAAAACAAATTATTGTGTTATTGTTTATTTTCTTTTTTGAATTAATTTTCTGATATATTATGGTCACCGCAAACGATACAAAAAAGGCGTTCTGGGGTAGGGCAGTTACTGCTGTAGTTTTCATAATTTGATACATTGTAGTTCTTTTAATATGATGGGAGACTTTATTTGGGTTAAAAAAGCCAACAAAATAGTAGGTTAAAAAAGTTTTTAAGACAAACTGTTAATTAGCTTTTATAAAATATATACTTTTTAAAGAATTTCAATAAACCTATTGATTATACCTTTATATTTTAAATTAATGTTGACTTGTGTAATAAATAAACAAAAACAAATTAATATATTTTCTTTTTTTTCTCTTTTGAATTAATTTCCCGATATATCTTGGCCACCGCAAACGATAGAAAAAAGGCGTTTTGGGGTAGTAGTTTCCATAATTTTCCAAATTTTCACATGTAAATTCGCAGCTAAACATGTACAATTCGATACATTGTAGTTCTTTTAATATGATGGTAGACTATTTTAGGGTAAAACAAGAGATAGCAACATAACAAAGGTTCACTTTTAAACTTATTTTAAATATTTTGTGGGACAACAAAATAGTAGAAGTTAAAAAAGTTTTTAATGCAAACTTTTTATTTACTTCAACTATTTTATTAGATTTTATGAAATATATTTTTTTTGATGAATTTTAATAAACTTATCGATTTACCCTTATATTATATTTTAAATTTATGTTGACATGTGTAAAACAAAAAAAAACAAATTAGTATATTTATAAATTCGGTAAAAACTCTATACTGAACTTAAAGGATTTAAATTTAAAAAGCATATGTCGTCTTGTGTGGCGAATTTTATTGAATAAACAATGATATATCGTAATATTTTTTCTTTTTTCTGTGATATTATATTATAATGATATGTTCCTATTTAGAATTAAAAATGTATTAATAAAATAAAATTAATTTAGATTTAAAAAATGTATTAAGAATTACAAAATATATATTAATTGTATGATTAGAGGTGTCCCTCTATAAACTGTATGTTTCTTGGGATGAAAATAAAGTATTTTATTATTATTTTATTATTATTATTTTATTGATTTCTTTTATGAATTAAGATTCCGATATATCATGGTCACCGCAAAAGATAGAAAAAAAGGCGTTTCGGAGTAGAGCAGTAGTTTCCATAATGTTTGAAATTTTCACATGAAAATTCGCATCTAAACATATACGATTCGATGCATAGTAGTTCTTTTAAATAATATGATTACATACCTAAAAAACCGAATAAAAACACTTCCAGAGCCAAAAGATATATAAACCCTTAAGACTTACCTTTGGAATACACTCGAAATTGGCGCAGGCGAACTCGTTCTCCTCGCACGGCTGCTTGCCGCAATCCTTCTCGTCCGATCCGTCCGGACAGTCGGACCGGCCGTCGCACTTCACGCTGGTCGACAGGCACTTGTTTAGCGGCGTGCACGCGATCTGCGTGGTCGGATTGCAGGTGGCGCAGTTCAGCTCGTCGGTTCCGTCGTCGCAGTCTTCGGTGGAGTCGCAGTAGTAGTCCATGGGGATGCACTGGCCGCTCTTGCACGTGAACTCGTTCACCTCGCACGTGTTCACCTCTGGAAATACAATCGCTACATTCATAATGTAATAGTGATCTATTAGTGCACTATGATTGGGTGTGAGAAGTACAGATTAAACAAAAAATAGAAAACCATGAACCATGAAATTATGAAAAAAAAACAAAAAAAAACTAGAATATAAAAAAAAATCATTTTTCATAATTGAAAATTTTGACTAACAATACAAAAATTTATTTCTTATAATTTGGTATTTTCAACATAAGAAAGTCATATATATATATATATATATATATATATATATATATATATATATATATATATATATATATATATATATATATATATATATATATATATATATATATATATATATATATATATATACATGCATCTTGTATGAAGTGGCACCCACTTAATCAACGTAAATGTGACCCCCTCGTATAAAAAACCAATTTTAAAACTTGACATTGTGGCACCACCAAAAATCATGATCAAGTAGCACCCTTCACGTATAAACTGGTTATAATTATATTCAAACAGGCACCCTCCACTGTTGCCATACTTACGGGTGCCATATTGAAGATATACAATTTAATATAATTTTATTTAGTAATATTCATATCTGAAAAATGTTGATTACCTAAAACAAATATGGTGAAATACTATTTTATATTATTCTGCATCATAATTCGAAAATTATAATAATATTAGCTTTATTGAGATAAAATGGATTGCGTAAAATAAGTTTTATAATGCAACTCCATTGAAAATTCGATTTTAGGCGCGCAAATGGAAGAAATTAAGGTTAGAATTTTTTTTAAAGATGTCAGGAATAATTACCATTAATATTTTTGTATTTGTCTTTTAAGAATTTAAAAATCTCTCACTACAACGCGGTACTGCGGGAGCGGCGGTACGAACAAAATTTTTGTTTATTAATTATAAATTCACATTAATGTGAGAGCGAAAAATTTGACTTTTTTTATTTAATAAGTACCTACCAAAATATGTTTACCAAAGGTAGTAAAATTTAGATTCATGCACCACAGTGCCTGTCATTTATAAGTGCTTGAGAATTTTTATTACTTTTTTTCGTGTAAGTACATGTAAAAAAAATTAAATCAAAAATATACTTACATTCATTATTTTAATTTTTTATTAAATTAATTTCAAGAATATTTTTTAATTATTTTTTGTACATGTACTTATAGTTTTTTAATGTTCCAAAATAAATCCTTGTAAGCAGCAAGTTATGTTGTACAATATTTCTTTTTTTTGTACCAATGATCATAGAAAAATTAATATTTTAATTTTTTTATTTGGGGCCCAACAAAATTATCTCATTATTATTATTAAAATAAAGATAAAAATATCTCCTCAAAAGAAGTTGGGTAAGTTGGGTAAAGGTACAACATACAAAAAGTGTCTGCATGTTCTAGCAATAAGTTTGTCATATTGTCCATAAAGAATAAACCAGTTCATCAAAACTTTATTTGAATAGTGATTTTTCTTCATTTTAACTATTTTATTAACAATTTTTATTAAATTAATGAATTTCTAACTATATTAGTAAATAATAATATACCTTTTAATGAAGGTACCGGGCGTTCAATTAAACCGTTTATACACATACTTATCGACATATTTACTTTAGACCGAAAAAAAATATATTAATTTATTATTTTCTTGTCATATGAAAACATGCAGTTATTAAAACTTATTCGTAGATTTCACTTGTATTGTTTAATAATTTAAAATTAATATTTAAAAATTTGAAATAATAAATAATAGGAATTGTAAAATATCTTTGTTATTATTAACTTTAGGGAATGGTTATATAAATGAAAAGGTATTATAATTTCATATTTAATAATGTAAAAATATACAGGGCGTTCCGTTAAAAATTAAAAACTTATTGCTGTTTTAAGTTATCTACATTCACATTGCTTTTTATCAAGTATCTTTTAAGAAATATTACAATAAATACAACCGAATATCATCAAACCTAATATTAAAAAAAATATAAGGTTTTTTTGTTGTGGGTGAAACTGACCGAATTTTACGAAAAAAATTAATAACTCAATAACTATTAAGTTTTGGTATAGAACATGGGTAGTCATTTTATAAGGAATAATATTAAGAAATAAAAAATGTAAAAAAATTGTGATGATTCATTTAAAATAACAAAGTTGATATCGCTTCCGTTAAAACCGGAAGTGGAATTTTGTTCCAAATAATTTAGAAAAATAGTTTTAATGATAATATTATTATAATTGCTTTAAAAAATTTAATTTGATATCTTTTCCCCGTTTTCCATAAACATGTAACCTACCATCGACCCTGATACACCCTGTATAATATTTTAATTCCCTTTCTAACTAAAAAATGAAAAAACATCAACAGTATTTTTTTATACTAACGTCAGTAGGCCAGTTATGTTTTGCATTTAGGTAATTTAAACTGTTACGAATCATACCAAAAGTTTTGGTAATTTTGGGGCCGAGCGGTGGCCGAATGTTTGGTGCTCATAAGTTTAATTTTTAAAACAAAAAGTAACTTACTTTGATAAAGAGAAAGAACAAAATATTTTTTAATGTTTTTCAGATGCAGGTTTAAAAAATGTTTACGATTTTTCCTCATCGGAAGAATCTGATCCTTACAAAACAGATGGAAGCGAAGATGAATACATACCATCTAGCGAAAATAGTAGTGAATATGTATGTAATTTTATTTTAAATCTGCTGCCTTAATTTTATATTCCTAAACAAGTGCAAAAGGAGTTTTTTTACGAATGTGAAGACAAGCCATAGGCGAGTTTTGCAATAACATAACTAAAAAAACCCCTCTGCACAATTTAAAGAAAAATATAGACTTTTTCCATTGAGAAAATCGACGATGAAGCCATGGAGAAAATATCATAATAGGTTCAGCTATGGAAACTTGCTGAGAAATACTGTCCTAAAATAATTTTTATCATTTGTAATTTTATTATATAATGGTAATTTGTAAATTTTAACACAATGTAAAAGCCTTCTGCTAAATTTTTTAACTTCTTCACTTTATTTTAAAATATATATACAGTGTGTCCCGCTTAAGACCTTACCACCTTCGTATTGTATTTTTTAACCGATTTTTGTAAACTTTTTTTGTTGGATAGATCTCTGGAAAAGGATTTAAACGCATATGTCACTGGTTTTAAAGACTAAACTGTGATCTCTTTTTTAGTACTACCTACTAGGGATTTTTTTAGAGCAAAAGTTACAACGAATTTTTATTCGGGACCACTAAAAACCGAAATTTCGACCCAAAACAGACATCACAGTTGGTGATGAGTTTTGTCGTCAAAACAAGAGGATGGTAGGTTTTAAGTGGGACACTGTGTATATATTTATAGAAATACTAATAAATGGACTTACGATAAATTTTTACGATTTAAAAATGCCAATTTTTTTTGTGATATAAGAAAAAAGTTTTTCCTAAAACCATGGAAAAAATAACATCTATGTGAAAACAAAATTTCGATTGCGTTAACCGTACACCAAATTCGAATGCATACCACTTTCCTGCAAAGAATAAAACAATTTCTATTTTCCACCATCAAAGATGAAATAGATTGAAGTCCCTAGAAATACAAATAACAAAAAACGTTTTGAAACATCCGAAAGCAAGTGATTTTGATATAAATTTAAAACGAGAATGCAAATCAGCCTTATCAGAATCATATTCTTAAGATTTCTTGTGTAAATTATTATTATATCTAACAAATTCTCCAAAAAAGTAATGATTTGTTATGTTTATTATACTTAATAAACCTAATACATCATCACTTATTTTGAAGACTATATAATTATACGATCTTAGAATAAAGAATGAACCAAAACAATATTTAAAATCAAAATTCCCGCCAGCCGCTTCTCGCTGCCCTCCGGACACGGCCGAATACTTCCGAGGTTTTCGTGATAATTAGTGTCGTCTGTTACACACGAGGTTTTAAAGTTTCTTCCACTGTTGCCAAATTTAGGGTGCCATAATGTAAAGGCATATTATGGGTGCCAAAAGTTTAACAATTATAATGAGTGTATAAAATATATACATCTGTATAAAAAAGAGCGCCATCTATAATAAACTTCGCAAACTAAACTGTATATCCGGGAGTAATCTTTGTCAAAGTGGCACCCTTCAAATTTTTTGTTATATGGTTTAGAAGGACCCTACCTTCATTGGAAAAATTTTTGAAGGCAAAACAAAGTGGCACCCGAAACCGGGTGCCACATTGTAAAATTGGGAGTCACATTGACAATGTTTATACCATATGGGTGCCTAAATGACACTGTCTATCTATATATATATATATATATATATATATATATATATATATATATATATATATATATATATATATATATATATATATATATATATATATATATATATATATATATATATATATATATATATATATATATATATATATATATATATATATATATATATGTATGTATGTATTGAATATTATAATTTAATTTGTGATATTCAATGCAAATTTCTTTATACATATTGCAAGGAATACTGAAAAATATATTGTCGTTTTTTCGTTAAAATTACTATTGAATTAATACTAATGATAATTTTTTTTATTAATTTACAATCTTTCAGAAAATAATAGAATTTTTGACTAAAATGTTTTTAAGTTTCCAATGACTAAAAAACTTATTATAGGCATATCGGCCATTTCAAGCGCATGAATTACAAAACTGTAGATAATTTATTATATAATATTTTGGCATCAAAATTGTCAAAAATATTATTCTTTTTTTAGGCCATACAATAAATAAAAAAAAACGCAAGAAATATTGTATAAAAGTAGAGATAATTTTAATAACTGAAAAGTGTTAATTATAAAAATTTTCTCTACTTTTATAAAATATTCTTTGCGTTTTTTTTTATTTATTATACAAGGTGTCCCTAAAATTATTGACATAAATTTAGGATTAGATTAAACAAGTCAAAATAAGACGAAAACCCAAATAAATATTTTTCCTAATTACTTATGTTTCCAAGATACAGGGTGATAAAGTGTTACTTATCATATTAGTTTTTTAATATAACCTCTACCATGGTAGTATTGGAAAGGTAATATTTTGCGAACAGTCACTTACTACCAAAACACATATTCACACATAATTATAATTGTTTGAGTGAACACAGTGTCGTAGAAACGGGGGTTGCTTTAAGCTTATTGTACCATACAAACTTTGAGGTTAGGTTTTTATAACATTTGATGAAATTTTTAGATTACACAGTTCGGCTACCATTAAAAAGGTGTACCTCTCAAACTTCGATAAAATAAACCGTTTCCGAGATATTCGAGATTACAGTAATTGTTATATCGCATTATTTAAAAGGATTAAAAGGTATATGATAACAAATTTTATTTTTTAATTGAAAAAACTAAAAAGGGCATTCCATGAGCCTCTGGACTTTCTGCCCTGATCGTCACATTAAAAAAATTGTAGTTTTTTCAATTACAAAATTTGTTATCATTTACCTTTTAATCCTTTAATGCGATAGAACAATTATTGTACTCTCGAATATCTCGGAAACGGTTTATTTTATCGAAGTTTGAGAGGTACACCTTTTTAATAGTAGCCGAACTGAATAATCGAAAAATTGCATCAAATAGTATAAAAACCTAACCTCAAAGTTTGTATGGGACAATAAGCTTAAGCAACCCCTGTTTCTACGACACTGCGTTCACTTGAACAATTGTAATTATGTGTGAATATGTGTTTTGGTTGTAAGTGACTGTTCGCAAAATATCACCTTTCCAAGTCTACCATAATAGAAGTTATATTAAAAAAATGATATGATAAGTTAAACTTTATCACCCTGTATCTTTTAAACATACGTAATTAGGAAAAATATTTATTTAGATTTTCGTCTTATTTAGACTTGCTTAATCTGCTCCTAAATTTATGCCACTAAGTTTAGGGACACCTTGTATAGCCTAATAAAAGAAGAATGTATTTGACAATTTTGATGCAAAAATAATATATATATATAATAAATTACCTACAATTTTTTTTATAAAAACAGTTTTTTGATTTGTCGCGTCCGTATGCTTGAAATGGCCAATATGGTAGTTTGAAAAAATAACATGAAATAATTTTTTTTTCCACACATCTCTAGTTAAAAATGTTAAATTATTTATATTTTATTTTATTTAATCATTATAGTAAAAAAAATATTTTATATGATTTTATCAAAATATTCAAAACTTGTGCATAGGTATTTATTGTTGTATACCTACTTACACTTGTTATTTTTATTGTTTAGATTATAATTGCTTTTTATAAATGGCAGTGTACTGAACCGCGGCGGTACCTTATAAAACGATTATTCTATCGGTAAATTTCTTATTAACAAAAAACAAGCATAAACCTAATAAAATCGCTTCAAAAAACAAAAATATGATTGTTTTTTAATTTTTAAAAACAAAAAAAAGTAATTTTCCCGAGCGGGATTAAACCGAAGACTTCAATTTAAATTAAATTATTTTTAGCCCAGAAAAATACAAAAACCGAAACTGCAACGGAAAATGACTTTTTACCGGAGTTACGACAAGCTAAATTTAGAAAAAGAAAGTTAAAAAGAAACTTAAAAAGGTAAACCAAGACTGTAGAAAGAAAAATATTCTTTTATTTCCGTAACTTTTTCCAAAGAATTTTTGTTTTGTATATTTCACTTTTATTTATATAGATTATTTTTAAAATAAACAATTTTTTTAAAGTATTTTTTATTAAGACGTGTGCTAAATTGTCTTGTATTTTTAGCGTACAAAAAATAGATCTACAGCTATGTTATTTTACTTTAGTATATCTTATACGAGAATACAATACCACATCTACTTTTTGCAATCCAAAACAAGAAAATTCAGTACACAAAAAGTATCACACGGCTTTTATAAATATAAAAGCAGCATTTTATTAATATTTTCAGATATTTTTGTGATGTTGAAGAAACATTAATAAAATATAATGTAATGTATCTAAAACATTTTCAAAGACATTTAAATGGTAATTACTAATATTTCTAGAATACAGGGTGAGGTTTAAGTTGACGCGTTCCTTTTAACAGTGTGTAGATATCAGCTAGACAAATAAATATTTTAAGTAACTTTTTTATCAAAACTCAAAAATAAAAAAGTTATAGCCCATCAAAGTTTAATTAAATTTTAAGCCGGTCCTGGCTATTGTTAACGAAAAACATAACCATAAAAATATCAAAATAAACAATTCAAAATGTCATATTTGACAACAAACATAACCATTTAAATCAAATTGACATTTTGCAATAAAAAATGTCATTATTTACTTAAGTTGCAGCATCTGCATTTTGACGAAACTCTTCATAAATTAGTAACATTTCCACTAATTCATTATTGCTATAATTATGAACCATTTTTAACAATAATTGAGGCACAAAAAAACTGACATTTTTCATTGCTAAATGTCATTTTGATTTAAATGGTTATGTTTGTTTTCATAGATGACATTTTGCATTGTTTATTTTTTTATTTTTATTTTTATGGTTATGTTTTATGTTAACAATAGCCAGGACCGGCTCAAAATTTAATTAAACTTGGAAGGCCTATAACTCTCTTATTTTTGAGTTTTGATAAAAAAGTTACTTAAAATATTTATTTGTTTATCTGATTTCTACACGCTGTTAAAAGGAACGCGTCAACTTAAAACTCACCCTGTATTTAGGTTATTTAGCAAAAATATTCATTCAATATTTTAAATATATTTTTGTGTTATGTGGGTAGTTGATTTTGCAAGAAAAACAATAAATATACTAAACACTTACTGCAGTCGTGCTCATCACTATCATCTCCAGGCCCGCAATCGTTCACGTTATCGCACCTCCAAACCATCGCTATGCACCTCCCGGACTCCTTGCACTTGAACTGCGACGGGCTGCAAACCTTGGAACACCGGGCCGGATCCTCGTCCGTGCCGTCCAGGCAATCGTTCTCCCCGTCGCACACCCAATGCGGAGCTATGCAGGTGATCTTGTCGCATTTCAGCTGATGCTCGCCGCAGGAGATGTTCTCGCAGGGCCCGCCGGCGTCGGAGGATTCGTCCGAACCGTCCTCGCAGTTTTTCACGCCGTCGCAGATGTACGACGACGGGATGCAGTGCTTCTCGGAGTGGCACTGGAAGTTGTCTGCCGGGCAGTAGGAGGGCATGCGGTAGTTCAGCTGTTTCACGCAGGTGGCGTCGACGTGTTGGTAGCCGTCTTGACATGCGCATTCCGTGCGGTTTTCCAAAGGTATGCAGAGTTCGGGGCAGTTGGCGCAGTTTATTTCTTTGGCTGCGATAAGTGAAGAAGTAAAAAAGAATCTGTTTAGAATCCTCATGTTTTTTACTGGAAACTTTGAGAATTTAAAAAAATACAATATACAATATCACAGGTCTACAAAATGTTAACCAGAATATATTTTTCCAAAGGAAATCAAATTCGAATCAGAATGGGGTGGTTAAATTTTTTCTGACCTATACTTTTTATGGTTTTATTCAAGGCGTTTTGTAATATTAAACATTTCTGTGAAATCAGAATTTCAATTGAGTTTACCGTTTTTGAGATATTTAAAAAAAATATAAATTTTTATGACGTCACAAACCTCGCCATGTGACCAACATTCCAAGATTTCTATTGGTTGAAAATTACCCTGTTGTCAAGTTGTCTTGTTAATGATTTCATTTGGTTATGTCAGAAAATACCCGAAGAGGTTATGTACAAATACTGTCACTGTCAGTTGAGTGAAAGATGGTCACCAAATTCATTAAGTACCTATCTTCCTTATTACGAGGTATCATATTACTGTTTTATATTTTAGAGTCCAAGATATATCTAAAAGAATATAAAGAACTAGGCATTACACTAATGAAATGCATTTACGACAAAATATGATTATAATTATAGGTACTTACTTTATTTGTTTAAAAGCTCCTATGTTCAATGTAACCAACCATTCCACAAGATTCCTCTGCTTTGGAGTCAGTTATTAATAAATCACTTATCTAATATCAATTACAAATAACATAACAATAACATTGATTTTCAATAATCTAAATTTAAAAAAAACATAACCCGAAAAAAAGAAACGTCAAAAAATCAATTCTTCTTCTTCTTCTCAACTAAAATTATAGATCAATTGGTTTTAAAACTAAAATATTATAACGTGGCGCCATCTATCGTAAGAAACATAAACTAAACACACTGGCAACCATAGAAAAATCTGGCAACGTTGTCAATAGCCTAGTGACGTAATTAGGAGATTTTTTTTTGTAAATATCTCGAAAACGGTAAACTCAATTGAAATTCCGATTTCACAGAAATGTTTAAAATTACAAAACGCCTTGAATAAAACCATAAAAAGTATAGATCAGAAAAAATTTAACTACCCCATTGCCATCACATCAGGTTTTCGAGAAATTATAATGTGAAAAAACGCAGATTTTTCAATATTTAAGGTTGTGGACCGCTAATTTTGAATAAATTCTTAAAACAAACTGTAAGTCTGGACAAAAATGTTTTTAATTCAAATTAAATCAAAAAATTCGGGAAAATTATTTTTCCTCTTTTTAAGAATTTGTTCAAAATGCGACAAATTTGGGGTGACCAATTTTACGGATTTTTCCTGAAAGTATATGTTAAAAAATTAAGGTAAATTTTGGCTTAATTTTTTTTATCGTCTAATAAAGTTTTAGAGTTTTGGGTTATTTATTGTAAATATACGTCAAATATCGCTTATAAACTGTTTCTTTTGGCAAAGTGGTTGATGTTTCTTGTTCCGACTCTTTCTGAAAAGGTTTATTATCCCAAAATAATTTATATTTTTGAATATTTAATGCAATAATTTTATTTTTTATAAAATTGTCTTTTTTTCCTCTTTCTTTAGTCTAATTTACTTAATAATATTTTTTTAATTTAAGATAATATTTTTGTATAGTTTTACCTTAAAATTTTAAGGCCCCCCTTATTACTTATTAAAAGTCAATATATTTTTAGTTAACTTAATTAAGTTAGGCTATTGTTACAGTTCGTTTTTTTTTATTTGTTGTTTGACGTCAAAAATTTGAGGGTTTAGTTGGCAAATTCTAGGCATCATATATATATAATTCCCAAATTGAGTAGAACAAACTAGTTTAGTGGAGAATATAATTGTGGTTTATGCACGATGACATTATAATATGACAATTATAAGAAAAATTCTTTGACGTAAACGTCTTTTTATAGCCCGCGGGCGTTATTATGACCCAGCGGGCTATAATGAAACGTCAAAAATTAAAAACAACAATGTTACACCATTTGATATATTCGAAGTAAGTTTTTTCGTATAAAGATTTTGATTTTTCCGGCAGCAGGCCGCAATTTTTCGCCTTTTCAGCTGCTTCCTCAATTTCATTCATCTTTAAACTTTAAAACTGACTGATGTCAGTTGACATTATAATATGACAATTATAACAAAAATTCTTTGACGTAAACGTCTTTAAAAACAAGGATATATTAAAAATAATAATATATTAATCGTGCATAAAGTTTTGTATGCATTGCTGGCATAACTGGTTTTTATGCCCTTAATACATATGTAAATAACTATTATGTTATAATTTTAAAAATATGTTTATAAATTTGCTTTCCCAGCATACAAATACACATGTTTGTTTATTATAATTTTGACAGTTAAATGACAAATGTCAAAGTATTTCAAATTAAGGGGTGAACAGGAATACCAATTTTAAATATTAAAAATATCAAAGTATACTAACATAAAATACCAACATAATCAAATGTGTGAAATTCCGAATAAAAAAACAACTTTTTTTTTTTTAATTAATTAATGTACATTTTTGAAACTTATAAAGTACAACTTTATTGTAAATTATTACGAAGTAACTACTAAAAAAAATATTTCAGGGTTTTTTGAAGTGTTGCCAAAATATTCGCTTTAAAAATCCCCAAACTTGATTAAAAAAATCCCTATAATTCCATAGCTTTAAAAATAATTGTTAAAGAGTATATGTAAATAAAAATGTTTTTATTTAAATTACTAATTAATAATAACAATAATAATAATAATTTAAAACAAACAGTATATATTTTCTATAAATAATAACCTATGTTATAAATATAAAAGACAACACGAATAAAACAAAATCATAAATCTTCCTGACCGACTTACACTTCAAACAACATTCCTGGCAAAAATTATATTAAGTAAACATAAAGTGAGTTAGGCCAAAAAAAAGAGTAAAAATGTAATTTTTCATAAAAATACATAATTTTGAAAATAAAAACCTTTTTACAACGAATTGGAACAAGAAACATAAACTACTTTAATTAAATACTTACTTTTTAAGTGAAATTTAAGGTATGTCAATTTACAATTAGTAGGTATCCTAAAACTTAAAATCTTTATAAAGACTATAGAAAAAAATTGTTATCCCATCTGAAGATACTAGTCTTAAAAAAACAAAATTAGCTAGAGATTTGGGCTTGTAACACATCAAAACATTAAATATGTTATGGTAGTTTAATTTTAGTTTAGTTAGTTTTAATAACGTATTTCTAAAAGTTGTATAAATATAGAACCTTTCAAGCAAGATACTGTAAAATTATTTTTTTGAATCAAAGCTAAATTATTTCTTTATAATTTGTACTTACATGTTTGAACCGTCTTATCAAATATCTTCAGACTGTAGAACAAGGGACTCTCCTTATAATAGTTAGAAAACACATACTGCAATCCGGTTTTCTCGTTAAACTTCCTCAACATTCCCTTATCAATTAAATAAAAATCCCTGTTTTCTCCCTGAAAATCAATCGCAAGACTTATGGGCGCATTTAATCCGGCACTCAACTCAATTTTCCTAGTACCTCCTTTAAAATCAACGCTCTCAATCTTCCTGAGGAGTTTATCGCACCAATACAAACGCTTTCCTTTAAAATCGATCGTCAACCCCATGGGACAGTGAATGTCTTTGCTGACAAGCACAGTTCGGTTCTTTCCGTTCATGTTCGCCGTGTCTATTCGGCCTTTCTCGGGCGACAAGTCGGACCAATCGGCCCAATACATAACCCCCCTAGTGGGATCGACGGCAATAGAAGCAGGACTTAAAGTGGTACTTTGTATAAGCGTCCTAGTTATAGTGTTATTAGAAACTTTTACCACTGCAATACTACCGCGCTCCATGTTTGTGTAATATAAATTCTTCGATATCCAATCGTACGAGATACCGTCGCACTCGACGTGCTTAACCAGGTCTGTTATGTTGGTGGTATCGTTTATTGGCACCATGTGAATGCCCATGTCCTGAGAGTCAGCGTAAAATAAAGTGTTTGTAGCACCGTCGAAATCCAGAGCTTTGGAAAGCCCTATTTTCGTTATAGGAATCAAGGTGTCGTTACCGTTTTCCATGTCCACGCCCTTAATCGAGTAAGGGATGCTTTTCGATATCAATAGGAACTTTGGCGGCGTGACTACGACACATTTGTTGCCGATAAGCCGGTAACCAGAGGAACATATACATTTTTTGATAGCTATATCTTTGTTCCACATCGGAATGCATATGTGGTCGCAGATATTCTCCATTTTGCATGGATGGGCCACTGCAAAAACATTAAATAAGATTTAAACTGTAGCGTTTTAATTAATTAAGTAGGTCAACTAATAAATAAAAAATATTTAAAGTTTCTATTTCTAACATTTTAGTTTTCTAATTAAACAAGACACGATTTTTGACGCGCTGGATCTAAACCTAGTTTGTTTAATTTGAATATACTATTCTTTAAAACCAGGGACCCGGACCGAAACCGAAAAAAATCGAAAACCGGAACGGAACCGGTTTTTTTTTTCGAACCGAAACCCGAACCGGAACCGTTTTCGCTTTTGATAAAATCTGTTGGACCGGAACCGAAACCTTTATTTGCTTTCATTCTAATAACATTATATAACATATTAGGTTATAGATTAAAATTACGTAAAACAAATAACCTCACTGGAACCGCTTAAAACCGAAAAGAACCGAACCGTTATAACTCCACGAAACCGAAACCGGAATCGGAACCATTAAAACGAAAATAGGGTGAACCAAAACCGTACCGGAACCGATATTTCGGTCCGGGTCCCTGTTTAAAACCTTTCTGTTTTTTTTAATAACCTGTCTCCTATTCGAAAAATCGAATCATTATTTAAAAGGAATAAAAAGCTGCGCGACATAAATAAATGGAAATGGAATACAGAACATTTATTATTAATTATATATGCCGGATAGTTAAAAATTAAACTCTTTATCAGTGGCAACATTCAATACTGAAAATAATCAATAACCTATAGTAAATGTTTTTATAATATTTGGGGCACCGAGAAAATAAATCAAACCTGGCGCCGCGAACTGAATAAGTTTGGGAACCCCTGCACTAGGGTGTCCTTTATTTTCCATTAGATTTATTTTTACTTGGGTATTATCCAAATTATTTGTTTAAACCCTTTTAAATGACATAAGAAAAAACTACTCGCTAATAAAATTTAATAGACATGTAAAAATATATAAGACATATTTTTGTACGAAATTTTAAGCTTTACAAAAAAGGTATTTTAAATATTGTTTCTGTAAAATCATCAATTTAAATGGTCGGAGGTCAAATTTTACATAAATCAAATGAAAGTCTTGTCATCTTTTTTGAGTTTATACTCGTAAGTAGTTTTTTTTACTTGGGTATCATCTAAATTATTTGTTGTACAGTCCAAAAATAATTTTAATTTTTGTTTATTTTATTTTTTGATGTCGTTTAACCCTGCCTAAATGATGATATCTACTTTTAATTTTAAATATTTTAAACTTTGACCTCCAATATCATTTAATTATATGGTTTTACGAAAAAAATTAAAACATCTAACATTTCCTACAAAAATTTGTAAGTGTCGTATGTAAAAAACAATTCAAATGGAAAATTAAAGTATTATCATTTAAGCAGGGTTAAGCAACTTGAAAAAAGGAAAGTTTTTTATAATTGCCAACTTAAGAAATTCCGAAAAAAAAGACATTTTTTATTTATTTCAAACATTCTCCTCTGATATTTTTAAATGGATTTCATTTAACGAAAAAAATTGCAAAATTGTCTTCTATATTGTTAGCAAGTTATGAATATTTTCATTAAAATGTAATTTAGGCAGGAGCCACATCAATAAAAAATATTTTTTTCAAAATTGTTTTTGGACTAAAAACAAATAATTGATTCCAAAGTAAAAAGAAACCATCTTGGGAAATAATGGACACCTTCATATACTAAAAATGCTCGATATATTTTTTTTTAAATAAATTTTCTCATTATATTAAACTTTAATAATTAAAGCGTTTAAAAATGCTACAGCATCTGCCATCTATAATAAGATTATTTGTCAATTTTTAATTTCGATTACCTCAAAATTTTAATAATAATGAAAGGTGGTTTTGTTGAAAAAATAAAGGATGGCTAATAATTAATGTTGATAAATGGTATCCCATGGCATAATGAAAAAAAACTTATAATGCTTTAGCAATTGGCTACAATGAATATCAGGAAGTATAAATATATTTAATTTATTTAGTAGACTATATATTTATTGCATTAAAACATATTATTGAGATTGTTTTATTTTATTAAAACTGGTAATCAAACTTCTCATGCATTTAAAAAATATTGACTGTTTTTTTTGTGAGGAGCAAATGTTAGTTGTATTAAAATAATTTTAATTTTTTTACCATATTTAAATTGTAAAAGTTAAAAGACAACAAAAACAAAATTAAATTTTAATATTTTCAAGTTACAAAGGTTTTAATAAAACCTCCATTGTAAACATTATAGGTTTAAAAAAATAGCCACGGATAAATATTATTTATTTGTATTTATTCACAAAATAAAATTAAATAGCTTTAGCATGATGTTTTCATCCAAATTGAAATTGTTTATATAACCAGAGTAATTAAGACATTAAACTTATTTCTGGATGCTCTAAATAAAGCAGCAAATGTTAATTATATTTTAGTTAATGAACAAAATAATAATATAAACAAATCCAATAAGTATGCAATGAAGTCATTTGTATTTTGAATGACATTTAAATCGTTAATACGAATTAATTGCTTCAAAATTGTATGCATAAAGTCAAGGGCAATTAAAAATTTACTTACCATCAGGCTGTCTCTGTCTGTGGAACACGTGTATATTAAAAGGTCGCCCAATGTTTGCTACAATATACTTTTCCTTATGCTCATACTTATCAATCTCCAAAATACTGTTATTGTACCATGAGGAAACATAGAGTTTATTTTGAAACGGCGCGATACCATACAAGTTTTGCACCCTTATCCCCCTCATGACGGTCCTTCTATGTTTTCCATCAAAATCAACTCTTTCCACGTAGTCCAAGTAGGTATCTATCCAGTATACGTGTTTATTGGGGTAGTCCACCGATACCCCATAGGGGTAAACGATTTTATGGTTCACTATGGTCCTTCTATCGGACCCATCGAGCTTGCATCGTTCCAGCATAGGCGGCGAATGTCCCCACTTGGTGAAAAACATGTACCCACTTGTCGGATCCAAAGCTAGAGCGCGAGGTTTGCTTAACTCGTAATCGATAAGCATGTTGCACCATTTTAAGTCGCTCGTGCACACGATAATCAGCTCTCTCTGGTCGTCCAGGAAATACCAATTGTTCGAAACCCAATCCAAAGACATTTGCTGAATGGACTCGACCTCCAGCAGCGAGGAAGCGTCGTTGAGCTCCCAACGTTCGTTCATGTTGTTTATGTTGGCGCACACCAGGGACGTTTTCGTCACGTTGTGGTGGATGTAGCAGATCGTGTGGTTTCTGTGGATGAATTCCAGGGCGTTGTTGTTGATTAGTCTTATGGTGGAGTTTCCGGGCCAGGATTTTCCGTCGAGGGTTATCCGTTTGATTTCTGATGGTGTCGAGAATATAAGGGAAGCTGGTTCGGACTTAGGAGCTGATAAGAACCAAAATAACAATGTTTTAGTATCTTCGCATTTTTTTAATAAAGATATATCTTTATATATGTAACAAATATACTAATAAATGCAATTGGTACTCATACATTTATTATTATATTAATAGAATCTTGTAAATTAGGAATTCTAAAATATTTTGTTTGCTTAGTTTAGTTTATTTGGTTCTTCAAAAATTTTGGCATCTTGGATAAAAACAACTGTGGAAAAATTGCAGAAATACGGGCGGGGCCTTATTATGGTTTAACCATTTTTTATTAAAAAAAAGTCAACTTCATTGAGCTGATTTCTTACTTTGAGTTGGAGTAATATTTTGTTTTATTGTTTTGGTTTAAAATTGTAAAATTCGAATAGGAAATAACTTTAAAGTTAAACATTTTAAAGGGTAAACATTTATTAGGTGAATGATTTAATCATTAACATTAATGTTTTTTTCTTTTTCCACATCTACTATCTTACCATTTGTTTGTAATATAAATTAGTCATAAACTAGAAATGTATTGTTGTGATTAACGCAATAGATTGTATATTCAGAAATAACAACACTCTCCCAATTTTAATATTTCTCCCTAAATAAAAGTACGACCTAATGCATTTTCCACGACGATATATAAAATCACACAAAGTCTATTCTTGTTTAATAAAAAGTTTTTGACCCTGCCAGGATTTAAACTTAGAATCTTCTGATCCATTATCCATTGCGCCTGCTGAACCAACATTTAAACTTAATATTATCTCAGTGCACTTAAATCCACTTTAACGGCAATATAATTAGATAAGATGTAAATCAGTTTTAGTGTGCTATGATCAAATCCTGGCAGGATCAAAAACTGTTTTATTTATTCTATTATGGTCCATGCGAGAATTATTAAATTTCCAGTATAAGTAGTAGGCAAGCGATTGTAGGGAAAGTAGAAGAATGATAAAAAGCTTAAACAATATGTCTATGATCAAAATTAGAGTATTTTGGAGCCGGCTGGTTCCATAGACGAGTAAGCAGTGTTGTCAAATGCGGTGTAATTAAAGCATTTGGGTGTAATTTTATACGAACATATATATCTCTTGACATTTGAATACAAATAATTAAGGATATATTATATCTGTCAGTTTAACGGTAATTTCGTATAAAGCTTAATTTTCATGTATCCGTTTGTCCGTTAGTCCGTTCATCCGGGAGCGCTCTTATTGGTCCAATTATAATTCAAAAATTATGACATTTTTTCCGTCCGTCAAGTTTTAACTTCGTACGTCTGACGGATAAATTTAAAATAATTTTAACTAATCTGTCACTACACATCTGTTTTTGACGCCTAACGTTATTTTAAGATACTTTATTTTCAAATCTTTTAATATCCTTTTAATAAGATTGTAAAACGGAAATATAACGTTCGTTATGTGAATAATGTTCTACTTTTATGTTTTTATTTAATAATAATAACAGAAAAAAATAAAAGACAAACAATAAAATATTAAAACCAGAACTAAAAGGGCCTGCTTTTTTAAAACTATACATTTTAATGTAAATTAAGGCTAGTATATTCTTTTTATATGGTAGGTATATTTACCTACCTTTAAATTTATTAAACAGCTAACTGTTAGAGTTACAATTGTTGACATAATTGTAACTATGACAATTAAGCATTAGGTAAATTTAGTAAAGTGAATACGATTTATTGTCTATGGATTTTATTGAAAAACGTACAAACGTATAACGGACAAACGGATACATGAAAATTAAGCTTTATTTCTTATAACTAAAAACCTTTCAAAACCAAAAATCGTTATGAGACTGTTATTCCTGGGAATTTTGACACAAAGTAAGTTTTACATTTAAACATTAATCTACATTTTCACTAACATTTTTTTGCTACTATGTTTTAAGTTTTTTGTTCTTATAATGGCCGCCATAACTTATGTAGTTTGATATATCGTTGGATTCCTTGCTTTTTATCTAATTAAAAGATGGTGGTGGTATCTCAAAATCCAGTAGGTGAAAAAACTCACAAATTGAACGAAAATGTAGTTAAATGTGTATGTTCAGATGTAAAACTTACTTTTTTTCAAAATTTCTAGAAATAAAGCAGGTTTTTGGTTCTGACAGGAAATCAGTGTTCTTTTAAATTATTTGACAACTGCTGTCTTTTTCCAATTTATAAATTTCATGTTAATAGGCTTGTATTACGCAACTATTATCAAATTTAACCGACCCTGTAGCTCTTTAAATAAAAAGATACCCATACATAAAAGGATACTTGGTGCACCTTGTATATTAGTGACACTAATTTAGTGTGCTTTTTTAATTTCTTTTTTTTTCTCTCCTGCCTTAAAGTTTTGTTGTTACAATCAACAAAATAATACCCTGTGTTTGAGCTCTTAACATTAATATTAAGATACTTTCCTTTAGCGTCGAAAGATTTCCCGTTTTTTAATTTTTTTTAACCCAGCGGTATTTTATACTACAGTTTCATCCAAAAAAGCATTTTGACAAGAATTAAACGATTTACAAAAGTGCCCATTGCAGCTTATCTCTAACTACATTGATAAGCCCCTAAACTTAATTTTTGTATAAAATATTTTTTTGCGTTTATTTTATAAATGACTGGACTAAGGAAAAAACTGACAAATTTATATAAAATTAAATTTTCTACAAAAAGGTCCTATAAACTGAATCTTTAAGATTGATATTTTTCGTGATATTGAGCTTACACTTATTTGTGATATGAAATTTGAACAATTATAATTTAGCCATCTGCAAGGTTTAATCACAAATAAGTCAAAGATCAATATCTCGTGAAATACTCTTTTGTAGAAAATTTTATTTTCTATAAATATGTCATTTACATTTTTCAAGTCAAGTCATTTATGAAATAACAACAAAAAAAAACAAAAATTGTATACAAAAATTAAGTTTAGGGGCCCTAGGGGCTCACCAGTGTAAGTTACAGTTACACTGCAATGAGCACTTTTGTAGATCGTTTAATTCTTAGCAAAATGCCGCTGAGTAATACAAATTTGATAAAAAACAAATACAAGTTGATTGGTACCACAAAATTTTGAGACGGAAGTGAAAAAAAATGTTCCATAATAAAAAAACCACCCTAGTATAGATAATATAATATTATATATTGTATTATTTTCAGAAAATAATATGATGAGATTTCATATTATTATTATTATTTATATATTTTATCATTAAAATTTTTAAACCTTATTATATGATATGATTATTTATATACAGGGTGTCCGAGAACTCGCGTCACAAAGAAAAAGAGAACGTGCCGAAAGTAACGCAAAACACATATTTGAAAATTAAAATTGTCTAACGTAAAGGATAAGCGAAATAGGAACAAAAAACGATAGCCAATCCCAATAGATGGCCATAGGGAATTCTTTAAATTGCTAGGATACTTAGGTTGCATTGTTGATAATAAAAAATATGTAAAATAGTTGGTCGACTGGAATCCAATTCATTGTGATACTGCTGTCAATCTTTATTCCTGTCATTAATATTATATTAGGTTATAAATAATGTTTATGCACGATGACATTATAATATGACAATTATAACAAACATTCTTTGACGTAAACGTCTTTTTATAGCCCGCGGGCGTTATTATGGCCCAGCGGGCTATAATGAAGCGTCAAAAATTAAAAACAACAATGTTACACCATTTGATATATTCTAAGTAAGTTTTTTCGTATAAAGATTTTGATTTTACCGGCAGCAGGCCGCAATTTTTCGCCTTTTCAGCTGCTTCCTCAATTTCATTTATCTTTAAACTTTAAAACTGACTGATGTCAGTTGACATTATAATATGACAATTATAACAAAAATTCTTTGACGTAAACGTCTTTAAAAACAATAATATATTAAAAATAATAATAAATTAATCGTGCATAAAGTTTTGTATGCATTGCTGGCATAACTGGTTTTTATGGTCCTACGACGCTTTTCTAGCCCTCGCGCTAACGCGCTCGGGCTCGAAATAGCGCCTCGGACCATAAAAACCTTATTATGCCCTTAATACATAAATAACTATTTCCTTAGATGATTATACCCAAATGATAATTATTTATGGGAAGTGTGGGCGCAACTCCAGGGAGACAGAGCGAGTTTTTTCCCAGCGCTTTCCCAATTGTCCCCTGGACTATCACGAGAACCCGAGAGACCGGTCAAGTTGTTCCGCTTCGTAAGGGGATTGGAGGTGCTTCCTAAGACCAACGTTAACAAATTCAGAGTATTAAAATCTTTTGTATGATGTAATTTTTTAACGGAGGATTTCGTTGCAGACCAGTGTTATTGTAAACAGATTAACATCTTTTTTATATTTAGGTTTTAACACTTTCTTTATAACATTTAATTTAGTTTTAATGTTGTTTGTTTACTTTTTCGGAAATTTATAGTTTTTGTAAGTTTATTTGTTTTTGTAACTGATGTTTTAATATGTATTGACTTTTCTTAACCATACTATGTGAGGAGGTCCATTCCAAAACTCGGCTTATCCATTTTTTAATAAAAATGAGTTAGTGGTGTCTGTACATTTAACATGTAGCCCCCTATACCCCACAAAGGTCATAATATTCTAAAACTCACCTTATTCCATTTAAAATTCATTTATAAATTGACTTTAATTCCAAAACTTATCTATAGGTTACATCATGTCAGAACTGGCTTATACGAATGTAATTTTAAATTATTTTAAATTGGAGCCATAACTTTTTAATCAAGGTATATAAACTTTATACTTATGCCTATTTATCTCGTTTAAAGTATTTTGTAGGCCTGATATGCGTTAGTTAGTTATTGACATTTTGCTCAAAATCAGCTAATATGTATAAGCCGAGTTTTGGAATGCACCTCCTCATGTATTATATTGTATTTAGTGGCACCAATGCGTTGTTTCATTAACATTTTAATTAAAAAAAGCTAAATAAAGGACAACTAGTTTAATTTTTTACTTTAAAACATTGGCGTTCTGAAGTATCAGTCATAGATTAATAACCTCATTTTTTGAAAGCTTTTGACAACTTAGTAAATACAGTTGGCCAAAAGATTTTTAAATGTTTTTAAGAAAACAATGTTCTATCGTCACCTAGCAATTTTTAAAGCTCCTAGGCGAGAGCTCTCGGTATTGGCTGCCGCTTTTTTGCTTTCATTCGATAACACTATTACCCAGAATTTCTCCATTGCTGGCGCGAGTTCTGGGACACCCTGTATATATTTTATTATTTAAATATATTTTTATTAATAAAATATCGAGTAAAATACAGGGTGAGTTTTAAGTTGATGCGTCAATTTTAATAGTGTGTAGAAATAAGCTAGACAAATAAATATTTTAAGTAACTTTTTATCAAAACTCAAAAATATAAAAGTTATAGCCCATCAAAGTTTAATTAAATTTTAAGCCGGTCCTGGCTATTGTTAACGAAAAACATAACCATAAAAATATCAAAATAAACAATGCAAAATGTCATATTTGATCAAATTGACATTTTGCAATAAAAAATGTCATTATTTACTTAAGTTGCAGCATTTGCATTTTGACGACACTCTCCATAAATTAGTAACATTTCCACTAATTCATTATTGCTATAATTATGAACCATTTTTAACAATAATTGAGGCACAAAAAAACTAACATTTTTCATTGCTAAATGTCATTTTGATTTAAATGGTTATGTTTGTTGTCATAGATGACATTTTGCATTGTTTATTTTGTTATTTTTATTTTTATGGTTATGTTTTTGTTAACAATAGCCAGGACCGGCTCAAAATTTAATTAAACTTGGAAGGCCTATAACTCTCTTATTTTTGAGTTTTGATAAAAAAGTTACTTAAAATATTTATTTTTTTATCTGATTTCTACACGCTGTTAAAAGGAACGCGTCAACTTAAAACTCACCCTGTATATATGGCGTTATTTCAACCATTAAGTAATTTTTTCTAATAAAAACCGCTACCACTAAAAATCTTTACTTTTACAAACTTTGTAATACAAAGTAAGTTTTATTGTGTGTAATTCTTGAGGGTTGTGATGTAATTTAGACAAAATATATTGAGAAAACTGTGCCAGTCATATACATATGTGTATAAACAGAGTTATTTTAAATTTGTTTAGTAGTAAATAAAATTTTGAAACTTATATATTTTTTAAACACTATACTTTATAATTTTTTATGATTTAAAGCACTTATTTCATAAATTTTAAAACAATGTTTTTTAAGGCATCTGGAAAATTTATCTGCCTTTACTAAGATATACAAATTCATTAAAATTTTAATAAACCCAAGAGATGAATACATACCATTTACAGCAATACAGTTGGTGCCATTTAACTCGTACCCTGACACGCAGCTACAAGTAAACGATCCGAGAGTGTTGGTGCATATCTGCGCACAAGATCCATCCAACTCGCACTCATTGGCATCGACGCATTTGCTGTCTTCCGGTCGCTTTCCTTCCGGGCAGTGACAGCGCGGACCCTGCGGCGTCACCTTGCAGCCGTAGCTGCACTGCAGCTTGTCGCAGCTGAGCGACTTGTTGTGACAAAAGTTCCACTCGTCGCTGTTGCCGGGACAGTCGCCATGGCCGTCGCAGAACTTTTGGATGAGGATGCAGTAGGGGCCGTCGCTGCATGCAGCGTAGTTCCAGCGGCAGTTTGGACCCTTGTGGCACTGCTGCGGGTTTTCGTCAGATAGGTCGTCGCCTAATTCCGGTGAAACACCTAAGGACAATTGTATAATTGTCAATTATAGAAAAGAGTTTTATAACACTTAACTACCGTGTTAAATGCGAGTACTTTTACTCGTATTTCAATTACGAGTAAAAAAGTACAAGTACTAAGAAATGTTTTCAATTCTCGAAACTTAGTTATGGTTTTTGCGATACTTTGGCAGAAACTCATATATTGTATCGCTCAAATTTCTTAGAGTCAAAGTAACAAACCACCAGAGCTGGGACAGTTACTTCTGAAAAGTATCTAGTTACTTTTCTAAGACACTTTAAACAGAATAACTTAGTTTCCTTGAGTAACTAGATACTTTTGAGTTACTAAGTTACTTTTAAGTATGAATAAAAACTATAAAATTATGAAAAGTTTTAGGTTAGGTAATTACTTTGAATCACTCTGGAGTCCCCCAATTTTCTCTAAGAAAGTATCTAAGTTACACTGAAAAGTATCTAAGTTACTTTAAAAAGTATCTTAGTTGCTTTAAAAAGTATCTTAGTTACTTTAAAGTATCTTTACCGAGTAACTAAGATACTTTTTTAGATAAAAGTTACAAGATACTTTTTTAAAGTATCCAAGTTATAGAAACTTTCTGTCCAATATAAAAATTATCTAAGATAAAGTATCTTAGATACTTTAAGTATTTAAGTAACTTTTAAGTATCTTTTTTTTAAGATAAGTACTCCCAGCTCTGCAAACCACCAAGTCTAATATTTGTTTAACATATCACCAAGTTTGAGTTAGACGTCCAAAAAATGTCCTGCTCAATCGAACCTTGAGTGGTATTTTTGAGAAAATTCCACGAGTACCTAAATAAATTAAGTCATTTTTGTGTCACTTAGCATTTCTCTATACAATAATACATCCGTTACTATAGAGAAGGTGAATAGAAAAATATTCGCCAATTTTGGTTCCATCCTTTTTATCTATCAGCAAACCATATTTTTGACAGTTTTTAAGAGGTTTAAATTGACAGAAGTGAAATTGTCAATTATATTAACTTACATTTTTTTTTCAAATGAACCCGTACTCTTTACTCGTGTTTTCACGATTACTACTCGTAACCGTAACGTCTCTTTACAAATGTACTTAACTTAAGTAACTTAAGAGTAAATATTTTAAATACCTACTCATACTTAAAATTTTACGAATACTTTTTTTAGTACTCGTGCCCAGCTCTGGTTAAATGGTACATGGTTTACTTTTATTAATAAACCATATAAACTATAAATAAATATTGCAACAAATTTATGGTTTATTTGCTTTAGGCTGTAACCCTCAAAAGAAGCATATCCGTTAAGGGATAATTATCAATTGATTTGATCTCGGATTTGATCAAATTTGGTATTAAAAACGTTTAATAAATATTTAAAAAAATTGTTATTTCAATAAAGAATTTGCTATTATATTTATTTTATTCCATTTGAATGGTTAAGATAATTAACTAATTGATATATTTCTTCCCAGGTTAATTTTCCACATAAATGATTTTTATTTTTTTAGTAATTAGAGTAAAAGTTAAAAACAACAATATGTATATGTATATTGCCAAAATTGACCATGAAATAAAGGATTTTTATAGTATATTATGTATCAAGTTTGATAAACGCCATTTTAGTCACGAATTTAATTTAGGCACGAGCAAGCTTGCGAGTGAGTGCATAATTAAATGAGTGCCTAGAAAAGTTTATAAGTGAGTTGCATAGTATACTTTTTCTACGATAAATACCTAATACATTAAATTAAACTAAATTAAATTAAATATTTGGATAAAGCGACAATAAAGTAACCATCCCAATAAACATTTTTGACGTAATTTTCACCATTAACATTGCCCGTTAATATTTTACTTAAACTTAACAATTGATGATACTTTAAATATTAAAAGAACTTTAAAATATGATTGTGTAAAGGCAATATTTTATCCTTTAGTTTTAGTTTTTTATTTTATCTTTTAGTTGTATTACTATAATTGCAAGGTATTAAAAATTCTTATACGGGAAATCGTAAAGGTACAAAAAGTGACAGTTGTATTTATTGGAATGCCCGTAAGAATTTCTAACTTGGGAATCTACCGGCGTTAAAATCTCAAATTTTTCTGTGTGAATCAAAATGTATCCCTTAAAAATAGACCAACAATCGATATAGAAGTTTTTTACATTAAAAGAGAAGAGAATGTTTTATGGGCACTGTACGCAAAATTTTTAACAACATTTGACAACTGTCAACTAACTTAAAAATAACTTTAGCCCGTGACTAAAAACATGTTGCTAACTTCAGGCCGTGACGAAAGCGCCGTTAAGCCACAACTTGTCAATGTTTATTTAAAAGGTCACTTAGTTAGTGTCATGGAAACATGTCCGGTAATGGGTTTTTTAAATGTGGAAGTAGCAAAAATGATTTTTATCGTCATTGGCCCTCGCGCTCTAAGGGTGAGGGGGTTCGGATACATTTATTTAGGTGGCGGGGTGATACGTTTTGTGACTTCGGCGACCTGGGAGGGGGGTCGGAAAATGTTCCAAAATCGAATTACTAATATGTAAACGGACCATTATAAGCGAATTTTACTAAAAACATAAATTAACCAATAATGTAACCGCGCAGTGTACACATTAGACTGGGACAAAAAAATCAACAATTATTTTTTTTTTAAAGTATATCAAAAATATGGTTTGGGGTGACAAAAAAAAATTATTGTGAAAGTTTGAGTCCATAGGTCTATCATCGCAATTTTAATTTTTTTTTCCTCAGCAAGTTCTTGTCTCAGAACTCCCAAACTATTGGGTTTAACAAAATTGACTCAGAAATATTTTTTTAAGAAAATTAAATGCTCTACAAAAAAAGTTAAAATGAAATTTTCCGTAAGATGAACCGTTTCCTTAAAATCATGCCTTGCTTTACAAAAAAAGCCTCCTAACATTTTTGGCTAAATTCACTCAATCAACAGTTATTCAAGGTTAAAGTTGAAGTCAAAACGAAATTCTTGTTTTTTCCTCTGTAGATTTTTTTATGGGTGATAAAAAAACTCTAATGTGTTATTTTTTTTAATTTTCAGTAATTTTATCAATAACATAAAGATTATCATCGATAAAAGAATTCAAGTTTTTAACTGACACAAAAAAAATCTAGAGCGGAAAAAACAAGAATTTCGTTTTGACTTCAAATTTAAACTTGATGTGATTTTAGCCAAAAATGTTAGGAGACTTTTTTTGTAGAGAATTTGATTTCCCATATGAATATTTATCGGTTTTTTTTCCGGGTACTGATTTTTAATGATTCCAAAGTTAAAAGATCAAATTGTCAAACTATACCAATTTTTAAGGCATGATTGTAAGAAAACGGTTCTTCTGACGGGAAATTCCAATCAAACCTTTTTTGTAGAACATTCAATTTTCTTCAAAAAAAGTATTTTTTGTCAATGGTTTGGGAGTTCTCGCTCAGCAATATTTTCGATATAATTTACAAAAAAAAAAAATAGTTGATTTTTTTGGCCCAGTCTAGTACACATCTTTTCAAACCTTACCTTTTACAAATACCTTGTTTTCATAAAAGTTAATCATGCACCATTGCACATATTCTTTAGTGTTTATTAAACCGTTTTCAATGGATCTTTCGCAAGAATTTCCTTAATCGATCAAAAAATTAAAAATTAAAAAGGATGCAAAAATTGTAAGGTTCTTACCACAATCCGGCTCTTCGTCGCATACCCATCCGCTGGGTATGCATTTTTTTGTGAGCGCACATTGAAACGTTTCCGGTCCGCAATTTTGCTTTAGCAGACACTCTTCGGCGGATTCGTCACTTCCGTCATCACACTGTGGAGTCGAGTCGCATTGCCACGATGCCAATATGCATTGACCATTGTTGCAACGAAAATGGTTTGGGGAACAGGTTGTGACTGAAACAATTAAAATGAACTTTTTATTTCAGGTGACTTAACTAAATACCTATAATATAGGTTATATATACATATTTATATAGTAAACTAAAGTTTACTTTAAATTACCAACAAATATAAAAAGTACAATCATGAAATATTTCTACTGTTTTGACAAAACGTGGATTATTTATAAAATCAAGCAGAAATAAATTATTGCCTCGTTAAATTTTCAGCAATATCATTGGTTTTATAGATTGAAAATGAAACTTAATGCATCTTACATAAAGTGAATTAAATTTAAAATTATACTAAAAAATACAAATATTAACACTAATCATATTTTTATCAATACATGAAAAAATTAAGTTATTTATAAATTAATAATTTCGTAATTAAAACATGAATTAAATTTTTTACATGTACAATATGTTCTTTAAATTTATACCAATTTTATTTGACTCAGTAAAAAATATTTCTTTTTGCCAGGGTTGGCAAAAAATAATTTAGTGATTTAATTCGTGAAGTAAATCAAATGACTTTTTTCAAAGAAGTCATAAATTAATTCAAACTTTTACTTCTAATTTAATTGCATTGAAAAATGGGTAAAAATTATGCTTTTTCACTTTTAAATTCATTCGTTGACATTTAATATGAATGCCTTTATTAAAATTTAATGCTATTTTCGAAAAGTCCAAGTAAAATAAGTCTTACCAAAAAGTGCTACTTATTTCTTGTTAAATTTTGGAAATTTCAAAAATTGTTTAAGAGAAAATATTATAATATATTTCACGGTGGATGGGAATAAATAAAATGTCGTAAGTAAAATAATTATGACTAAATTATTCCACTAAATTTTTTATTTCTTTTATTTTGACCGATATAAAATGTATCAAATAAAATAATTTTCAATTTTCGACTTTGTATTTTGTAAATTAGAAAAAGTGAATTATATCAAAAAAGCCTGAATTAATTCAAAAAGTCTGACTTTTACAATCATGACTTATTCCAACCCTGCTTTTTACCAAATAATTTATATTTATTCTGACCAGATCATAAATTTGTTCTAAGATATCAAGCAGTTATAAATAAATAATTTTATGCATAAGCCAAAATGATAATTTTGTCTTGAAAATAAAACAAAACGACTTCTTTTTGATACAACACTTAAAATAGTACATAACTAAAAATGTTTTACTAAAAATAAATATTCTAAGCTATACACAAAAAAATCGTATTCGCAGGGTTCAAGGTAAAAAATAATTTAAATATAGCACTAAAAATCACCTTGTTTTTTAATATTTAAAAAAATAGTTATGTTTTAAAAACATTGTTTTTATTTCTTTAAATTAGTTCTACGAAATCTTTAAATTGACATTTCATTTATTTAAATAATTTTTAATAGGATTATTTAATTAAGTTTTATTAAATTAATCTTATTTAAAAACATTTTAATGAATGATATGTATTTAAATTAATAATAAATTTTATTTATTATCTTCTTAATTTGAACTTTAAAAAAATTGATTAAATTTTACGATACAACTCATTTTAATTTCTTTTATGCACGATGACATTATAATATGACAATTATAACAAAAATTCTTTGACGTAAACGTCTTTTTATAGCCCGCGGGCGTTATTATGACCCAGCGGGCTATAATGAAACGTCAAAAATTAAAAACAACAATGTTACACCATTTGATATATTCGAAGTAAGTTTTTTCGTATAAAGATTTTGATTTTTCCGGCATCAGGCCGCAATTTTTCGCCTTTTCAGCTGCTTCCTCAATTTCATTCATCTTTAAACTTTAAAACTGACTGATGTCAGTTGACATTATAATATGACAATTATAACAAAAATTCTTTGACGTAAACGTCTTTAAAAACAATAATATATTAAAAATAATAATATATTAATCGTGCATAAAGTTTTGTATGCATTGCTGGCATAACTGGTTTTTATGGTCCTACGACGCTTTTCTAGCCCTCGCGCTAACGCGCTCGGGCTCGAAATAGCGCCTCGGATCATAAAAACCTTATTATGCCCTTAATACATAAATAACTATTATGCACGATGACATTATAATATGACAATTATAACCAAAATTCTTTGACGTAAACGTCTTTTTATAGCCCGCGGGCGTTATTATGACCCAGCGGGCTATAATGAAACGTCAAAAATTAAAAACAACAATGTTACACCATTTGATATATTCGAAGTAAGTTTTTTCGTATAAAGATTTTGATTTTTCCGGAAGCAGGCCGCAATTTTTCGCCTTTTCAGCTGCTTCCTCAATTTCATTCATCTTTAAACTTTAAAACTGACTGATGTCAGTTGACATTATAATATGACAATTATAACAAAAATTCTTTGACGTAAACGTCTTTAAAAACAATATATTAAAAATAATAATATTATTATATATTATATTAATCGTGCATAAAGTTTTGTATGCATTGCTGGCATAACTGGTTTTTATGGTCCTACTACGCTTTTTTTTCGAAATAGCGCCTCGGACCATAAAAACCTTATTATGCCCTTAATAGATAAATAACTATTACATAATTACACCCTTTAAGTTAAATTCCCTTTAAATTAAATAGTATAACATGCATGTCAGAAATTCTGGCAGTCAGATGAATAATTGAGTTAAAGGAAATTGAATGTACCTATAACTATAGGTAACTATAACTTTTTAAAATTTTAAACATTTTTTTAAAAGCTGCTTTGGTCACTTAAGTCATTTTACATAAAAGAAATTGTTAATTTTTAAAACATTTTAAGTATAAAAAATGCATTTTTTTACCAGACTAAATAATTATTCTTAAATTAGTGGACGATTTACCATATAGGGAAGATTAATTTCCGTACCAATAGACGGCAATACCGTATAGTAGTTGTTGCATTTTCAATTTGGAAAATTAATAAAAAAATGTTTCCAAGCTGTTTTTGAGAAAATATTCTAGTTTTTAATTTCGACATTTTCAGTACCTCCTTAGATTGCACAATGCTTAGGATTAGTAAAATTAAGACTCCCATTCTTTTAAAGAATTTTTTATACAATATTTTTATAATATATTTTAAAACTCTGATTTGGTATTTATACAATATTGTATAAATTTCGCAAATATTTAGTGCTTCAGTTTATTTATGTAGGTATTTTAATAACGTTTATTTAGAGCGTAGGTAATAAAAGAAAAATATTTATATTTACAACTTGAAAGTATTCTATGTATACAGAGTGTCCCATAATTAACTTGCAATACTTTAACAGCAGATTCTACGTACAAAAATAAACATAAGTCGAGAAATCCTTTCTAAGGGAGCTACAGCCCCCTGAAAGAGGAGCCCCTGAAGATGGTTTTTATTTAATATTTAGAAAACCGTTCAAGATAGAAACGTGAAATTTTGGGAATTGATCAAACTTTTTATGGCCAATAAGATTTGATAATAACAATTTCAAATTTTCCATGAGGGGTGGGTCAGATAGAAGGGAAAAATCACCCTAACTTCACCCTAACTTTTTTGTACGTGTCTTGTCCCAGGATTTGATGTCAGCTTATTTTATTTGGGAGGTTTATACACAAAAAGAAGGTCCTCTTGTTGAACTTCAATAATATTTACCATTTTCGCTTAAAATCGATTTAAAAATTTCCTTACATGTCACAAAAAGAAAGATTCGGCTTGGGCTATGGAACGGGGCTGCCAAGTTTAGGAAAAATTATTCAAGGCAGCTGACATTCCCAAAATTTCATTTTTCTATCTTGAACGGTTTTGGAGATATTAAATAAAAACCATCATCAGGGGCTCCTCTTTCGGGGGCTGTAGCTATAGCTATAGCTTCCTTGGGAAGCATTTCTCGACCTATGTTTATAGGAACTTTTTTTCCTATTTTTGTACGTAGAATCTGCTGTATTGCACGCTAATTATGGGACACCCTGTATAAGAATTCGCCTAAGTTTAAGTAATTTATGGTGGGTACTTTCTTTAAGCATTAAAAACGTAATTTAATAGGTTTAAAAGAGTATCAAATCCTAAACATGCGGTATTTTTTCAATACATCTGTATTCAATTTCATAGCTTCCTGTATTACCCGTTATTTAAATTTCTCGTGCTATTTATAAATAAATTTAAATTTTCTTCCTTGATTCGCGCTAGCGCGAATCAAGGAAGCATATTTAAATTAGCTTGGAATATAATAAGCAATAAAAACATATCAATTGAAGACGTTAACAATCCCAGTGACGTTCGTCATAATTACAACAATTTGAAACAACTTTTAACTTTTACCTACACTAAATTTTGTATGTAAAAACAAGTACGAACCCTGCTTAAAATACCCCATATATAGAGACCCTGTTCAAACCGATAGATATTTGTATTGGAATGTATGGAGTTTTTATAGGGTGTATCGGTATGTATAGCCTGTTTGGGATTTTGACTGGTCAAAATCTTTTGTGGTCAATTAACTAGTCAATTGACTAATGACCGGTCAAATTCTTTAATTTTTTCTAAAGAAATAAAGGCATGAGTAAAATTACTTAATTTTAAATAGAAACGTATATTTATTAAAATACAGCTAACAAAAAATAAAGAAACCATTCTGAGGTACAAAAAAAAGGTTCATAATATCATTGTTTTTAAGAACATTCACGTCTAACTCGCAGCAGAGCAGCAACAGCAGCCCAGCAGATACGACCTGAAGATGGTACATGAGATTGTACCGAAACGTCGTCAGACATACGGTTCTTTTAAGAACCAAAAGCGACAATACGAATCGAATATTGATATTCAATTCGAAATTCAAATCGAATAATTTGAATGTTCGAATTATTCGAAATTCTAAGAATAATTCGAAAAAAATCGAATTATTCGAAAAATTTTGAATATTTCGAAAAATTTAAAAAATTTCGAATAACTCGAAAATTTTCAAATAATTCGCGAAATAATGAAATATCTCTGGATTTTCAATTGCTTCCATTTAAATTCCTTTAAATCGGGAATCGAAATATTCTACTTACGAATAATATACTTTTCTTTAAAAAATCAATTACCCAAAGGAAAAAAAATCTATAAGAAAAAGGTTACTCATGTAATGTGTCAGTATCGTATTTATTATTTTTGCACAAAAATTTGTAGCAAATTTTCAAATGTTGTATTTTTCATAAAGGCCAATTCTCACATAGCCACGCGACGCGACACTTTAAAATGTAGCTGATGAAAAATTTCCATGCATTTAAATGAGACAACTCCCACATAGCGACGCGATGCGCCAGCAACGCGACTCGACAAAATTGTGTCGCTTCCTGGACCGAAAAAATTGCGCCGCGCGCTAAAAAGTAGGCATGAGTAAATTTACGAGCGACAAGTTTTGATTTTAAATGACCGGTAGGTATGCTTATTTAATAATTATTATTATTAGCAAATGTACGATAAACTGTTAAAAATGCGTAATAAATAGAGCCGATAAATGAAGATATTTACAGATATTATGGACTCTTTCTTTTCTTTTTTTGGTGTTCATACAATAATCGACAATAATGTCACAACTAATATATCTTCTTCTTCACTTGAAGACGATGAACTACTCATGATAAAGAACTAAACCGAACTGTATTGCAAATGCTACTCAAAGTAGTTTGCGTCGCGTCGTGTCGCGTCGCGCAGCTATGTGAGAATTAAGGCGCGATTTTGAAGCATTGCGTCGCATAGCGTCGCGTCGCTATGTGATAATCGGCCTTAATACTGTATTTGCTACGATATAATTTCAGTTATTTCATTCTCTTACAAAAAAACTATACTTATTGTTCTATTTGTGTAACTATATTTCATGGTTTAAATAAAATGTATATTGACTGTTAAATTCATATTTGAATATTGAACATAAGAAACCCTAAATTCAAAATACTCGAAAATTCGCTAATAATATAATAGTTACGAATAATTCGAAAAAATTTCGAATTATACGAAAAAAAATTCAATTATTCGAAATTTTTCGAATTATTCGAGAACTTTCGAATTATTCGATTCGAGTTCCGAATCGAATATTAATATTCGATTCGGAACGAATAATTTGTAAGTTCAAATTATTAGCACACCCCTAACAAATGCACATATTGAATCTGGTATCGCCCGATAGATTATTTTATAAAAGTTAGGTTACTTAAATTCGTCAGATGTCAAATCTTTCTGAATTAAAATTGGCTTTAATTCTTATTTCTGTTTCTCGTAGATAAAGTATAGTATGCAACTCGTTTTATAAACTTCTCTACACACTAGTTTTTATTAAACACTCGCTCGCAAGCTTCGCTCGTGCCTAATAAAAACACGTAATTGCGTTTATAAAACTCGATAAAACTTGATACAAAATATACTAGAAGTGACGGGCTTTAACAATAATTATTATCATATTAGTAAAAACGTGTAAGTAATCGGTTTTAATTTTAAAATAGTTTGTTCAGCACTAAATAAATAAAGCACAATAAGTAATAAATTTATTGATGTTGGGAAAATATCTATATAAATGAAAATATTGTTAAAAAATTGTAATATAGGTAACTATATACACCATGTCCTAAGTTATCTGCTTACCATTGCTACAATTTTAACTCCGCTATTATTGAAGCTACAAAGTCAGTCAAATTACATTACATTTTTTCTTTTGATTTACAAGGTGAAAACAAAAAACAATTGAGCGTTGGGTTTCCGAAATATTCATAAAAATATCATTTTGAAAGACAATTTAATTTGGAACAAAACATTATTATAGCATAACTACCTACCCTAAACTTAAAAATAAACATTATAATAATAAGGATTAGAGATGTGTCAAAAAACGTGAAAATCAAATCAAATCACTATTATAGTATAATACCTAACTTAATATTAATATTTTATGATTTGTGATTTGGAAAAACCAAATAAAATATGTATTATATAATAATTACAAACTATAACTATAACTATACATATTAACTATACAAGATAAAAATGGGGGGAGGGGTCTAGCAAAATCTCACCAAATCTTATTTTAAGAAAGAGTTATGAGTTTAAATAATATGTATTATAATCCCAATTTGTTAAAAAAATTAATCAATTTTTTTGGGGTTTATTATGTTGTCCGCAAAAAAAGTTTAATGGCTAGAATCTCACGTAAGGGATAGGGGGGTTCTACCTCATCTCACCAAATCTCACCAAGGGGGAGGGGGGTCTAAATTATCAGAAAAATGCCTCACGTAATTAATTTATCTCCCCTAATGTTGTGGCAACGAATTTTATAAGGCTGATGTTGTGTTTGTGTCAAAAGAAATAAAAATTCGTAACTTTATTATTAAAAAGAATATTTAACCTTCATGTCGGGTAATTTACGAAATTTTCAAATAACGAATCAAATCGAATATTATAACTTTTCAAAAACTTTGAGTTATTCGTATAGTTCGAATTATTTGAATAAATTATTAAAATGATTCAAATTTTTCGATTGGTTCCAATACTTGAAATATATGTAAGTACTTACCTATATGTATGTATAGGTAAATAGATGTATATGAATATAATATATTATATATAAATTCCCGATAAATTCATAAAGCATAAATATTTTTAAATGTACCTATATTAATATAATTTAAATGGTTTCTTCAAATAATAGGTAATATTTTAGGGATTTGTAAGATTAATGGAAATGTAAAATATATTTCTAAATTAAATACCTACCTACTAAATAATTTAAAAAAAATAACATTGAAATTCTTAAAACTCTATAAGAAAAATCTTTATTGAAAGCAATTATAAACCATGCAATTATAATCTATAGATTGGTTATTGTTCTCTATTAAGATAATTTTCTATAGAAACTATTTATAGGTATCTATTATAATATATATATATATATATATATATTATAATAGATATAGAAAGTAAAGACGTAAAGTAAAGACGCGCATTTTATAAAATAAAGATAAGATATAAGATAAACCATTCAGATCTCACTAATGTTAAAGTTACGGTATTTATTTACCCAACACCCTGTATATCTATTTTAATTAATTCATACAACACTGGCAAATATACTTCAAAGTTCATTTACAGGGTTCAAGGCAAAACAAACGGAAATTTTGTCTTATTTTCGATATTAATTAATTAATAAAAAAATGTTAATGTTTTGTCAGTATAACTTAGTGGCATACCTACCAAAGATCTTTGATACCTACTTCTTAATAAAAACAAATTATTTTGACCAATCATTATACATGTATTATTGCAATAATTAATTGTTGAATTACCTAATAAGGTTAATTTATCAAAATCAACAAGGTATACCTAAATGTATTACACTATAGTGACTATGTTTTTTTGTATATTTTATTATTATTATTATTTTGTTTGATTCTATCACTTACTTCATTTTAATTAGGAACTATTTATATTATTAGTAAAGCGTAATTTACCTGTACTTGTATCTATAGGTAGGTACTATAATTTAATTCATTAATGTCATAAACTACTGCAAACATTGTTTATTGACCTTTTACTTATTTTTACATTGTATTACAGCAATATTTTTAATTGCAAAATAACCCAAAAGCGCCTTCTAAAATTGTATTTACTTTACATATTTCTAAATATCATATCATATATGTGATATCTCTAAATATGTGATTTACTGGTAGTATAATCTTGAATTAATATTGCTAAACAAACCTTAATTGAGTTTAATTAAAACAAAATCATTCATTAAACTATAGTACCTATAGGTACTCAAAGCAAAAAAAGTTTAGCTACCTACCTGTTTCTTGCAGTATATCCTTTCCTTTCAAGGTAGAATTTGTAGCATAAACAAAATTGATAAACCCAATAACAAGAAGTCCATGAATCTGTAGCATTTTGCCGGTGGACACCTGTTTTCACATTTTAATAAATCATTTTGCACAAAACGTATTTACATTCACCCCTTTTTTGTTTACAAATAAAATGGGACAGAGTACCAGTCCTAAGTGTATAAATCTTCTGAGAAAACCACTTCACAGCGTGATAGTAACAAACAAAAATAATATGAAAACCCGTTTTCACCTATTGACCATACAAGAATTATCACTAAACAGAAAAACACTGACAAGCAAAAGTAACAAAATCGCTCTTTCTTGTGTTGCCACAGAATATAGTGCGCAAAGCTCCAGCAGCTTCCGCGAATACCTCAGTGCTGCCAAACGGGTAACACCAAAAGTTCTTATGCGATGCGATGCTTTCTATAGTTATTTTTTAAATTAAATCAATTTTATGACCTGATGATACCCAATATTTATTACAAAATAATAACCTAGTTATTTTTAAACCTCGAATCAAACCAACAATTCAAATTTCCCTGAAAATAAAAACGAAGGTCATTATTGCTAAAACCACATGTATACTGTTTACAGTACAGACAGACTGTGGTTTACAGTATACATACACAATGAGATAAAAATCTTCTTTAATCCATATAAAACTAGAGAAATAATGTTTTTTTTTAAATCAATACAAGAATCTCGCAGCGAAATGGTGTCCTTGAAATAGATAGAACTGGGTCTTTTTGTTTTCTTAGGTTTAAGACAATGCTTGTCAAACCAGCGACAGGTTTTGTTGTCATTTGTCAATATGTCATGTTTGTACGTCGTTAATATTTTGTTTTAAATGAATTAAACGAATTAAATTTATCCATTGGAATCTATGGAGAGGTTAAGAAGCAAATCGTTTCGTTTAAGAGAATAAGCTGATATCGAATTCACTACGTATGTTGTAAATATATAAATAAATTATTTAAATATTAGTCAGATGTAAAAAGTAACGGTACTATTCGTTTTATTTTATATTTCTTTAAATTGGAAGTTTATTGCTGAATGTTTTACTAAATTATACTTAGTTATTGTGTTTATTCTAATATTCTGAAAACAATAACATTAGATATTTTATGTATTTTCAGATCATAAGCCTTGTAATTATTAAAAACTTATAAAATGGAAGAGCAGGGGCCAGAAGTAACGTTTTTATTTCAATTTGGACTTATCAGGGATGCAGTGACAGTGCCACAATCATCCCTTAATTTAAAAACAATAAAAAACTTGGCTTGTAACTTTCTAAACTCCAAGGTATGTTTTTAAACTATTTTTTATTATTTTACTATTTCATTAATTTATTATTTGTTGCAGATTCCTGACCATGGTATTAACCAGATTGAACAAAGAATACTGTTGTTTAGACATGAATATAATTCAAATAATATTCTTCAATTTATTAATTCAGCCTCCGAGATAATGGATGAGACTCTAGTAGAAATAGTTTTAACTAATAAAGGTATATTTCTTTGGTTTATTTGCTTAGTCAATATCAATGTTTTAATTACAGTGCCAGCATCATTGGTTCCAGAAATAACAATAGTTAGGCCTCATGCACTTTCAGTTCACTCTTATAAAACTCCAACTTTTTGTGATTTTTGTGGAGAAATGTTATTTGGCTTAGTAAGACAAGGACTTAAATGTGATGGTGAGTATAATACACTTATCAGCCCAATTACTTCACTTTTTACATTATAAAAATTAGTTAATTTCTTGAAACAAAAAGTGATCTCAAACACTCTGTTTTTTTCTAGGTTGTGGTTTAAATTATCATAAACGTTGTGTAGTTAAAGTACCAAACAATTGTTCATATACTTTGATAGAGGACCGACAAAGACGTAGGTCTGCCAATTTGCAAGTGCCAAGAAGTGCTTCTGGTGGTTCGGGAGGATCAACTTCTTCCCTTACTTCAGCCAATTCAACACAAACTGAAGACAGTGGCTTGGTAAGACTAGCTAATTTTTTTACTGGTGTCAATATGGATTAAAAATGTTGATTAGTATTGTTTTAATTAGGTTTGTTCCTACTGAGCATTTGGACTGTCATATTGTACGAAAATATGGTTGCGAATTTGCTATTGCGCATTTGGCATTTCAAATGTTTGATAGGAATGAATTATTTTTAATTGTTTTATACCTATATTATTACAAACATGTGCTCAATAGGAACAAGCCTATTAATGGATTTAATTTTAAATTGATATTTTCTGTATTTTTATAAAAAAAAATTTATTGACAATAATTGATATTTCGGCCATTTCAAGCGCGCGAAACGCACGAATTACAAAACTGTTTTTATAAAAAAAATTGTAGATTATTTATTATATAATATTTTGGCAACAAAATTGTCAAAAATATTCTTCTTTTATTAGGTTATACATTAAATTAAAAAAAGCGCAAGAAATATTTTATGAAAGTAGATATTATTTTAATAATTGAAAGGTGTGGACGGGACAAAAAAAAGATTTATCTTGTCCCGTCCACCCCTGTCAATTATTGAAATTATCTCTACTTTTATAAAATATTTCTTGCGATTTTTTTTTATTTAATGTATAGCCTAATAATAGAAGAATTTATTTGACAATTTTGATGCAAAAATAATATATAATAAATTACCTACAATTTTTTTTATAAAAACAGTTTTGTGATTTGTCCCGTCCATCCGCTTGAAATGGCCGATTTCTTATTGATAGTTTGAATCTGGACTTTAAATATTACATTAAGCTATTTTACTGTTAATTTTGTAGTTTAATGATTATGTTAAAAATACTAATGTTATATTATATAGTTTATTAAAAATATAATTTTATACCTATATTTAAATAATAGCTGAAATAATTCCATATATTTTTGAATACTACTTTTCACTTATATTATTTTTATTAATACTCATTTTAAGAAATATTTTGTAATGTAAAAAAAAATGTTTTCTCAAAAAATCGCATTTCCATGTTATCCGTCCATGTTTTTTATCATTTATTATTTTAGTATTGGTGAGGTGGAGGTTAAAGATAATTAGTTTGTTTTTATTTTTGTATATTTTTAATACAAGCTGTTAAGTATATTTTTGTTTTATTTATTTTTTGTGACATTTTAAATGTCACATTTATAAACCTCCCATCATACGTTTTTTAAATAATAAATATGCATTGATATCAGGGGTGTGCGATAATTTGAAAAATTACGTTTTCTTGTATTTTTTTATTTTACTTCATTTGACAAGAAAGTAAATATATTTACTTAATATTTTTGAATATACATTTTATGACTCGCATATAAAAACTCTCAAAATGTATTTTCTCTTTGTTATAAAATAGTATATTCTGTTACAAGTTTGGAATGCAGCATATTTCGCTCAAGTGAAGAGTCACACGAGCCGAAGGCGAGTTTTACGGTTTCACGAGAGCGGAATATGCAATTCCAAACGTGTTTCAGACTATACTTTTTCTACGTTTCCAAAAAATACCATAGAAAAATAATTTAATTTGAAAAAAGTGAGGTTGGATCGGTCTAAAATTTGTTAGATATTAAAAACAGAGATGTCGCCATGAGTGTTTATTCTGTCATCAGATGGTAGAATATTTCATTCTGTAACACTTTATGGAATATATGTCATTCCATAGATAAAAGTGATATATTTAGGCCATTAAATATTCTGTAGTTTAACTAAATTTATTGGATATTTCACAGGGTGTCCCAAATATAGCGAATTAACGCAATATACCACGCGGTGGAATAAGTACAATTGTTGGGCAATATTAAGCATTTAAGTTTAAAACAACTCTGAATTTTCTTATCCAACAAAACGGTGGTTATGAAAACGAAATGAATTTAGCATATTTAGCTTCAGACATAGTTTAAAATTTTTTTTTACAGCTTGTGTAAAAAATAAAACTAACTTTTTTATTAATAATTAACAAATTAAAACTTATTATTATTGAAGCGTCCTTTAAATTTGTTTTAGGTCAATCCACGTTACTCGGGGATTTTTGTCCCGCCCGTCACAATTAAAAATTGTGAGTAAATACTACACGTTATAAAATTTATTTAAAAATATTGTTTTATTATGCTTTTAATAAGTTATAAGCACAATAAAAATAATATTATAAAGTATTAATTTTATAACTTGTGGTTTTTACTCACAATTTTTAATTGTGACGGGCGGGACAAAAATTACCGAGTAACGTGGAATGCCCCTTTTATAAAAAGTATATTAATATCGTTTTATATAAATAAATAGTGTTAAAACATTAAAATAACAAAACAAATTATATTTAAAGAATCTTAAAAGTTTTAGCATTGAGTAAGATAATACATCTTACTTAATGGTTTTAGGTTAAAACTTTAACTAATTGTCAGAATTTTGTTGTACTTTTTAGATACCCTGTAGGTAGTGGCTCAAAAATTGATTCCCTTTTTATTTAATTTATATATTCTTAAAAACAATACACAAAACAAGAAAAACCATAATTTTTCATAAAGATTGTTAACTCTTATTTCAGACCTTCAACAAGTCTTCACCTTCGCTGGGCGGCCGCCCGGCATGGGTGGAAAAAGAAATGTCCGGGCGCATGCGCATTCCGCACACGTTCGTATTGCACTCGTACACCCGACCAACCGTATGTCAATATTGCAAGAAACTGCTGAAGGGTCTGTTTAAGCAGGGCCTGCAATGCAAAGATTGCAACTATAACGCTCATAAGAAATGTCTAGATAGGGTACCTAAAGACTGCACTGGGGAGCTGCCAAGAGATGCTTCAGGTACAAATTCGACATTAATTAAATGTTTTTGAGCTATTGATTTGTTGTAGGCAATTTTGAATACGCCGAAAGTTCCACTAGTAACGATAGCCATAGTAACTTAAATCTATTAGATGACCAAGATTCGGATAAAGCTACCTACCACGAAAATGGTGCTAATAAATACATAGAAGTGATACCGGTTCACGATGATGACAACGAGTTAACTCCTTCCATGTAAGTTATTCGATTTTTATTCTTAAGGAATGTGTATTAACAGCAAACACATAAGTCTGATTATGTAATGGCCCATTACATAGTTTCATGTCTTAATAATGGCATTTTTATCCAAAGCCTTTACAGAAATGTATTAGTAAAAATATTAATTTTGATAAAAGGCTGTCGCGATAAGGTCTTGCAATGGCCTTTTTTTGCTAATATTTGTATATTTTACCATAAAAGACCCATATAAGGCAATTTTCAGTATTAAGTTAATGTAACTTTAAAAAACCATTGAAGTGCCAAATGTTTTCTGTATATAAAACCCTTTAGTTAACGCCATATTTTAAAAATGACGTCCAGTGTAATTCCTATAGTTTTAATAGTGTGTCATACCACATACAAAAATAATAATAATACCTAATGGTTGTTAAATTTAAATGAGTAAGTAAGTGGATTTTTAATTTTACAAATTTTAGAACTCTTATTACAGACAAAATACCGCCAAAAAATTTATAAATTATCAATTAAACCTTTCTACTAGTAAAAGGGTTTAATTGCGAATAGAAGAAATTAATAAAGGAATGAAAACCTGGTTTTCTTTGTTATATAAAACAATCTACCAAAAAATCAAGTGAACTTATTTGTAAATATATATTTTAATTTTAAATATTTTCTATTCAGTTTAAGGATTTTTTTATTTAAATATTATGGATTCCATTTATTACCTATAAAAGTATTTAAAATAAAATTTTTATGCTTTTTATGTATAGGTCTTTATTACAACAAATTGCTTTGTATTTTTTCTTGTAAATTTATGAATGTATGAATGTTATTACATTTCACGATAATATATTAATTAATGTAGGTAATGGATAAGTAAAGTATTTATTATGGTGCATTAAATGTGGTTTGTTTATATTTATTGGGTCGGATATTCCACGATAATCGGAAATTTTATCCCGACCGTCAGAAATTGTATAGTGACTGTAGGGATAACAATTTCTGATTATCGTGGAATATCCTTATCTAATAAATATATACCTGCCACATTTAATCCACCATAATATATACTTTACTTATCCATTAAAAATTATTTAAATAACCACTACAGAATCTTTAACACCTCATCAGAAACTTTAGGTTGCCACATTAGTACCTTTAATCTGCCATATCAGAAACTTTGGCGCGCCTTATCAAAAAATGGAATGGTTCTTGTAAGTGCCTTTATTAACATGCCCATTAAAGGTGAACGCGACATAATATTTACAGGGTCATTCCATGACAAACGATACCTACTAAGGGTGAAAAAATAAATATGTTCTTTCCGCACTAAATCTAATGAATTTTGAAAGAAAACATTCCAAATGTGCGACAAAAAAAACTAGAAGGAACGCGTAATTTTTAAGTTAATTATTCTTCAAAATCTGTACACAAGTGAACTGGCTAAATGACCATTGTGCCTCTAACTATTGGAAATACGAAAAAAAACTTTCAATCTGTCAACCGTTGTGATTTGAGATTATTTATCCTAGTATAGGTGGATTGGGTCACAGTCCCGAAAAAATTGATAATTATCACGTTATAACACCCGAAACGAAAAATCATGTAATTGTTTTATTATTATACCTTATAGATTCATTAGTGTAATAATAATATTTAGTAAAAGTAACGTTATGGTGGTAATGATTTAAAATATCTGAGCATGAGATGTGTTTTTCATGACACCCGAAACGTTTCAACTTTTTTCATATGTCGATATATGTGTGTATTGCTTGAATAATGCAATAAATATTAATTTTAAGGCTCTCTCGACGACCCACTAGCGCCTCCAGCAGTCACAGCTCTTTTAAAGAGGTGTGACTGCTTTTCCGATGGTGTTGTCGAACCTACCGAAATTTCGGCATTTCTACCTAAATGGCAACGGATCTACCAAAATACCGAATAATTATGTTTCTACCAATTTTTTTACCGATTTTTGGCAATAATAACGATTTTACCTTTTTTGCCGATTTATCAATCGCACCCGAAGTTGCTTAAATTATGTTTAAGGAGAATTCCTTCTATTTATGTTAATTTGATACTAACTTATCTTGTAGTACCTAGATACTAATAAACCACCGATTCTGTCCATATAAAGGGTTTAATTTTTGTACTTGTAACACCCGAAACAAAGTAAAATTTTATAAAAAAAATAGTAAATCGTTATTTGTGACAGTGATTACGTGATAGTTAGTAAATATTATACTTTTGGAGTCCTGTAATTTTTAGGAATGTTTCCGTAAGAAAATTCGGTGAATTTCAAATAAATCTAACAATGGTCAGGACGTAGAGGCAGAATCGTGAAACACCTGAAACGCACACTTTTTGACTTATAAAATAATAAAACAACTAAAAACGTAGAGAATAAGGCTAAAATGTTATTTCAAAATACATCAAAATTTAGACTTTGGTTGAACAAATGTAACAACCGAAATGACCCTACAGTTCGATTAGAGTTAGCATTTAGTTCATTAAAGGCACGTTTATAAAGGGCCATTATAGAAAATTTACGGTTGTGTTTGCTGGGAAATGTCACGGCAATCTATGTATTTGATATTTAATGAAAAAAATATTTATCTTCTTCCAGAGGTAGTTCGTCGTCGTCGCCCAGCGCCAACATTCCGTTGCAACGAATAGTTCAATCGGTGAAGCACACGAAAAGAAGAGGCTCGAAGGTGATCAAAGAAGGCTGGCTGGTGCACTTCACGAACAAAGACCGAACGGTCAGGCGGCACTTCTGGCGCGTGGACACGAAGTCGATCGTGCTGTTCCAGAGCGACCAGGGCTCCAAGTACTACAAAGAAGTACCGCTGTCGGAAATTTTGACGATCGACTCGGCGCGCATCAAGCAGGGCGACGTGATGCACTGCTTCGAGATAAGAACGGCCAACGTGGATTATTTCGTCGGGCAGGATCCTTTGTACAATTTGCAGGACGTAAATTCCGTGAACTTGCCTCCGCCCGATAGCGGCATCGGTGCCTATCTTGCCAAAAGTTGGGAGAACACCATGCGACAAGCCTTGCTGCCCGTTACGGCGAATACACGTTAGTAATAATAATAATAATAATAATAATAATATTAAACTTTATTGCGTAATATACATAATATACAAAACACAATGGGTGTAAGCTCAGCATAGCTGGTCAACCGCTTAAACCATATAGAATATGTACAAAATTTAAACATTTAGCAAAGCTAGTATTACGGTAATTGGACGATTATTTAATTAAAACACTTTAAGTATTATCAATACTTTTATTTAAAGTTCTTACACCGACTATGTTCAATGGTTAAGTAAGTTGGTTTCATAAAATATAGGTCGTAGTGCTTACATGCTAAATCATCAGTATTAGGATAAACATACAGAGTGGACTACGTGACATTTAAGCAGCATTAGTTTTTGGATATTTCAATAGTCCACCTCAAAAAATTAATGGATATTTTAAATGTAAGAACTTATTCAGTATTTCATCATAAAGGCAAAATTTTGTGAATCAGCGGTTTGTATCATTTGTAAATTTTTTTCATTTCGGCTTGTATTATAATTTTTATTACCGATTTTTTTATAATAAAAACAATCTCTTTTTGTGTGTTTTTTCCTGCCACAATGATCACATTTTACGGTGTAAGATTTGTTAGATTTTTTTTGTGTGTTTTAAAACGAAATTGTTTTGTTTCTTGATTATATCCTCGGTGTGGTTTTCGTTCTTGGCTCGTCCAATTTTTTCGGAATTATTTCCTTTGTTGGTGTTTTTAGTGTAGGCATTTAAAACTTTTGTGCTAGTATCATTGCTTTCATTTTTGATTTTTATTTCGTGATCAAGTAGTCTAGTTTTAACAAAAGCTAGGCTTAGGTTGTCATCGGAAAGTGTTTGAATTGCTGTTACGACCCCGTCGTACGAAGATGGTAATGTTAATAGTAAATGTGCAACTTTACCCATTTCATTAAGGTTAGCTCCTGCAGCTGTTAATTCTATCATCATTTCATCAAATTCAATGAAATGTTTTATTAGCGATGTCTCAGCCTTTAATTTAAAACTTAGTAACTTTTTCTGCACTGATAATTGTGTTGCTAAGCTTTTTCTTTCATAGATACTATCTAGTTTTTGCATAATATCTCGGGCTGTTAATTCTTCAGTGACAATTCCAATCAATGAGTCGCTAAGATGTTCAATTATGCAACCTTTTGCAGTTCTATCGAGTTTTTGCCACTCATTGGTAATGGTTTCTGGAGGATCTTGATCAAGAACTAGTAGAGCGTCTTCTTCACTAATTAATGCCCTCAAACGAAATTTCCAGATGCTGTAATGTTCTCCTTTGAAGGGTTTAATATTTTGTTTAATTTTTTTATCACTCGCCATTGTCACTTTAGTGTCACTTTTCACAAATTTTATTTAGTTTTGTTTTAGTTTAGTTTTTATTTTTAACGTCACTATTTCACCACACTAATAATTATTAAACGTATTCTGGGCCCATAACCTATTAGGGTAATTGGACGATTATTTAATTAAAACACTTTAAGTATTATCAATACTTTTATTTAAAGTTCTTACACCGACTATGTTCAATGGTTAAGTAAGTTGGTTTCATAAAATATAGGTCGTAGTGCTTACATGCTAAATGATCAGTATTAGGATAAACATACAGAGTGGACTAAGTGACATTTAACTACGGTTTCGCGAAAGGATCGAACGGTCGATTTGCAAGGGTTCAAGAAATCGATTGAAACTTTTTTACCTTATTTCTACATCTTAATGCAGTACTTTTTTCAAAAAAAAAATCTCGTCCATTGACAACTTTGTTTTTATTTTAATTTTTTTCTTCGCTGTGTTAAAAATGAAGAAATTTAATTTTTTTTAAATAACTTTTTTATTTCAAAACGTATCGATTTGAAATTTGGACAAAATGTGGATCTTACTAATGACAATTAATCCATGAAAAAATTTTGTTTAGATTATAACGTACAGGGGGCGCTGGTGATAATTTAGTTTAAAATTTGACAATTTTTAAAGGGCAAATAATCGAAGAAGCAACTTTGTTTTATAAATTTGAGTATAGCACGTGAAAGTATTGATATTTGACTATTATTTGATATATTAACTTTTTTATGCAAATGATGTTTCTGTGGCCAGGATCAGTTTTGAATTAGCAGTAGCAGTATTCATAAATGCTTAGTTTAGTACATTTTGTCATTTTTATACAAATATTGTTTTATCTTTTATTAATAATTAAGTAAAGCATAACACATAAATGACGTTTAATATACAGGGTGTTTCACGTACCTAGTCCGTTGGAAGTTTCTAGGGAATCGCGAAAGACATCGATTTAAAATTTTAATAGCGTAAAGTATTCGCTTTAGACTCTTTTCCTAAATTATTTTAAACAAAATAATACTTCCTGTTTTACCGGAATACCTCATATATTTTTACATTATTTAATTCTACATAAAATTCTGAGTAAAATGGCTATACCATATCCTATACTTAAAGTCAATATTTTTTGAGTTATTATTTTTTCAATCAAATATTTTAATTAATTTTAAACAATGACAGATTTGGTGGTAACGATGGATACTGTTACATTAAACCATATGTAGAATTTCAGAGGTTTGTTGATACAAAATAGTATTGAAAATATTAGAAATTGTTAAAATTTAATGTCTCTGAAATTTTAACTTTAGGAAAGAGTTACTATAATACCAATCGAAAGATTCTTTAATGTTCTATTTGATTATGTTAAAACATACAGGGTTTTACATTTATAATAAAAACGTTGTTATTGTTTGAATTTCGCCTAATTTCAAGTGGTTTTTCTCAAGGTATTTGTTGAAAAACCTTTAAAAAACTAAACAATGTTTTAATATTCCAAAAATTCCAACCCCATGTCAACAAACAAATTAGAGGCTATTTTGATTAACGTGCATTTTAAAGAAAAAAATTAATATCTTGAAAACTATTGACTTTATGTATAGGGCCATTCCACGCTTAACGGATAGGACAGTTGCCGTGTTTTTATTTACAAAATAATATTGTTCTATTATATTACCAATGTCAAATTTTTATAAATAGTTCTAAACAAAAGCTGTTTAACAAGGTTTTTATTTGGCAAAATAAGGTATCGTGATTGACTGTTTAATTCCTTAAAAATTAATAATTTAAAGCGTAACGGGCGGGACTATTACAAAGTCCCGTCCGTTACGCTTTAAATTATTGGTTTTTAAGGAATTAAACAGTCAACCACGATAACTAATTTTGCCAAATAAAAACCTTGTTAAACAGCTTTAGTTTAGAACTATTTATAAAAATTTGACATTGGTAATATAATAGAACAATATTATTTTGTAAATAAAAACACGGCAACTGTCCTATCCATTACGCGTGGAATGGCCCTATAGTCTAAATCAAATTGTATATTCTATTAAAATTTCAAATCCATACCGTTTGCCTTTCTCCAGAAACACCCTGTATAGCATTATATTGCAAATGCAAAATAACTAATTACAAAAAATCGAAAAACAAATGAATAAAAATATAGGTATATCTAAATAGCCGATTGCAACATAAAAAGTCTTTATTCTAATTTATTTATTGGGTATATATTACTTTCCTCAGTTAGAAATTAAAATTGAAGCTTGTTTATCGAGTAAAATATAAATTGAAGCTTGGTTGTGGAGCAAAAAATAAAATTAAAGTAGGTTATAATTTCTAACTTGCTGATACTGTCTATACTTATTATTTAGTGTATTCATTTTAATAAATTAATATTTTAAGTTTATAAACTTAGTCTAGTCTAGTCATTTGCAACTTATAAACTGAACTGTTAAATTATCTTTCATGCTTCCAATGGTAGGTTACCATAGAGATAAGTCTGTGATGCCTACTATGATCAAAATTAGTAAACTTAAAAAAATTTAAAATTTATAAATAAAACTAATTTTAGCTCCATCTATGGCGATTTTTTTAAATAAATATGTAAGAATTGTATGTTATATATAAAATATTGTATGTAATATATAATACATTATCTTATAAAACTAGTTAAAAGAATTTATAATTTGTAAAACACGTTAGTATTACGCTCTTTGAAGGCTTAACTTAAAAATGGTGTCTCTCGTAAAAACATAATTTGCATTTAGAAGTTTATATATCAAATAATAGTTAATTATCAGTACTTTAACGTGATATACTCAAAATTATAAAACAACGTTGCTTCTTCGACTTTTTAACCCTTAAAAAATGGTAAAATTTTAAATTAAATTGTTCACCGTGCCCCCTGTATATTAAAATCTAAAAAAAATAATACGTGGATTTATTGCCACTAATAAGGTCTACATTTTATCTTAATTTCAAATCGATACGTTTTTAAATAAAAATGTTATTACAAAATATCGAAATTTATCTATTTTTAACACAGTAGAGTGACTTAAGGCTTGAAAACCACAACGGTCAATGGATGAAATTTTTTTTTTTGAAAAAAAAGTACCATTTAGATGTACAAACAAGGTAACAAAAATATATTCAATTCTGGCATCACTTGCAAACAAATGTCCAAAATTTGTTCGATTTTCACGCGAAACCATAGTTAAGCAGCATTAGTTTTTGGATATTTCAATAGCTAGTCTTCCATCTTGCCCATTAGGGTGTCCGTTATTTGGGCGATGTGCGAATTTTTTTGCTCGCACCCCCCAAAAAGTTGTAGTTTGGGAAAAAAAAATTTTTGGTAATTTTTTTAGATTTTTATTTTTTAATTAACCCGTGCCGCAAGAGGGTTAAAGATTTAATTATTGTTAAAATATGATTAAATTTTGCCTTTCACTATAGGCTTACCACTCCACGATTTTTCAATGAAAAAAGTCTGTCGAGTGGTTTTCTTATAGTTCAAACACCGCTAAACCCGAATCTGAAATTCGTTTTTTTTTTTCATTAATCGTTTTTTTAGAATAGCCTGTGTCGGGAGTAGGTAAAATCGCAAATCGGATGAAAAATGGGATTAGGCTCTTTTCACATTCAAAGTCCTGTAACGTCGCCAGTTTTCAATAAAAAAATCTGAAAATTGGTATACTTATGGTTTTGACATCGCTGAACTCGAATCTGACATTTTCATTGATGACAGCTGTCAAAATAGCTGTCAAAAATCCCAAAAAAACGGTTTTTTATTAAAAATGCCCATTTTATGGTTATTTCATGCGCTGAATCTGAATTTGATGCACTTTGAATTATTTATTTTCATAAAACCGAAATCCAAATCACTCAATAAAATGTACAAATGATTTAACTGTCAAATTTCAAGTTCCAAACATAATTTTACAGGGGCAAATGGGCATTTTTAATAAAAAATCGTTTTTGGGATTTTTGACAGCTATTTTGACAGCTGTCATCAATGAAAATGTCAGATTCGAGTTCAGCGATGTCAAAACCATAAGTATACCAATTTTCAGATTTTTTTATTGAAAACTGGCGACGTTACAGGACTTTGAATGTGAAAAGAGCCTAATCCCATTTTTCATCCGATTTGCGATTTTACCTACTCCCGACACAGGCTATTCCAAAAAAACGATTAATGAAAAAAAAAAACGAATTTCAGATTCGGGTTCAGCGGTGTTTGAACTATAAGAAAACCACTCGACAGACTTTTTTCATTGAAAAATCGTGGAGTGGTAAGCCTATAGTGAAAGGCAAAATTTAATCATATTTTAACAATAATTAAATCTTTAACCCTCTTGCGGCACGGGTTAATTAAAAAATAAAAATCTAAAAAAATTACCAAAAATTTTTTTTTCCCAAACTACAACTTTTTGGGGGGTGCGAGCAAAAAAATTCGCACATCGCCCAAATAACGGACACCCTATTGCCCATGACTTAAAAATAAATAAATATAACAACAAATAACAAACAAATTTTAACAAATATTTCTTTGGTTGATTAAACTTTGCTTTTTAAGGTATTTTTTAAATGGACGCCTTTCTGCAGAAAGGAACCAACCCACAAAACCAAAAAAATCGAGATATTTAGCCTATGAACTAATTAAGTATGTATAATTTATCTGCAAAATAGGTCATAGCCAAAATGCAAGTGTAGTGAAATCTATTAATCATTGAACCAACCAACATTCAATAATAGTGTGAATTACTAATCCAGAATTAGAATCTGTAGAATATCTGCAAGTGGGTTGGATCTTTTTTGTAAAAAAGCAGGCTGGTAGACCCACTACCAAAGTCTTTAAAGATTTCCTGCTTCTGCAAAATATAAAGTCTTGATGCATTTTTTTGGTAGCTTACAAGATGAGGTGGGGTTGGAAGATGATGTGGACGAATTTCAAATAGAATCAAAATTAATTCATATTACCATTATAATAGTAATATCAGTTGTATTTTGTTTGGAAATAAATAAGTGTCGCTTTTCTTTAAATACATACATACATCAGATAGTAGTTTTCATAAATTGCAGAAAGGAACCAACCAACAAAAGCCCATTTTTTTCGTCACCCTTACACATAACATCACAAAATCCACCTGATGAAATTATTAAATTATATCCCTTAAACCTCAAAAGTCCAAAATCGGCATAAAATTAACAGGTAATTTTAAAATTATTAAAATCTTTGATAGCTTTTTTCTCAGTTTCATCATGGTGTGGGTTGGTCCCATTCTGCAGAAAGCCGTCCAAATGTTCTAAAGAAAAAATATTTAAGTTTTCATTTATAAATTTAGGCGCCAAATATTGAAAACAATTTTAAAATTTAGCAGATTTATGCTGGGGAATTGTATACAATTTGGTTTGTCTTAACTTGACATTGTGCATGGCGGACCTTTGTTGCAATAAAATAAATAAATAAATAAGATGGTTCACCTGTTTTTAAAACATGCCCAATTGACAGTTAAAAACATATTCGCATTTTAAAATATTTAGACTAACATAAAACAGGGTTACATGATCTCTATATCTAACATTAAAAGAAAACCTTAGACAACAATTTTGAACTTTTTAAACTCTATTTTTAAAATAATTACTAGCAAAATTAAAATACAGACAATAGCAATAGTTAAATGAACTTAAAATAATACTATTACACAGTTTCCATTTCAAATCACAACTTAAAAAGTTTTTATTACAATAAATTGACTTAAATTTAACAAATGCACATTTTACAAATTAAAATTAATAATTTTTTTTTGGGTTAAATATGTTGTTTTTTTTTTAGAACCAGAGGACACTTCAGTCAGTGAAGAGCAAATAACTGATATGAGTCAAATTTATCAAATATTTCCAGATGAAGTTTTGGGATCTGGGCAGTTTGGTATTGTGTATGGTGGGGTGCATCGAAGGACATCTAGAGCAGTAGCAATTAAGGTAAAATTAAATAAAAATTGTATAGTTTTACTAAAATTAGGCTAATAACGTTAGTCTTGATAAATATATCAAAAAGGAACAGTTTTCATCACACCTATAAAAAATGTTTATTCATTAACTGATTTTTTCTCAGCCTAAAATTGGCATACCACATAAGGTATAAAAGAAAGAAGAATGGATCCAAAATTGTACTCTGTGAAACTTCAGAATTGAGATTCTTAAAATAACCAATTCTTTATTAGTAACAGCTGTTTATGTTCTTCAATATACATATATAGGCAGAGCTGGGAAAGTTACTTCTGAAAAGTATCTAGTTACTTTTCTAATATACTTTAAACAAAATAACTTAGTTACCTCTGGTAACTAGATACTTTGAGTTAAAAGTATCTTTAGTTACAAGGTACTTTAAAAAGTATCTAAGATACTATCCGAAAGTATCTAAGATATTATATGAAAGTTACTTTTAAGTATCTTTTTTTTCAAGATACTCTCAGCTCTGTATACAGGGACGTTGCGAAGGTTTCGATTATGGGGAGGTGATTTCTTTAAAATTCCGATTTTTCAAAGATTTTGCTGACTGCAGAAATGTTTTATATGAATAGGCTATGAACAATTATTCTTACACCTATACCAATTTGGTATACCAAAAAAGTTTTTGGGAAATCTATTAGCAATGCCGACTCGGCAAACCTTAAAAAAATGCCGACTGAATTCGTAGAAAAATAAGGATCTGAATTCACTTTCGTATCTTGAAATTAAATAGTTTTCATAAAATACCGATTTTTTTATAATTAAACTAAATATTTTATCGAACTCCGGAAAACTTGGGGGAGTGTGACAACCCCCCACACCCTGTTGCACCACTCTCGCTAGGTCCCTGTATATACAGGGTCTTCCAGAACTCGCGCCTCAGAGAAAAAGGGGGCTTGATAATTGTAATGGAGATGCCAAATTTTGCATGAAATGATTTTTTCTACAACCGAGCGAAAAGTGCAAATTTGCGCTTCCGCCGAGCGACAAAGTAACCAAAACGCTCGGTTAGTTACCATGGAAACCATAATAACTTTTGACAAAAAAGTCAAATTTGAGGTTATCAATAATTATTAATTGTTACCAAACGTTTTTATAAAAACACCGGTTGTAGAAAAAATTCCTGTGTGTAATTTGAGCGCAAAGTGACAATGCCGCTCTCGCGAGATAGCCGCACTCCGCTACGCGTCGCGCGTCAAACTTCTCGCTCAGAGCGAGAATATATCACTTTGCGCTCTTAATACACAAATACCTATTGCATTACCGTGCGTAAGGAATTTTCACTTTAAAAATGTAGCAGTATCCTTGCTTAAAATACCCCATAGAGACTTATACAAAATAATCTATAGGACGCTACCGGATTAAATATGTGCATTTGTCCCTGATTTTTTTCAGATACGGCCCGATAGAATATTTATAGAAAAATAAAATAACTTTTACATTTTCCCTATAGAGCAACCGTAAAACATTTGACAAAATTTTATTAAAACCTATGGGGTCCTATGGGGAAAAACAAATTTCTACATTTATGTGTATTTTCCCCATTGAAACCAATAGCAAATAAATCAAGGGTGGATATCCATATAGAACAACCATAAATCCCAACTATGGGTCCTAACATACCGGTACACCCTATAGAAACACCATACATTCCGATACAAATATATATCGGTTTGAACAGGGTCTCATGGGGTATTTTAAGCAGGGATCTCCAACAGGACAAAAGTTCACATAACGTTTTTATTCTTCAATTAGGTAATAGACAAACTGCGTTTCCCGACAAAACAGGAAGCGCAGCTGAAGAACGAAGTGGCAATCCTGCAAAACCTGTCGCACCCCGGCGTCGTGAACCTGGAACGGATGTTCGAAACGCCCGAACGAATTTTCGTCGTGATGGAGAAACTTAAGGGAGACATGCTGGAAATGATCTTGTCGCACGAGAAAGGCCGGCTGACGGAACGCGTCACCAAATTCCTCATCACTCAGATACTGATAGCTTTAAAACATTTGCATAGCAAAAACATCGTTCACTGTGATTTGAAGCCCGAAAATGTGCTTCTCAGCTCGGACGCCGAGTATCCGCAAGTCAAGTTGTGCGACTTCGGGTTCGCCAGGATTATCGGCGAGAAGTCCTTCCGCAGATCCGTTGTAGGAACTCCCGCTTATTTAGGTAGGTACATATTGAGTCAAGCCACGTCAAGTGGGACCAGAAAATTTCACGAAATCACCGATTTTAAAAATAATCACATTATTGTGTAGTAGGCATGACGTATATGTCACAGTAAAAAAATTGTTTCGAAATTAGCTTTTTTAGTAATGTTATTAAAGTTAATAATTTTGTCAAACTTTAGAGCATGGTAAAATTGAAAAAATAGAATCTCTGGGAGCACTCTGTATAATTGAATTAAATTTTACAGACTATTGTAGCAATGTTTAGACTATTGAATGATCATTTAATTAAGGTAAATTTGTTTACGCTGCTAGCCCGTTAGCACAGCTTTACGTTAGAACCACAGACCACCAGGTGGTCTGTGGTTAGAACCGACGAGCTAGCAGCGAAGCGCGCCGCGTACTGATCGAACGCACAGCGGGACAAAAAATTTAATATCTCCGGAATAAGATATAAAGGACAAATTTTTGAGTACATTTTATTAAACTGGAATGTTTGCCGCATATTATGACACAAGATTATTTTTTTTTCAGCGTGAAGAACACATAAAAAATTTCATTTGTTTATAATAAATGTATGCAAAATTCTTGTTTTTAAACAAATTTACCTTAATTAAATGACAATTCTATAGTCTAAACATTGCTACAATAGTGTGTAAAATTTAATTCAATTATACAGAGTGGTCCAAGGGATTCTACAGTGTTAATCTGAATAAAGAAATAAATTGCATACAGTCTCTGTAAATATAAATTGTACCTATTAGATACAATAAATACACATTTTAGTCTTCACTAAACGGTAAAATGCCATTACATTATGTATTATATATAATATTATGTTGCCATGAATTCGTAGGTATATTTTGTTGTTTAAAATGCAGTTTTCGGCGTTTTTTTAGAGAACTCAAATATAAAAATGATGATTTTAAGGATATGTTTGTATTTTTTACTAATTTCTTTAAAATGTCCAAACTTAAATATAAATTATATTAGGTAAAGTTATCATTAGTTCATTCTGCACCAACAAATGTACTTACCGAATTGGATCCTTTGGCAAAACATGAAAATGCTAAATCGTTGAATTTTATTTACAATTAAAAACACAATAATTTACCATGATCCCTTTGATAAAATACACAGACTACCGTAACTATATAAGCATTTAAGCGTTGAGTTTCTTAATCAATGATATAAGGAATAATCAATCAAAATCGAGTACTAAAAAAGTTTTTTAATTTTTTCCTTGCAACGTAAAACACAAATAACGTGCGCGATTTAGCTGTGCAATTGAACAAAATTTGTCGAGTAATACTTCTGCCTTCCTAAAACTACCTAATAATAATAATGCTTTATTGAACTAAAACCAAGTTCAAAGGCTATTGACCGTAGTCCTTCAGCCGTAAAACTACCTATTTATTTAAAAATGATGTATAATCGGTGCTTTAAATTTATTGTTGACATTTCTTAAATTCACGCAATGCATTCGAAGTCCACCAGATGGCGCGCGCGTTGCGAAAACCCGTTACTTCTTTAGCGTTTATTGTTCTGTAGAAATGATGGTGAAAGCTAACTTAATTTTAAAAAGATCTTCGCTACTTTTTGTTGATTACAAATTTTGGCTGAACTAAGCCCTAAAAAAGCCTAAAAACTCATTACAGTTTTATTCTAGCTTAAATGACCCGGTCATTATGACCGCTTTCGGTGCTGTAATGAGATACTTTATCCCACCCAAAATTTTGATTTTATAGGTTGGCTATACTTTAAACAGTATAATATTTTGCATATTGGTTATAATATTTATGTGATTTTTCTATTAAATTTTATTTAACACCATAGACAATCCTTTTTTTTCTTCTTTAACATTAACAGCCGCTTATTGTAAATAAGTAAATTAAGGACGGCATGGCGAATCGATTTTGACATTTACTATCAAACTAATGACTGTACAGTCACATGATACCAACTATCTAAAGTAAAATTCGACCAAATTAAATTTAAGGTATAAAATTAATTTTTCTTATAGAATTTTTGCAAAATAGATAAAATAGCATAAAGACCTTTTGTCGCTTTCGTCCATTGCAAAACTCGCTCCTTTGTCACTCGTTTTATAAATTGCCCGCGTGCGACAAAATGACGTCGTATGACATTAGTTCTTTAATATACCATTTCGTTTGTAATTTTTTGTTATCTTTGGCATGGTTTAATATAATTTTAACAATTAAATGATAAATATCAAAGTAAAATAAGGCATTGAACGGGAGTACCAGATTTAAATATTAAAAATACCAGTAGACCAGGGTCGATAATTTTTGAAACAAAAAAAAATTACAGTAGAATGAAACCCATTGGAAAAGGAGGAGAATATAATAAAAAAGAAAGAAAAAATAAATTACGGGCGATCTGGGTAAAAAATGGTTTATCTCGATTTCCGGCAAAAATACAAGTCCTATGGAAAAAAGTTAAATGGCAAAGTTGTAGGTAATAAAAAGATCTACAACTTTTGTATTTACAATTTTTTCACATAACCTCAAAATTTATGTGAAAAATTCAAATAACCAAGTTTTTGGTTTTTTATTTTTATCTTTATCAAAAAAAAAATTTTTTCCACGAAATTTGGTGAAAACTTACCTTTTTATGTCCCAAATACACTGTAATTTATTTGATTTGAAATATTTATTATTTCGCCTTATTTTGACTTAATATCAAAAAAGCACCCTAATTTTCAATCGAAAATTCTCGCGTCAAAATATCAGCTTTTTTCAAAAAGTCGGTGTGCTTTTTGTTCGATGAACTCTTTACTTTCTGATGGCGTAAAAAAAATATACATTACTATGGTAAATGTTCTCAGAAAATACAAAAAATATTATAATGAATAACGTAATCAGAATGAAGTATCTAAATTCAATAGTATGATTTACATGTATTTTTATATTTTATGAGATTTTCTGACATAAATGTTATTAGAATTTAATAAATAAACTTTTTAACTAAAAAAAATTGCAACAATCACATTTTTTTGATGAAATTGTACATAATGATTAAAATAAATTTTCGAATTCGAGTTTTTTTCGTTTTTCATTATAATATTTTTTGCATTTTCTGAGAACATTTACCATAGTAATGTATATTTTTTTACACCATCAGAAAGTATAGATTTCAACAAACAAAAAGCACACCGACTTTTTGAAAAAAGCTGATATTTTGACGCGAGAATTTTCGATTGAAAATTAGGGTGTTTTTTTGATATTAAGTCAAAATAAGGTGAAATAATAAATATTTGAAATCAAATAAATCACAGTGTATTTGGGACATAAAAAAGCAAGTTTTCACCAAATTTCGTGGAAAAAAATTTTTTTTTGAAAAACAAAAATAAAAAACCAAAAACTTGGTTATTTGAATTTTTCACATAAATTTTGAGGTTATGTGAAAAAATTGTAAATAGAAAAGTTGTAGATCTTTTTATTACCTACAACTTTGTCATTTAACTTTTTTCCATAGGACTTGTATTTTTGCCGGAAATCGAGATAAACCATTTTTTACCCTTAAAACCCCCCCCCTCCCACTTCCCGAAGTCAGATCGCCCGTAATTTATTTTTTCTTTCTTTTTTATTATATTCTCCTCCTTTTCCAATGGGTTTCATCCTACTGTAATTTTTTTTCACTTTTTACCATTTTTAAAGGCTTCGGCACTGGTCTACAGGTATATGGATATACATTACCAACATAATCAAATGTGTCAAATTCCGAATATAAAAACAGACTTCAAAAATGAGCTGAACCGGATGTCAAAAATTGATCAATATTTACATTTGTCATTTTCGACATCAGATTCTGTTATAGCTTATTTTTGACATCTGTCATAGCTTAATTCTGACATCTAACCTGTCATTTTTGACATGTGTCACCTGTAGTTTAAAAAACGCGTAGTTTATACACAAATTCTGAAATCAGCTTAAAAAGTAACGCCTAGAAACAGGCGCGTAGGCTTTTCTGGGGGGTTTTAGGTAAAATTACAGATTGTAAAGAAACTATAAAGATCAGTAAATCCCCAAACCCCCCTGCCTAGAAACAAATTTCCACTTTTAAAACTTGTACAAGTAAGGAGTTACTTAAGAAATTACAAACAAAAATGACGCATCTTGTGGAAAATTCAAAAATTAATTAATTAATTTTTCGGTTATTAATTATCAAAGTACCTTCAAGATTTGTGGTTATTGCAGCCTATAAATTATATTCACAAAATTTGAGAAAAATCTGAGTCAGTGTTTCATCAGACGTGAAATGACTCGTATAATATACTATATACTATTAATAATAATTATATTATAATTATTATTAATAGTTTATACTCGGTGAGTTTTTATTTAATTGTATTTAAAGTTTACACGCAACATTAAAATAAAACATGTCCTGTAAAACCAATATTTAAACCTGGCAACCCTAATTTAATTGAAAATAAAAAAGCAAAGAGAAGATTAAAACTCTCAGTTCTTGAATAGATGTAAATATTGTTAACCTTTTTCACTTGATAATAATAAATTATTAAATAATATTTTTTAATGACAGCTCCCGAAGTGTTAAGAAACAAGGGATACAATCGCTCATTAGACATGTGGAGTGTAGGCGTAATAGTCTACGTAAGCCTTAGCGGAACGTTTCCGTTCAACGAGGACGAAGATATAAACGAACAGATTCAGAATGCCGCCTTTATGTACCCGCCAAATCCTTGGAAGGAAATATCCTCTGATGGTGAGTACATCATTTCTATTTTAACTTTTTAAATGTTTAATGAATTCCTTTCAGCTATTGATCTGATTAATAACTTATTGCAAGTTAAGCAAAGGAAGAGGTATACTGTGGATAAATCGTTGCAGCATGTTTGGTTACAGGTAAATAATAAATTATACTAATATTATTATTGCAATGTTTTTACCTCATTTGGAAACCTTTTTAACTTTTTATATGTTGACACTTTAATATCCTAATGTCACATTAGTAATGTGCTTGTCAGTAAATTTTTAATGTTTCAGTTTTTAGTAATTTCAATTTAGAACAAAGATCTTTTCTAAAATTCTATAAACAAAAGCGTGTAAGCCTGTTAGAAGTTATATATCTTTGGTGTAGGTAACTAAAATCGCACATCGAAAAAAAGTATTAAATACAATTTTTAATCTTTGAGATTTTTTAATTGATTTTCCTTCCGGCAAGCTTGTAACTCTAATAGTATAGTTATTAGTCGTCATAAACTGAATTTTTAAGAATTTGACACTTTGAGTGGCTGTACACAAAGATAATTATCTTTGGCTGTACAAGCTAAACTATAAGTGATACAGAAAAATATTTCTTAACAAATTTGTAGGGCACAAAATTCCCTGAAAAATTGTCATTTACGTTTTTATCTACAATCAAAAGTTTAGTCTCCAAATACGATTTACTGCTATTTTAGAAGATTTTCGAGTAGAACGGCAATTTGTGAAGAACATATTCAACTTACAGGCTTGCTTAAATAGACATTTTTGAAGATAATTTCATCGTGTATAAAGATTTTAAAACCGAAATTCTAAAAAAATATTCTTACTGTACGAGCGGAAGGAGAAAATAATAAAACATTTTTTTAATGCTTTTTAAAGGGAAATATTTAAAAATTGAATAGCAACGGCTTAAAAGATTTGTAATAGTTCAAAATTTTTGTTTTCTGACCGTTACAAGATAAAAAAAAATGTCCCTCTAAAATGAAGCAACCTAGTACTTACGCACAGCCACTCATTTTTAACGCCACGAACATACAAGCGAATATGATCCACTCTTAGACCACTCTTCTTGGCTAACTCAATGTCGAACTTTCGATTTGAAAATTTTACCCTCGAGCGCCAAAAGAAGTAAACTTTAAAAAACGATTTCTTACAGGATTACGATACATGGAGCGATCTGCGCACGTTGGAAAACCAGATCGGACCGCGCTATTTGACGCACGAATCCGACGACGCGAGATGGGAGCGCCACCGTGCGGATCTTCTTTGACCCGAGAAAGGTTGGCTGCACAATGTCAAAAAGTGCCTTCGTGGTATGAAGACATGAGTCATCCATAAACCGAAAATTACTGCTGTTTTATCTCTATATAGTCTGTTCAATAAGTGAAAAAGACGCGTGCCACCCAAAAAGTATGTCCTATTTAAATACGTTATTTTATCATCGTACCATGGTACCATGGTACGTAAGTTGCAACTTTTAAAATTATACAGGGTTACACCAAGCCTATTAAAATGAAATTTTTAAATTGAATAAAAACAGCAGTTCTAAAATATCGTTAATCCTGGGAATTTTGAAAAAAGAAAGTTTTACATGTAACATACACATTAATCTACGTTTTCATCCAATCTTTGCTACTATATTTTAAGTTACCAATGGTAACTTAAAATATGGTAGGAAAGACTTACCATCACCATCTTTTGTATTTATAATGGCTGCCATAACTTATGTAGTTTGATACATCTTTGGATTCCTTGATTTTTTTATCTAAAATGTAGATAAATGTGTATGTTTACATGTGAAACTTACTTTTTTCAAAATTCCCTGGGATAACGAAGTTATAACGATTTTTGTTTTAGACTGGTTTTCAGTTTTTTTAACTTATTTGAGAACCGCAATTTTTTTTCCAATTTTGAAATGCCATTTTAATAGACTTTTCTCTAATTTAACCGACCTTGTAAATGAATCGGTGAGAATAAGAACAGTACAAGTTCAAAAATTTTATTTTGACAAGTCATTTTTTAAAATCAATTTTAAAGTTTAAGATACATTTTTGTGAGAAGATATAAATCATTTTACAGAATATAAACATTAAATTTTATAAAATAGTTAAAATATTCCCACAAAAATGCATTTAGAACTATAAAACTGATTTTTTTAAATATTTTGTCAAAATTTTGACATTTGGACTTGTACTGTTCTTAATCTCACCGATTCAAATAAACAAGATACCCATACATAGAAGGATACTTGGTTTACCCTGTATCTAAAAGCAGTTTCAGACTATATCCTCGCCAACAATATCGGTTTATATTATACAAATGTTATACACAGTTTTGTAAAAATTGATGACCTAGTAATATAGATATTATTAAGATTTTGATATTAAACTTACATTATTATTGTGCTAAATAATTATATAGCGCATTTAAAATATTTATATCCTAGACCACAGTTTTTATTTTATACAATATTTATTTTTTATTTGACATTAATTAAATATAAACAGGGTGTCCTAAAAATGGCGCACTAACGGCATACCACGCAATAGAGGAATATTTGAAGCATACAATATTACAATTTTTTCCGACAAGTAGTTTTTGAGTCATGAATCCGTTTAAAACTACATTTTTACATTCTTATTGTTTTTCTACCCATACCATAAAACAGGATCTTTTAAATACACTTTAGCAAGCTGTAACTTTAAGGCGTTTTAGTAATAGGCTGAAGTTAGCTTTAAGTTTGTAATGACCTTTTGATTTCGCCGGCAGCAAACCAGTATTTGTTGATAAAACATTAATAATTTTGGGTGGAGTATTCAAAGATCATCTTTACTTTCATTGTGAAAAACTGCTTATATAGGATTTGAACGGTTGTTAGTCCATTTTCAAGGGAGGAATTTCGATTTTTACAGAAAAATTCGACAAACTGCCTGACATTTTGAAATCCGGTAAAACAGATTTCCAACACTAATTTTGGTTATTTAATTTTTATATAGATGTCGCTCTATATTCTCTTCATACGCGCTTAGAAAATTGTTTATTGTGTTGAAATATGCACCATGTAAAATTTAAATATGGCGGCCATAGGAAAAACAAAATTTGTGATTGTAACTCAAAATCTAGTAGGCGAAAAACATCACAAATTGGATGAATATGTATATAAATGTGTATGTTTACATATGGAACTTACTTTTTTCAAAATTCCCACGAATAACGAGGTTAAAACGATTTTTGTTTCAACAGGTTTTAATTTTTTTAAATTATTTGAGAACTGTTGATTACTTTTTCAATTAAATAAAAATATACCCATACATAGAAGGATGCTTGGTGCACCTTGTATAATTTAATATTATTAATACATATATTGTGTATAATATTTCGTAGAAAAAATATAGTATGCAACTCGTTTATGAACTTTTTTAGACACTCATTTTTATTAAACACTGGCTCGCAAGCTTCGCTCGTGTCTAACTCAAATTCGTGACTAAAATGGCGTTTATCAAACTTATCAATTGATACATAATATAATTATATACTTTCTATAAATCCATAGAAATAACAGTGTTATTTCTATGTATAAATCCATAATATCAAAACATCAACAAAAAAATCAAACCTTACTTATAGTTGAATTTTTTTTAACTTAACCCTTACGTAATCGATGTAAAATGTCAAAAACCGATTTTTTGATATAGGTATGTATGTACGTACGTTACATTGAAGCATGCCAGCGCTCCGTGGCTTGGAAAAACAATATGAATGACTGAGCTACATATATCCTTATAAGGATGTATACATTGATGACTTGGGAAAATTTTTTTCTGAAAACCAGAATTTTTTTAGTAAAAATCAGAATAAGACTTATTAAGTCAGACTATTAGCAAGATTTGGAAGTCTTCTGGAAGAGTTATTCTGACTTAATTTCAGCAGAGATGTATTTCGCTTTTGTAAAAGAAAACACAAAAAAAGTATTTTTAAAAATTGTTTCTGTGTTTTTATAAGGCTTATAACACCACAGAAGCAATTTTTAAACATACCATATAAGCCAAGTTGATTTTAATTTATCACAATAAAACAGTTGAGACATACGTTTGGTTTGTGTACATGCAGATTATGTGTTTAGTACCTAAGGTGAAATTAACCTAGAAAACGCAGAAGGAAAAATTGATATTGCGTTTACAGTCGCCCAGTACACAATAGGTCAGACACATATTTTTCTTCGTGTTTTATTTTACAATAACCAAATACAACATCTCTGAATAATTCAAAATATTTATTTTTATCACTGAAAGTCTTCTGACTTCGACTTTGTAAGTATTATTTTTTAAGAGAAAAGAAGACATTCAAAACTTATACTAAAATTCAGTGTTTCAGAAGAAAAACTTGAAAAGGGTCAAGTTAAAGAAAAATTTAACTACATAAGTCAATAGCTACTTGTCAGAAAAAATTCGCGTGTATAGCTTTCTTTATGGTGTCGTCATAAAGACGATGCTAATATATTATTATTTTTAATGGGGGTAACAATTATTGAAATTGAAATATAAAATTGTGCCAATAAAAAAATGGCTTGTGTGTTATATTTGACCAAAATTGGGACTGCCAATACCCCCTTAATGTTTTTTATTTATTAAATTAATATAAGGCGATTTTCAGATATCTGCTATTATAATGGATTCATACATTTAAAATTAAATAGGTACATAAATGATCCTTGAAATAAGCCCGTTTCTTCCAGTTAAACTTAAGCATAATAATTTTGTGGTAGGACAAATTTAGGTTAGGTATAAAATAGTTTTTTTATTTTCTTATAATTTGTTAATTTTATGTGAACTATCCGTACTTAATTTATATTTTTATAATTTTTATTTAATATTATATGTCTATTTTTATATATTGCTTTTTATATTTTATCTTTATAAAAACAGTAAAAATTCTAAATAAATCTATAGATTTAAATGCTTAAAGTGTTGTGAACTTGTATTTTTGAAAATATATTCAATAAAATAGGAGCTAAAGCTTCAGTCTACTTTTCAGGAATACAATCTATTCAATTATATTGCTTCAATGAAGTGTATTTTCAAAATACTCAATATTTTATAGGTTTAAGTTATTAAAAATGCACACTGTAGTAATATAAAGGCTTTAAGCATATATTTATTCAAATACTTTACTATAGGTATTAGTATCTGTTTTTTAATAATTTAATATTCATTATATTATAATGTTGTTAATTATGTATAAAAGGAAAAAATAAAATCATTTTACTCGTTATAAACTTACATTTATTTACCTACAACACCCAATTTTAATCATTTTTATGAACCATTATGAGATTCCCAATCAGTTTGGCTCTATACAGGGTGTCCCATAAATAGCGTTCAATACTTTAACAGCAAATTCTACGTACAATAATAAGAAAAAAAGTTCCTATAAAAATATGTCGAGAAATGAATTCCAAGGGAGCTACATCCCCCAAAAGAGAATCCCCTGAAGATGGTTTTTATTTAATATCTCCAAAACTGTTTAAGATAGAAAAGTGCAATTTTGGGATATAATCAAACTTTTTATAGCAAATAAGTTGGAATAATAACAAATTCAAAATTTTCATAAGGGGTGGGTCAGATAGAAAGGGAGTGGGGGTAAAACTACCCTGACTTTTTTGTACGTAGGGTAGATGCCCCGGTTGTGGCCATCGCACCGTTTGTGGCCATCCACAAAATAAATCTTAAATATTAACGGCCACTTTCAAACTAGCCAATAAGACAATCTAAAATCCCACTCCATATTGTATTATGGATCGTGCCAGTGCTTTACATTGCGTTTGTCAGTTACAGTGTTTGTAAAACAATCGGTTTTTTTAACACGTGGCGGGAATGTTGTGATTTTTTAGGGATTTTGTTAAGAAACACGAGGTAAGTTAATGCATGATTCTGTGTAAGAATTTAAATGTTTGTGTTCAAAGTGGATGATATTTGACTTATAAAGGAATTTTACATGTTATTTTAACACTTTGAAGAAGATATTTAACTCATAAATAATTAAATTAATAGTGGCCACAATAGGAGCATCAAAAGTGGGTTCTGCGCCAGTTGTGGTCTTTAAATGGCTACAAATGGGTCATGAAAACCAGTTGTGGCCATGCAGTAGAAAGAGATGGCAAAATGTAAAACTAAACAAGGTAGAAAAGGGGCACCTAACAGCCTTAAATTAATTTGTTTCAGAAAAATTATGGCACTCCGTAAATTATTTCAATATTCCGAAAGTGCCCTTAATGCCATACAGCATGATTATATGCCCGTATCAACAGCATGCAAGAATTTAATGAATTTAATGTCCCTAGATGATCTGTACGAAATAGACTGGATGGTAAAAGAAGCGATGCCGAAAAGTGGGTCCAACGTGTTCTCTTGGCCCAAAAATAGAATAAAAATTGGTTTCCTGGATTCTGGACTCTTCCTCAAATGGTTTTCCTTTAAATAAAGAAGGCCTTCTATACTCTGTACAAAAAATCCAAGAGTGTAATATTCATAAAAAAAGAAAAAAATACCCCTTCCTTCAGTGGTTAATTCAGATAAGTGGATAGAAATTTTTGAAGCCAAAGAAAAATCTAAAGAAAATTTAGCTGCAGAAAAGGCTGCAAAAAGAGCAAGTAAGAGTGACAAAATAAACAAAGGAAAAAATTTAACAAAGAGGAAAACAATGATGTGTTTTTAGATAAGCCTACACCTAATGAAGAACAAATTTATGATGAAAATACCAACGAGTCCAGGGAGAGTAACAGCAACCGACCAAAGAAGATATTAATACAAACACTGCTGTGATAGAAGAGGCTACTGATAAAGTAAAAAATATGCTTACCATTTTAGATATAGGAAGCTATGTAACAGTCAAACATGAAGGTGAATTGTATTGTAAAACTGGAATAAACCATTGGAAATGGCCTGCATGATTCGCCGGATCTATTGTGGTACAAAGTCCAAGACATACTGTTAAAAATAAACAATCCTAAAGCCATAAATACCAGAGGAGTGCAGTTCCCGAAATGAAAGCCTTATAATTAAGAAACTTAGTTTTGTTTTTTTATTTCTGTATATTGTTAATTTTTGTTTCTACTTAACTCTTTGACTAAAAAATGTATTTTTTAATATTTTATACGAAAAAAATAAACTACCTGTTCATTTTGCTTCTTATTTCATATGCATTTCAATAGGATGGCCACAACTGGTGAGCCCTCTGGCCACAAGTAGAAAACAAGTGGCCACAACTAGCGAAACTGCTTTTTTCGGCTATTTTATTGAATTTGTCTTTGTCTGACCTATATATTTCAAATTAGATAAAAGTTCTTAAGACAAAGATATACTATAAGTTATACTATATCTGTCATTCGAGGAGGGAAAACTGTCAAAATAAATAAATTGGAGTTAAATGAAGTTAAAAGTTTTCTTAAGATGGCCACAACCGGTGCATCTACCCTATCTTGTGCTATTATTTGATATCAGATCATAAAATTTCAGATGTAATGTTGGGACTTAGGGCACTTTGAATTTTTCTCTCTTGTGAATTAATTATGATCTTTTATGCTATAGCATATATGTAAGGTAATTTTTAAATGGATTTTAACCGAAAACAGTGGACAATATCAAAGTTTAACAAGAGGACTTTGTTTGTGTGTAAAATTCCGAAATTTCATAATCTGACATCAAATCCTATCACGAAACACGTTCTTCTTACTATAGACTAAAATCCAATGTCAAAACCGACCGAAGGTTAATAATTAATATTTTTATTGTGACTTCGCGCTTTCGTAATTCACCCCGTATATGCGTGTTTTGAAACTACCCCTTGACAGTTCTTTAAAAATGGCGAGGGTTCGTAGTAGGCGTAACGAGAACGATTACCTAACAAAAGTTTTCATTGATTAATGATTATATGATTGTTGTTTTTTAATCGTACGATCTTTCACGTAAATGTTAATGTTGTGAATGTCAAATGAGGGTGAAATGGCTTCTCAGGACAATGACAAGGACTCGGAGCCAAACTTACGCAGAAGGAAAATAGTCGAATGTGCACAACAAATAACTGAACAAGGTAACAAGATAATTTATTAAATTTTCTTGAATCTACACGTTTCGTTCTCTTAGCTTCCGAATTGTTAAAGAAAAAAATACCCTGTGCCGGGCATTTCTTAGCGCCTAAAAGACTTTGGCTGAAAAGAGTTTCTACTCCTAATTGCGATGTAGTTGTTGTTTTTCCTGCTGGAGCACAAGATTCTGTCTTATTGTGGTTACTGTCCAAGCTTCGACAGTCTCCTGGCCTAACTGTTCATGTCAGGCATCATGCTTCCACACAAACTAGTGCTTTTTATTTAACTGCACCCTTTAATGTGTAAGTACTTAAACACATCATTTTAAACCTTTTATTTTATTATATTAAGTTTTATTTTATAGATTGGTTAGGGCAGCTGAAGAGTATCACCTGCCTAAAATATTAAAACACACCAAGGGCGGGGGGTTAAAGGAATTTTATGTTCACGATTGTCACTCATATGAGGGGTTTGAGGATGAGGAACATTTTTTTACCACCTGTGAAAAGCAGTGGCTTGTTTTGCGACTGTTGGAAAGTATCAGAGCCAAACCTCATGATTTGGAGTCAATTCCTGGCATTACTTTGCTGGAAGGGCAACCAATTGGTATACAAAATTGATATTAAGATTTTTGATATAATTGTTTTTTATATTTTAGTACCAAAATGCCTTATATCTGGTGTTATTTCACAAGTTTTCCCATTGCATGAACCAACTGCTCTTGAAAGATTACAGCACAATTGGGTTAGGGATATTTGTGCTAAACAACCCTTAGGTAAGAAAAACTATTTTTTTAACAATTTTGTTAATAGACAGTTAGTTAAACATTTTAAACAGTTTTTTTGAAATAAACAAACGCGAGGGGGATTCGTTTGAGGAAAAAAAAATTATGAGGTTTTTAGAATCAAATGTTTAATGTTTTAAGGCTATTTAATTTAAATAAAAAAAAAATTTGTTCGTTAATAAATAAGTATAAGGCTAGATTTTTTTCTCAAAAAAATTAAACCATGTGTAAGATTTGAAAGGTTAGGTCAATACATCAGTGACAGATTCCTAACCTTAATTATACTGAAAGTGACATATACTGTCCGTTCAGGCTAAGTTGAGCGGTCTAAGGAATGTCATCCCGTCCATCATCTCTATGTTTAGGCACAATTAAATACATGTATTTCGGTAGCCGCTCTGTACCAACAAACCGCAAGCCCCGGCACTAATAAATCATCTTATTGGTACCGAAATCTTGCGAGGATTCGAAATTTAATTTAATCAACGGTCACATGATCCCCCACCAAAGCGCTCAACTTAGCCTGAACGGACTGTACATAACCTCAATTTTACTGAAGGTGACATACCTCTTGATACATGACATACCTAACCTTTATCAATACTATAGTTTATGTTCTGTGAGTTTAACTATACAGGGTATTTCACATTCGTGGTCCATTAAAAGATTTGGTATTTGAAATTTTAAAAACGTTTATGCCCCTTTCGGTTTAACCGGAAATAGAACACCCCATATATTTTAACATTTTTAAATTCTTTATACAATTCTGAGTAAAATTACTATACCATGTCCTAAAGTAAATAGTTTTCGAGTTATTAATTTTTTTCATTAAAATTTTACAAATACAATGAAAAATAGCCTATAAATTTTTTGTTATTAGGTTTGCAAATATGGAGGCGGAATTTTTAGAATCTTAAAACATTCTTTAAAAGATTCATTGTCAATTCTTTAACTTTTTCAACAAATTACCTGAGAAAACCTAGGGCAAATTAGGCATAAAAGGTTAATAACTTTTTTATTTTAAATGTAACACCTGGTATGTTTTTACATAATCAAATAATAAATTAAAAAAATTTAAAAACTATTTTGTATTAAGAAACCTATGATGGGTGAGTTGAAGGTATCACGTTTGTATAGATTTTAAAAATGTAAAAATATATGAGGAGATATTTGAAACACAGACTGTGATTTGAAATAACAAAGTTGTTGTTACTTTCAGTTAAACCGGAAGTGGCATTTTGTTTAAAATATTTTATAAAAATAGACTTAAATGGATTATAAACGCTTTTAAAATTTTAAATTGATATATTTGTTTGTTCCCCAGAAACTAATAATGGACCACGATTGTGAAACACCCTGTATATAGTTACAACCAAGGCAAAATCCAAGAACACTGTTATATACAGGGTGAGTCATTTAACTTAAAACTTTTAAATATCTCAGTATACATTTTACGAAAAAATGTTTAAAATAAAAATTAAATAATTCGAGGGGGGAAATCAATAAGTACTAAAATTGGTCCTCATACTCTCCTCCTTATAGGAGGTACAGGGGGGTAACTTTAAAATTTCCGATGGAATTGCAGATTCGGATCATTCGACTAAAAATATGTAGATTTTGTCTAAAACATTTTTTCATATTTGTAATAGATGGCGCTGTAATGAAAAAAAATCAATTTTGTTCGATTTTTCTTCTGTATACGATTCTCCAATAATTTTTGAAGAAAATACTTTTATTTTTAAATTTTAATTAATGTAGGTGTTCAAAATTGTGGATTTCGACTTTAATGCATTTATTAATTCGCATTTCGTTTTAATATTCTGATAACACTGCTGGTAACACTGTTGCTCGACGAACTATTTTTTTCGGTTGAACACTCCCGTTTGTAGTAAACTGCTTGACTGTACGGTGAAATACGTGATCGAATTTTATCCGGAAAACGCTGAGCGTAGATATTAACAGCTTCATCAAGATTCCTGCCTGCTTCTCCATAAATCAAAATCATTTCTATTTTTTCTTCCTCTGTTAAAAAATCCATTATGAATAACTGCTTAACGAAAGGAGGTCTTTTTTTTTGCAAATTAATCTTCGAACTAAATTGATTAAATAATGCTAAACTATAAATACCTCAATAATAATTATTATTTATAACTAAATACTATTTTTTTATACCTCAATTAGGATTAAATTAATTAATTGACAAAATAATGTTTTTTTATCTTAAATGAAAATAGTACAAAAACCTTTAAATTAAAGGATTTAATGCTGGCAGGTAAAAAATGATAATTATCACCGAATGAAATAATGTATAAAACCAAAGGAGACCTAAATATTAGTTAAAAAATCGTGGGTACTTAAAAAATCAGATTTAATTTAATAAGATAATTATTACTAAAAAAGTGATATTTTTATAGACAAATTATTGCAGAATCGTATACAGAAGAAAAATTGAACAAAATTGTTTTTTTTTTCATTACAGCGCCATCTATTACAAATATGAAAAAATGTTTTAGACAAAATCTACCTATTTTTAGTCGAATGATCCGAATCTGCAATAAAAAATAGGGTGTTCCATTGAAAATTAAGTTACCCCATGTTCCCCCTATAAGGAGGAGAGTATGACGACCAATTTTAGTACTTATTGGTTTCCCCAATTGAATCATTTAATTTTTATTTTAAACATTTTTTCATAAAATGCATACTAACTGAGATATTTCAGTTTCAAGTTAAATGACTCAACCTGTATATAGTGTTCTTGGTTACAACAAAGAGTGTGCGCAGTTTTTGATGCCTGTAGCTCGGTAGGTCAAAAAAATCCGGGAAATTTTGTGTGAATTTACCCTAATTACATAAAGGACCAATCAACAATAATTAAGTAATGTCAAATTTACAATTTGCATTGTATCATTGTGACATTTTTGTAATGAAAGTAAATTTACACAAAATGTTTAATTTTTTTCTCATGATTGCGCTACTAAAATTTTGGTAGGCTTGCACTGTCATCATTAATACTGCTTAAACTATCATGGGAAAAAAATCTACCTTATATAATTGATTTCACGAAAACTGTCTCTACCTTCCAGGCTATTAATAATATTATTAGTCAACGCACCTTAATGAAATTTAAAAAAGTATACCTATTATTTTTAGATGACATTACAGAATATTTTGGTGTTAAAATTGGGATGTACTTTGCTTGGCTGGGACATTACACTACCGCCTTAAGTATTCCAGCATTTGTTGGTTTTATATTCTGGGTAAAAATGCAATCTTAAAAAATCTATTCAATTAAACTAGAAGCTAAATGTTTTAGCTATGCTGTAATGGTCGTCATCAGACCCTTGAAGACGTTGGCTACGTGTTTTTTTCAATTTTTAATGTTGTTTGGGTTACCACTTACTTGCAAGCTTGGAAAAGATATTCAGCAGAATTGGCTTTTCGTTGGGGTACTTTGGATCAAAGGGATGATTTGCTGGCCGAACCAAGACCGTTATTTAGGGTAAGTATTATTATTACTAGCAATAGGTTATAGGAATATTTATTTTATGATTTTCAAAATGGATATGATTAGTTAACTAGGTACAATATTTATAACACAGTGCAACACAAAATTTTAAATCAGATTAATTTGTTTTTTCCCAAAAGTATACCTATTTAACCCTCGGGCGGGCGCGCTTTTGGGAATTACATGAGCGGGCGCGCTGCGGCATTTACACCGCATTTGGTTCTTTAAGTTTCTAGCTTACATCTAACAAAAAAAAATATTTTTTGTACTAAAGTAAGACATAACATGCCTAATTAAATTTAAAAAACAATTTAAACAAATATATTTTTTAACTTATGGGGTGTTAATCCTTTACGTGAACTGTGTGTTAGCATACACAATAATGCCCGTACACATGCATGTAAAATGCACATTACACAATATTTAATATCAAGTTTTATTCATTACGAAATTTTTCATAAAATTGATAATTATGAAAAGTTTATTAATAAATAAAAATAACATGACTGGGCGCGCTGCGGCAAACACACCGCAAATTCGGCTGTAACAACTGACCGGAAATGCCTTTTGCACCAAGACTTTTAGTAGGTGAAGCCAATAACATAAACAAGGAATACATAGACGCACAATATTACAGAGCTGACCATATTTGAGTTTTAAGAGTAAAATGTAAATTTGCGGCTTTTTGCCGCTGGCGCGCCCGGCGGAGGGTTAATAGTAAAACCCTTGATGGCTTTGTGTAAAAGTTAGCTCGAATTTTTTTCTATGGTCTTATAAAGTTTTTGAGTTTTTGGTACTAATTGAAAATTTAAATATATTTGATTTTTTTCATTCTTTGTAAAAAAGTTTTTATTTTTTATAAACAATTAATGCAATCAAATTTAGTTTCACGGGTCAAGTGTTTATAAAATTGCATTTTTAAGTTTTTGTTTGGCCTAAATCACTTTATATTAAAAAAATTTAGTACTGCTTTATTATTTTAGTAATTTAAATAAAATCATTTTTATTTATACTCTTTTGTATAATTATTGTTAAAACTAAGGAATTCTAGGTATTTTTTTTAACCAAGTTCAGGTATTCTTATAGTGATAACGTTGGAAACACTGCATAAAACCATTAAAAAATTATATTTTAGTTTAAAAAAGTTTAAATTTTTTAATTTTTTATTTTAATTCGGAAAATTAAAAAAATATAATAACAATTTAATATAATTTAATTTAAAAAAATGGACGTTTAATACCCCAAGTAATACATATGTTGCCTAAATATTTATATAAAAAAGGTAACATTTCAAACAAATATTTAATTTATTCCCTAGGGCTAGAAATATGACGTACATATATCAAACCCAGTTAGGGTTTTATTATTAAATAGGTCTGCTGTGTGGAAAAATCGGTAAAATCCTGTTTAAAATTGATCACCCCCAGTGTAATAGATTAAAATTGACATAATATCAATAGATGGTAGGTCAACAATTTGATGGAAAAGGTTATTCTTAAACTTGTCTATTTATACTACAAAAACAAGTTAAGAGCGGGTAAATGCTTGCATGCAATTCATTTAACACGCAAATGGAAAAATGTTGTTCTTTATGTGATAAGAATTCCTATTTTTTATTTTTATTCATAAATCATCAGTCATTTCTCCCCTTTATCTGAACTTTAAGAAACGTTTTTACAACAAAGCTCTTCCCAGATAGCAAAATGAATTCACTATGAATTCACTACGAATTCACGCGTGAAAATTAAATTCACGCGTGAATTCATATAACGCGACAGATGAGTCCTCAATTGATGCTCAATTTGCCATCACGCGTGAACTTTTTATTTTTTGCGCATGCGCTTTTAGAATATGGATTTCATTTTTCAAAATAATTTAATCTGTCGAAATATTTATTTTAACATCTTAAAAAAATACACAAAAACTTGGTTTAAAAGGCCATAATTGAGAAGCAATCAGACTAAACCAGATAAATCCATTGGAAATATCTATTTCAAGCTAAACTTGTTATCATAATATATATATATATATATATATATATATATATCATATGATATGATCATAATATTAATATTAATATTATATAATAATTATTATATTATATACTAATATTAATATATATATATTATTATAATAAGTTTATCTTGAAATTCACTTTTCCAATTGATTTATCCGACTAAAAGAAATATGAATCATTCAAGAAGTCAAAATGGATTTATCTGGTTTTGGTTGATTGCTCCTCAATTATAGGTTATACATTACAATTATAAACTTAAGGTTAATTAATTAATTAATATATAATATACATAAATTAATTATTAATGTACCTATAACATATAATTGTGACCTTTTAAACCAATATATATTATGTAATTATATATATTACTATAATATATATAATTATAATAATATATTATAATATATAATTATATAATATAACTACTTATAACTTAATATATTATAAAATTGCGCAATGGAGCTGTGCGAATTTTAAAAATGTAACTAAAATAATAATTCCAAAATTCGTGCGTCAGGTAATATTTTGATATTAGAATATTAATATTCTATTTATATTTAAACGTGCAGTTTTTAATCATGCAATCCATGTAAAATAAAATCGATTAAATCACACGAGACTATAATATGAATTCATAATCTACTCACGTGTGAATTACGAGTTCAAGACTTCACGTGTGAAATCATATAGCACACATTATTCACTCACGCGTGATTTCGTATTCACGTTTGCTATCTGGGTTGTTTAGGACATAATGTAAGCTGAAGATAAAATTAATTAGGGGTTAAAGTTAACCAGGGCAAATCAATAATGCAAATTCACATTCCTACAATTTCTAGATAGTTGTATGCCTTTTTGATCTTAGTATTTAATTTAAGACATATAATTCCATATTAATTTTAAATTAAAAAAATACAATTAGACAATACTAAAAAAATAATACGTAGTATATAATCACCATACTTAACTTGCTTTCTATAAAATATTTATATTTATAGTTTATTATTATATTATATATTATATATTAACTGCTGTTACTTTTTTGCATATTTATAAACAATATAATTTAAGAATATTAAGAAGAACATTTAAAAATATTCAGTCTCTTTAAATCTGTCAACGCCCTATTATTTGCCAGCAGTTTATATTAAAGAGCAAAAGTTTCTATATTGATTATTGTTTTTATATTTATGATACAAAATTCGACAAAAATCACATATTACAAGACTAGTTTTGATTAATTTTTTATATAGAACTTGAAATATCATCTACATTATTTAAAAACATTCAAAAAACAATTTTGAAAAAAAAAATCGATGTTTAACCCTGCCTAAATGATGATAATTTTAATGACAGAAGAATACATTGACATGCAACAATACATATTTTTGTGTGAAATATTATCTACGCTCTACAAAAAACGCCCTTTACGTTTTTTTAGTTAAACCATTCATTAAAACTATTTCGTAGGTTAAAGTTTGAAAAAATAAAAATGAAAAGTATTGTCATTTACGGCGTAAATTTTTTAGGCGATATCGGAAAAATGATTTTGTTTTCCAAAATTGTGTTTAGACTGTAAACAAATAATTTAAATGATAATCAAGTTTAAAAGCCAAATACGAAAAATTTTAAGAAAAAAAAGGTGTTTTTTATTTATATCAAACTTTGACCTCCAATATTATTTAAATGGATAGTATTACGAAAACAAGTGATTAACCTTTTTTATAGAGCGTAAAATTTTCTACAAAAATATTTCTTGTATATACAGTGTGTCCACGGATAGAGTTCGGAAGAAGAAAAACTTTTTTATTTGTGGGTTTAGAAAAAAAAGTCATTTTTTATAAAAACGTCTGCTTGTGTTGAAACTACAATTTCGAATACCAAATTTACGATTACTATACAGGGTTAGCCATAAACAACATTTTTATTTTTTTGGATTTCGTTTAAGAAAAACTTTTTTATTTGTGGGTTTAGAAAAAAAAGTCACTCTTTATGTAAACGTCTGCTTGTGTTAAAACTACAATTTCGAATACCAAATTTACGATTACTATACAGGGTTAGCCATAAACAACATTTTTATTTTTTTGGATTTCGTTTAAGAAGAAACTTTTTTATTTGTGGGTTTAGAAAAAAAAGTCACTCTTTATAAAAACGTCTGCTTGTGTTCAAACTACAATTTCGAATACCAAATTTACGATTACTATACAGGGTTAGCCAGAAACAACTATTTTTTTTTTTTGGAATTCGTTTAAAATAAATTTACATAAGAACAGTCAACTATTTTTGCTTTCCTAATTAGAATATAATTTTATATCTGGCCGAATAACGATTTTGTTGTAAGAAAAATACTTATTTCTTATTTGTATTTTTATTATTGCATGTTAAGTATTTCTTAATCATAAATTATAAAATATTAAAATAAATAACATTCTATTCGAACGTGGTACCACCGAGTTCAGCGCATAGTTCAACTCGATATCTGAATTCCCGATAACAATTCCTAATTTGCTGTATTGGGATATTTGCAATGACTTCTCTTATTTTTTCTTTCAAGAGATCTACGTTATTATTAAAATTGGTTTTATACACATGTTGCTTCAGATATCCCCACAAATGAAAGTCCATAATTGTGAGATCGGGACTCCTAGGTGGCCACTCATTTGGACCATACCTTCCAAACCATTTGTTCCCAAACTGATTATTTAGCCAATCACGAACAATTATCGTGGAATGAGCGGGACAGCCGTCTTGTTGGAAATGTAATTTTATTCGATCAGCTAAAGGTATATCTTGCAAATGATCATAAAAAAATTGTTCAGAAGATGCAAATAAGTGTGTTGATTTAAATTGTTTTCAATAAAATATGGTCCAATGATTCCATTGTAAGAAATAGCACACCATACGTTAACTTTGTGTGAATACTGTCTTCTAAAGCGGATACGAAAATTAGGATTGTCGCGGCTCCAAAAGCGACAGTTTTGCGAACTAACTACCCCGTTTGTAAAAGTTGCCTCGTCCGAGAAACTAATATTATTAACAAAACTTCTTTGTCTAAGGATATGTTCCCCTATCAACAAACAAAAATCCAAACGCTTCATGTCGTCATTTTCTTCCAGAAAATGATTAAATTTAGGTTTGTACGGACGAATTTTATTGAATTTTAATATTTTTCCTACTAGAGATTTGCTCACATTACCAATTTGGGAAGATCTTTTTCTTAAAGACAGTTTGGGAAAATTTCTAACTGAATCCATTGTCATTACAGTTACAGCATCATCTTCATCATACTTTTTTTTCTCCCTTTTTTATTTTTAAAAAACACTACCACTTCTCATAAATTTTATTACAATTTTTTTTAACCCAAATTTCTAACTGAATCCATTGTCATTACAGTTACAGCATCATTTTATTACAATTTTTTTTAACCCATTGTCCGTGAGAGGAACATCAGGCCATATCTCATGGAATTCTCGAAGAACTGCAATATAGCTTTTCTCATGTCCTAAACCATAACTTCGCACAATATAAATTCTTTGTTCTAACGTTAGCATTTTCTCAAAATTATGACACAACTATCAACAATTTGAAAGATGCAAAGAAACTAAAACATTTCATTTATTTAGAATTGATATTTTATTATTTTAATAGAAGCTTTGAAATTAACCACTTTATGAAAATATTTTCAAAACCGTGATTTATTACACCAATTGTGCAAAAAAGTCTAATAAACAATTAAGAAAAAGATCTTCCCAAATTGGTAATGTGAGCAAATCTCTATTAGGAAAAATATTAAAATTTAATAAAATTCGTCCGTACCAACCTAAATTCAATCATTTTCTGGAAGAAAATGACGACATGAAGCGTTTGGATTTTTGTTTGTTGATAGGGGAACATATCCTTAGACAAAGAAGTTTTACCACAAACGGGGTAGTTAGTTCGCAAAACTGTCGCTTTTGGAGCCGCGACAATCCTAATTTTCGTATCCGCTCTAGAAGACAGTATTCACACAAAGTTAACGTATGGTGTGCTATTTCTTACAATGGAATCATTGGACCATATTTTATTGAAAACAATTTAAATCAACACACTTATTTGCATCTTCTGAACAATTTTTTTTATGATCATTTGCAAGATATACCTTTAGCTGATCGAATAAAATTACATTTCCAACAAGACGACTGTCCCGCTCATTCCACGATAATTGATTGTTCGTGATTGGCTAAATAATCAGTTTGGGAACAAATGGTTTGGAAGGGATGGTCCAAATGAGTGGCCACCTAGGAGTCCCGATCTCACAATTATGGACTTTCATTTGTGGGGATATCTGAAGCAACATGTGTATAAAACCAATTTTAATAATAACGTAGATCTCTTGAAAGAAAAAATAAGAGAAGTCATTGCAAATATCCCAATACAGCAAATTAGGAATTGTTATCGGGAATTCAGATATCGAGTTGAACTATGCGCTGAACTCGGTGGTACCACGTTCGAATAGAATGTTATTTATTTTAATATTTTATAATTTATGATTAAGAAATACTTGCAATAATAAAAATACAAATAAGAAATAAGTAGTTTTCTTACAACAAAATCGTTATTCGGCAAGATATAAAATTATGTTCTAAGTAGGAAAGCGAAAATAGTTGTCTGTTCTTATGTACTTAAATTTATTTTAAACGAATTCCAAAAAAATAAAAATGTTGTTTCTGGCTAACCCGGTATAGTAATCGTAAATTTGGTATTCGAAATTGTAGTTTGAACACAAGCAGACGTTTTTATAAAGAGTGACTTTTTTTTCTAAACCCACAAATAAAAAAGTTTTTCTTAAACGAAATCCAAAAAAATAAAAATGTTGTTTCTGGCTAACCCTGTATAGTAATCGTAAATTTGGTATTCGAAATTGTAGTTTCAACACAAGCAGACGTTTTTATAGAGAGTGACTTTTTTTTCTAAACCCACAAATAAAAAAGTTTTTCTTCTTCCGAACTCTATCCGTGGACACACTGTATACACTATAGTGTTGCATGGTTATTTATTAGGGAGTTATGATTTTTTTCTTTAAATTTAATCTTTTTGCCTGTATTGTACAAAAATAATTTATAAATTTAAAGTAATAAAAATTTCCTGAAAGTGTCAGTTTATTTTGTGTGCCAGAAATGTACTTTTTACTACTTTCACAAAGAGGTTTAAACTTAACATAAGATAAACATATTTCAAAAAAATCTAAAAAAGTCAGCAGAACTACATGTAAAACAGAGTTCAGTTATTTTTTCTAACAATGCATTGCAATGTTATAAATTTACATACATACACTTAAATATTTTAATTTTTAATAGCCTTTTACAAAAAAAGTATCTTGCCCATCTCTTAATTTAGCAAAAATTATTTTATTGGCTTAGTTATTTTTACATACACTTAACAAATGGTATAAATAAAAGAGTTTAAATTTTCCCATTTTGATTTTACAGAATTTTTAAAATGGCAAAATAAATACACTATGTTTAAAAAAATTATCCACTTCATTAAGCATGCCTTGTTGACGATTAGGTGCCGCATATTTTTTTTTATTTTTCCAACACCGCCCATATTATTTATTCGAATCGTGACTAAGTCGATAGAACTGCTTTATTTCTAGTAGTGCTTACATCGCTTTAACATGTCGACGTGATAAGGTAGCGCGACATGTTATGATCTGTTCTCAGGGCCCGCTCGAGACCAGCCCGGTTACGGGACGTCTGGAACCGTACCATCCGCTGTGGAAGCGGCACGTTTTTCGATATCTCGTCTCGGTTCCTATCATCGCCATCTGTTTGTCGATGGTGTTTATTATTATGATCGTTTCGCTGCAAGTTCAGGTATGTACCACCGCGTTTATATCATAGTCTGAGTGCTCGAAGAGTAGTGCTTTTAGATAAGGTTTTTTACTTAATATAAATACCAGAATGGGGTAGTTAAATTTTTTCTGACCTATACTTTTTATGGTTTTATTCAAGGCGTTTTGTAATTTTAAACATTTCAGTGAAATCGGAATTTCAATTGAATTTACCGTTTTCGAGATATTTACAAAAGAAAATCTCCTAATTCACTATGCTATTTACAACGTTGCCATCTTTTTATATGGTTGTCAGTGTTTTTAGTTTAAGATTCTTACGATAGATGGCGCCACGTTATAATATTTTAGTTTTAAAACCACTTGATCTATAATTTTAGTTGAGAAGAAGAAGAATTGATTTTTTGACGTTTCTTTTTTTGGGTTATGTTTTTTTTAAATTTAGATTATTGAAAATCAATGTTATTGTTATGTTATTTGTAATTTATATTAGATAAGTGATTTATTAATAACGGACTCCAAAGCAGAGGAATCTTGTGGAATGGTTGGTTACATTGAACATTGGAGCTTTTAAACAAATAAAGTAATTACTTAAGTACCTATAATTATAATCATATTTTGTCGTAAATGCATTTCATTAGTATAATGCCTAGTTCTTTATATTCTTTTAGATGTATCTTGGACTCTAAAATATCAAACAGTAATATGATACCTCGTAATAAGGAAGATAGGTACTTAATGAATTTGGTGACCATCTTTTACTCAACTGACAGTGACAGTATTTGTACATAACCTCTTCGGGTATATTCTGACATAACCGAATGTAATCATTAACAAGACAACTTGACAACAGGGTAATTTTCAACCAATAGAAATCTTAGAATGTTGGGCACATAGCGAGGTTTGTGACGTCATAAAAATTTATATTTTTTGTAAATATCTCGAAAACGGTAAACTCAATTGAAATTCTGATTTCACAAAAAAGTTTAATATTACAAAACGCCTTGAATAAAACCATAAAAAGTATAGGTCAGAAAAAATTTAACTACCCCATTTAGGCTCCATTTTGTCCATTTTTAATACATTATTTTTAATAAAATGCTTCCATCAATCAGCATGATAGGGTTTTCATGAATTACCGAATACCGAATAATATTAATAATAATAATAATAGGCTTTATTTCAGAGGACATATAAATGTGTAGAAAACGTCAAGGGACATTTGAAAATAGACAAACATAAATACAATTAAAAATTGGTACATATACATTAGGGTGCTTCATTTTAGAGCGACATTTTTTTTTAAGTCCTACCTGAAAATCTTGTAACCGGTCAGAAAACAAAAATGTTGAGCTATTACAAAGCTCTTAATCTTTATTTTAAGCCGTTGCTATTCAATTTTTAAATATTTCCCTTTAAAAATCATTAAAAACAATGTTTTATTCTTTTCTTCTTCCGCTCGTCCATTATTAATGGAAAAAAATATTCTTAATTTAAGAATATTTTTTTCGAATTTCGGTTCTAAGAAATTATCTTCAAAAATGTCTATTTAAGCAAGCCTGTAAGTTGAATATGTTTTTCACAAATTGCTGTTCTACTCGAAAATCTTCCAAAATAGCAGTAAATCGTATTTGGAGACTAAAGTATTGATTGTAGATAAAAACGTAAATGACAATTTTGTAGGGAATTGTGTGCCCTACAAATTTGTCACGAAATATTTTTCTGTATCACTTATAGTTTAGCTTGTAGGTACAGCCACTCTTTCACGTAACTCTAATAGTATAGTTATTACAGTCAGAAACTGAATTTTTAAGAATTTTACACTTTGGGTAGCTCTACAAGCTAAACTATAAGTCATTTACGTTTTTTATCTACAATAAATAGTTTAGTCTCCAGTTAAGATTTACTGCTATTTTAGAAGATTTTCGAGTAGAACGGCAATTTGTGAAGAACCTATTCAACTTACAGACTTGCTTAAATAGACATTTTTGAAGATAATTTCATCCTGTGTAAAGATTTTATAACCGAAATTCGAAAAAATATTCTTACTGTACAAGCGGAAGAAGAAAATAATAACATTGTTTTTAATGGTTTTTAAAGGGAAATATTTAAAAATTAAATAGCAACGGATTAAAATAAAGATTAAGAGCTTTGTAATAGCTCAAAATTTTTGTTTTCTGGCCGGTTACAAGATTTCATATAGATAATTTCATCCTGTGTAAAGATTTTATAACCGAAATTCGAAAAAATATTCTTACTGTACAAGCGGAAGAAGAAAATAATAACATTGTTTTTAATGGTTTTTAAAGGGAAATATTTAAAAATTAAATAGCAACGGATTAAAATAAAGATTAAGAGCTTTGTAATAGCTCAAAATTTTTGTTTTCTGGCCGGTTACAAGATTTTCAGGTGGGACATTAAAAAAAAAAATGTCGCTCTAAAATGAAGCACCCTAATGTACACACTAGTTTGAATAACTTTACAGGAACTAAAGCTACATTAAAAGAAATTCACTTATACCATAATAACATTTGGACAACAAATATGACTTTAAAAGCGTTTTAAAAATGTTAATTTACTTAGCACTTTTAATGTCTAAAGGAAGTCTATTAAATATATGTTTGCCTAGAGCGCGTTCGAAAACTCGCAAGAGTGCACTCTGGATACACTCCAAGTTTACCTTACGCGTTCGAATTTTCTGGTATATACCTAGATAAATGAAACTGTCAGCTGTTCGAAAACAGCAAGTATATGCCCAGAGTGCACTCTCGGTTGTCCAAGCTTTAGACTTGGTTAAGTTTTACCCGTCATGCGCATAGGGTACATCAAACAATAATTTGTATTTACCTTCATATAATTTATTTATAACTGTTTAAAATTCAATAAAACAAAAACTAAAAACATTAAAATAAAAGAATTTATTATAATAAATTATTTAAAAAATATCAATTCTAAAAAACAAAACAAAATCTATCACAAAAACTTGAATAAACCATATAACTAAAGGGTTGAAATTCAATAATTTAATATTCATATGTATTTAGTCAAATAACAAGCAAAACCAATTGATTTTAGAACACTACAACATAAAATTTATAGGTATATGCTCCGCGGCGTTCGAAAATAACAAGGTATAATGTAAAGTCACGTGATTATATACCTATCCTTATACCATATCCAAAGTACACTCCTATTTCGAACGCACTCCTAAACTCCTAGACAAAACAGGCCTAAACTGTTCGGGGACTTTTAACCGATATTTAGACAATTAAATTTCGTTCTTAATTATTTTTTCTTTCGGGTATTAAAATTGTGGATATCAGAATTCATAAAGAATTTACTTTTGTTCAAAAATACATATATGCCTAGCTCCAAAATTTGAACACATGGCAATATTTTAAATTTTTTAAATAGTTCTCTACATGAGAAATCCTGTGGAACACCGGCTATGCATCTGATGATTCGCTTTTGGAAAACAAATAAACGTTCAGCAACCATAGGTGACCCCAAAAACAAATACCATAGCGGAGTTAACAACCAACCTGTGCATGCATGATATAAACATAATAGTTGCTCTATTAATAATATTTGCCTAAGAGTTCTAAATAAATAGATCAAATAGCTTAATTTAGTGATTAAAAAGTTTCAATGATGACTCCAATTTAGTTTTTCGATTGATTGCCACCTCTAATCATTACCCCATTCTAAATTTAATTTTATAATTTAAGCATGAACGGAGCAGTATTTTATTAATAAAATTATCTATAATTTAGGATTGGTGGGATGGTTTAATAGACTACAGAGGTTTACCGATGTGGTTCGGCTATTTACCGAAAATAATGTTAGCCGTTGTTATTTCTTTAATGGACGAAGCCTACTTTAAGATCGCTGTTTGGCTTAATGATAAAGGTAAGGGTTGTTTTTAAGTATACTATAGCAATATACATTTATTATTAAGACAATATTATGAAATATAAGCTAGATATGTGTTAGTTCTGCATTCTTTAACTAACTCTCAATACATATTGTTTAGGTCTTAGACAAAGGTTTAGATGATTAGTAGATTATAGATCTGTGTTGTTTATTAAGAGACATTTTTTATCACGCTGCTCAGAGAATTATCGTCTAGAGACCAAATATGAAAATCATCTCATCGGTAAAGTAGCCTTGGTTAGTACCTGTGTCTTCTAATTGTTGTGATTTGCATCCCCTAAAAAATAGATGTTATACTTCGAAAGACAATGCACGTGCATAGTAGTAAATATCCAATGTAATACTTCCTTAATGTATGATTCTCTTTCAGTTTCAATTTGTCAACTCTTTTCTGTCACTGTTTTATATTGCTTTTTACCTACAAGATCAAGCCAGGTTAAAAGAGGTAAATTCGAAAAACTCATCCCAAAATCCAACATCGTCAAACAAGCAATCTTTTTCAGCAATTGGCAGCATTGTTGATATCGAGACAGGTCATAGGCAATTTAAAAGAATCCGCGCTACCATACATGCTTGAGCACATGCGTTTGGCCAAGATGAGTTTCGACTTGTGGGGTGCTTTGAGTCCCGTTAACGCCAGAGCGCCACCAGGCAATGCGGAAGAACCGGGAACTGAGAATGCCGAAGAAGCCAAGGATCCCGCTGCTGGGGAAGCTAGCGACAAAAGAACCATGAGCCAAGCTGAGCTGGAGAGTTCGTTGTACAAAGTAAGAACTTTTTATGTCAAACTGTATTTAGTACCCGGACGACAATCGGGATTTCCTGGTAAAGTCATGATGATATCACGCGTGATTTTTATTAATCGATGACTTTAAATCTTAGTTATTTAGTTTTTTTTTAATGGAATGGCAAGAAAAACTTATATCTTGATTTGGTAGTTTTATTATAAAACTTTTATTTTTATAAAGAGTTATAATACTAAGTACCCGCAAACGGCAACACTGCTTAAACACACGCTGCACAAACTGGTATTTAGACCTAAAACGTGGCCAAATATCGATGGTTATATAATAATAATAATAATAATAATAATAATAATAATAATCTTTATTAGTGCTAATACAATACAAATTGTTTACAACGTCAAAAAAAGAAAAAGTAGAAAGAAAAGACTAATCACAAATACATTAAAAAGTACAAACTTACATAATATAGGTAAATATATAATTAAAACATTAAAATTGATACTCAAAATACTCGTTTACAGAATAAAACCCGTTTTTTACAAATACAGATTTTAGATATAACTTTAATTCCTTAAAAGCCATATTTTTTATGTTGATTGGAAGTTTGTTGTAAAATTTTATTCCGTTAAAATCTGGTCCACCTTGGCATTTATTGAGCCTGGAAAATTTACTCATAAGCTGATTTTTATTCCTTGTATTGTAGTCATGAAAACTATCATGGCTATGGTACAAATTCAAATTATTTTTAACATAAAGTAAATTTTGAAAAATATATAAGGAGGGTAGTGTTAGAATTCCAAGAATACTAAACATAGCCCTACAGTCGTCCCTGTAACCAAGAGAGGCGATGATCCTTATTACCTTGCGTTGAAGACCGAATATTTTATAACATTCCGCAGAGTGACCCCACACAATTAGACCGTAAGACATATGTGACTCAAATAGCGAATAATATGCACTTAAAAGTACATCACCAGAGACATTACCTACATGTACTAAGTTACGCATGACAAATATACTTGTGCTCAATTTTTTGGATAACGCATCAACATGGCAATTCCATCTTAATTTGTGGTCTAATAAGATTCCTAGAAATTTAACTGGTTTTAGTGGGTATCCATCATTTATTGGTCTTAAAGAAAAAATAAGATTATGTGTTTTTCTTTGTTTAAAACAAGTCTGTTACTGGTAAACCATAGCTCAGCCTCTGACAGTGCACGCTCGCTCTCTTCATTTAGTAGTTCAATATCTGAGTGTTTCAATATTATTGTGGTATCATCAGCAAAAAGTGTTTGACAAAACATCGTAAGCGACAATTTTGTTGAATTAGGTACTTTTTATTTTATCAAAGTGTCAGTTACGATAAGCTGCACATGTTAACATAATAGTTATCCCAATTTTGGAATCTAATATTGGTCAGTTTGAATATTTTTATTATTGTAAGCGCCTCGTCTTTTTAATTTGTTACCGATTTATAACGTAAGCGCCTATATGTTCCCGACGAATAATCGTAAGCAACTCCGAGACATGGCGTTTGCGATTTAACATTGTGTCGCTTACGATAATAATATTATTGTGCTCCCGCCTTGATCTATCAAGACGTTATTCCCGCTCTAAACAGTTTATTCGTGGTGATTGCTACGAAGTTTTAAAACAATATTTTATTTGACCAAAAGCTTATAATTCTATTTTTTCATTGCATTATTAATAGTTATCCTAATTATAATTGTTTTTACGTAGTGTGGTTCGTTAAAAGTGTTTTTTGTAGTAATTGTATGTTGTTATAGCGTCAAATAATTTGACTCAAATTTATAATGGTTAGATCATGGTACCATGGGTTAGATCTGGAGCCTACACAAGAAGTCCGAACATCATGTAAACAAGAATCTTCCTAAGATAAGAGGGCGCTGGTGTTCCGTTTATTCTGAAACAATTGTTTAATTTATACCGAAACGCTTGCATCGACAATCAGCGCCGCTGGTGGTGAAAAAAATAAACTTAATTTGTACAATTTCGAGGGCTGGTTTTGTCAATTTACCCTTTTAAGTTCGGGCTCCTTGTGTAGGCTCCATGGGTTAGATACTGGTTTGTGAATAAAAATCGTTCGTTTTTTTCAAAGAAAGCTAATGTAGAATTTCATTTTCAAACATTGTTTGGCAAAATATCGTTGGTGATATTTTATAAATTAATTTTTTTGTATTTTTTTAATTTAATAATAAAAGTAAAAATATAAATGTCGCTAACGATGTTTTGACAAAAGTAATCATTAAATCTATATCCCACAAAGTAACGTAAATGTAGCTTAAGCGACAAGACTAATTTTACATTTTCCTAAAGATGTTCTTATAAAATATTGTATGCCACAAAATTATATGAAAATTTTAGATTGGATTCGATCTTACTTAAATATTTGAATTCTACATTAATAAAATAATGCCTCACTAGTTTTCAGATAAATAACTTTAAAAATAAAGCTCCCACACAAAAAATCTCTCCTGTAAAATTTAGGTTTCTGTATCAAAAGGGTAGCAAATGACTAAAAAACATATTTCTAAATGTAAGTGATAGTAGCTATTTTTATTTATTTATTTATTTCCAAAAAACAATATACGTAATATCGTAATACAGATCTATAAAATAACATAATATAATATATTCATTTAATATAATAATAATAATAAAGGATAATTATCATATTCACTTAAATGAATATTTTCTATGGACACATTTTTGCAAAAAAGAACCAACAGACAGTATATTTAACGCTTACGTTTATTTTCTTAAATCAATTTAATTGATTTCAATGTTTAGTTTTTTTCTGTATGGATATTTTTTTTATTAAAATAATGTTAAATTGTTGATTACCATTTTTTTTAAATCAATTTTTCCCAAAAAATACAATTTTTTCAAGGCCTGGGAAACGACGATTTTCATTTCTCACGTGATATCCGTGTGACACAAAAATTCAAATCCAAACACTGGCATAAAAAATCACGACATGATTTTTATTTCTCACTTGTGAATACGTATGGCACAAAAAATTAAATTCAAGCACTGATGACATACAAAATTAAGACATAATTTTCATTTCTCACGTTTGATATCCGTAGGGCACTTGTGATATTCGTATGAATATTATGAACTTTTCTTAAAATTTTTGTTAGGGACTGAGATAAGTTTCATTTGCTCTTATATTTATCAAGAAATACCCACAACTTTTAGTGTTTCAAATGGTAAAACAAAAAAGCAAGATCTAAAAAATATAAAAGAATGTGCCTATTTAATAAAATTTATTTTTGAGATTTCTATACTATTTTCATTCCAACAAATGATTCTTTCAGTACGATGGCACCTTTGCCGACCATTTGGAAATGACTATACAACTGGGCTACGTTATCCTATTTTCTTCTGCTTTTCCGCCTGCAGCGCTCTGCGCAATGTTTAATAATCTGGTAGAAATACGAAGCGATGCCTTTAAACTTGCTTACGTTTGCCAACGACCTTTTGGACAAAGAGTGCCTAACATAGGAACATGGCAGGTAAATAGTATGTCTACTAGGATGTCCCTTATTTTGGTCGTTTTGGAATTTCATTTATCATACATAAAAAATATGTTCCTATTATGGAAAACATTATCTCAAGTTTGATCTCAGAACGATTGAAAATCGAACGTTTTACGTTGTTTTTTTCAAAATATTTTTATTAATTTCATTTGCATAATATTAATGTTTTTATAAAATTTAGAAAAAAAGTTCTAGGGTTTTGTACTTGCCAAATAAAACCGTTGAAATTATAAAATATGTACTTGTTAAAATTTAATGGAAAGTATGCGGCAGATTTTTTGATCAACTTTAACTAACAAAAAAAAAGTTAAAATCTTAAGTTTTGTGGAAAGGGTTAACGGTATCAGATTAGACTCAAACTCAAAATGACCAAAATAATAACTCTAAAATAAATTTGAAGGGAATATTAAAAAAATTTATTTTAGAATTGTATGGAGTACATGAGTATAATGGCGGTTCTAGTTAATTGCGCTCTAATTGGTTTATCAGGACAAGTTCACAGGATGTTTCCTGATATGACAGCAACTCAAACAATATTGTTGATTGTAGCACTAGAGGTTTGTATTATACACTGCAATGTTAATATTATTATTATAACAATAAATTGTCATTTTAGCATATTATGTTGATAATAAGATTTATTATAACATGCGCCATTCCTGACATACCAGGATGGTTGGCTACGGAAATGGCGAAAATTGAATGGGCAAGAAGGGAAGCAAGTAGAATGTCAAATAGTACTCCTTCACCTGAAGAGCTTTCTTCAAAACTTATTGGAAGGTAACTAACGTTTTTACATGTTCATTTTATTTCAGCAGCTAAAAACAGTTTTTGCAATATAGGAAATGTAGTCAAACTACAGGACTTCATTTTTCAGATTTTCCGTTTCCCCCAGTCACAGCCTAGTTTCCGATCAATCTTTGAGAAAATCCGAAGAAAAATTGAAGCTACTGGAGACAGAATTTAAAGAGAGATCTGCAAGTGTAACGCCAGTTTTAACACCAACGACTCCGAACCCTGCGCTCGGCTCTAACAAAAATATCAGCATTACTGCAAGTAGCATTGCGGCGATACCTCCGTTTAGGCCGAAGAAATCAAAAGATTGGACAGCTGCTGCCGCAGCAGCAGATGTAAGTAACCTAGTTTTTTTAAGAGAATATTATGCTGTGAGGTATAAATAAATACGGAAACTCACCTTAGCTAAAGAAAGTTTAATACATAACATTGCCAATGATTTATAATGATTTATAATATAACTTTAACAGCTTCTTCCAGCATTTCCAATATTTTCATTGGCTGCTTATATATTTATTAGTTTCCCTTGAATTTGTCAATCCATTCTTTGCAAAGAAGTGTCAAATATATTTCGCGATAAAACTAAGTTTTTGTAAACCTAATAGGGGTGTCAAATTTTCTTTTTAAATTTAAAATTATTCTAAATAAGACTTCGCGGCATTTTAAAGTATTAGCTCGTGATGAATGACATCCTTTGAAAAATTATGTGTTATAAATTTCTTCACAGTAACCCTGTATTTCTGGCCTAGTAAATTCAAGGCAAGTGACATGCATGCAAATACGTAAATGCTTTATAGGTATTTATTCAAAAACCGTTTATCGGACGAAAAATTTAAGAGGCTATTTTTAGTAAAAATTTTTTACTAAGAGAAAATTTATAAATATGATATGATATGATATGAGTAGTCCACACCCAAAAGTCGGTTATCTATCCGTCAGTTTAACGCTAATTTCGTCTTATTTTCTGGACCTAAGGTTCTTTTTCTCGGAGCGCGTCACATATAAATCGGTTTCAAATTCATTACGAAAAAACGACATTTTTTTAATAAAGCGGTTGCGGATTTAGGTTTATGGATCTTTTTACCTTAAGGGCTTATATACGTTTGTCCTCGGGAAAATGAATGGTTTTTATTGTTTTTTTTTTAATTAGTACCTAATAATAATTTTATTGAAACGAACTTCAAAGTATCAAATAAAATATGGTTTAATATTTTTACAAAAAAAATTGCCCGAGACGCTTTTTTTTAAACGTTTGCGCTGGGCATGAAATATTGAAAACGGCTAAACCGAATATTACAAAAAAATTACCATATTACTATATTACTATATAGTATTGCCCCCTTCGTGAACGAAGGGTTTTGCTAAAAGACATTTATGCAAATTGTAAGGATTTTCGAGGGTACAAAAATTGGGGTTTCCTCCAAATAAAAATTCCTTTGTCCACGAAGTATCTATTAAAATTAGGAACAATACTTCCAAATTTCAGATTGATCGGTAATAAATTGCTCTTTGAGAAATCGTGCTTGTAAAAAAGGTGTGTTGGGGCAATGGTCGTGATTTCCACAAATTTACATTTTTTTAAAAAGACGAGTGTTGCTTTTTTTAAACAATCTGATTTTTTCTTTTATCTAAAAAAATACCTATTTTGATTTTTCTGAAAAGAAATAGGAATGTAGGAATATTTAAAAATATTAAACAAAAATAAAACATTTTTATTATAAATTTATAACTATAGTTTTATATTGTTATTGTTAACCCAAACAGCATTTTTGGTTCCAAAAACCATTACCAAAGTGGTGATAACTTTAAATTAGTTAAGTATACTAAACAGCTACTTTAATGTTTACTTGGCTAATACTTCTCATAAATACTCGTAGAAAAAATAAGTAAACTTAAGGAAGTAACAAGAATATATTTAGACATGTTTCTGATGTGTCCTGTCCATGGGCTTGGAATGGTCCTATAATTATTTTTACTTTGTAGTCCCTTTGCAAGTTAAAATCTCGAAACTGGAACATGAGTTCAAAACTACAAAGTTAATAACTTAAAAGTTATTATTTTAGTATTTGGAACGTTTATGGTACTAACCTTAAAGTAGCAAAAACTACTTCAAAGGAAAATGCTTCTTTTCGGCCATTTTTTACTGTACAGTAAAACGTGGTAATGTAAATAATAAATTATTTTAATTGTTTGTAAATGGTTGTTTACTTTTTAATAGAGTAATTTTGTTGGTAATAGACGGTATTAATAATGAAATAAAAAATTAATAATAAATATTAAGATTTTTTTATTTATAAACATTATTAAATAAATAATTTAAATTATTGTTTATACTTAAATATTGATGAAGCGGATTTATTTTACAAACGCTACATTCATAAGTTCAACAGTAAAATTTAAAGGGTTTATAAGTTTACCTGCCTAATTAAACATTATATTGTTATTCTGGAAGTTATAAACTACCAGTACATATTTAATAAACGACGACATTGAAAAGCCAACTCCGTAGTGGTTCCATTTAAAAAAGGAGGTATAATCTAATATAAGTTTGACAAAGACAGTTAATATAGAAGTAAAAACAAATAAATAAAAGTAATTATAACGCTCTAGCAACGATATTGAAACGTTCTAGTAAAGTAGCAGCTACGTTCTAAATAGTAGGAGGGTTTATAGCTAGTGACATATTTGTTACCTTTTTGGAACTCAATAATTGTTCCCCACTTTAGTCGTAACTTAGTAATGAAGGAGTAATATAAAGAGACCAGCGACTGTCGCAAAACACATTAAAGTTTCTTTAATAGTCCCATATACGTAACAAATACTTAAATTGTTGCTTGGGAAGGATTTTCAGATATTGGAAAAATATATTATTTGGAATTCGCAATATTAATTAAGTAAATTTTAATTTTAAAATAGCTTAATTTTGATAGAAAAATGTTTCTTTTATATTACTTATTTCTACATAATTTAATTTACTTGTATACATGCTATAGCATGAAAGCTCGCATCATTTGACCATCGGCCCCAGTGGCGGCGTGGAATGGGCAAGACGGCTAAAAGAAGAAGCCGACATTCACAGAAGCACCGACTGCATCACGCCAAAGGTGCTTATCGCAAATTTTGCTTCGCTTATTATTAGTTTTGTTTCGACGTTTTAAAGGTGTTGCAGGACGCGTCCAGCTCGGACTCGGACTTGCTGAAAACAACTTCAAGTCCCATGTGGCCACCTAGATCGAGATCGCCCCCAAGTCATCCCCACCCTGTTATACCGAAACCTAAACCTGTTACGGCCGATCCATCGTTGAGTGATAGCGCCAAAAGTGTCGCTAGTCAGGAAACTCCAGAAGAAGCTGCAGCAAGAGGTGAGAAAGAATGAAACTTTTTGATGTGTTAACATCTACGCTATGGCTCTGCGGTAAAATCATCTTGCAAAGGCGTAGCCATGGGAGGGTAGGCAAGGAAAAACTAATGTATGCCACGAAAACGTTTAAACGAATATTTATTTTATTACAATAATAGTAATCTTTAAGGTTCTTTAGAAAACCGTTTTAAGCCTTCACCTGCATTTTTTCCCCATTTACTTGTACAATTTTTCTCTTAGGGGAGGGGCAGCAGCCCCCTGCTCGCTCCTGGCTATGCCCTTGGCCTCCACATGTAGATGTGACGACTGCGTCAGTGTGTGCGTGCGAAAATCGATATTAGTGATAGTGGGGACGCATGAACGTTGCGTAAATGGAATTATATTTGAATGTGTGTTCTTGGCGTAAGAAATTAGTGGCTGTGCATAAGTAACAGAGATATAGAAAATAATCAACCCGCCGTAAGATATGCGTATCAAGTGAAACGGTTTAATGAGTAGAAAACGGTAAGGTGGTTGAAAATTTTCATAATAAACATTTTCAAAAATTAAAAAAATTTCAATTTTTCAAAAAAATTTCATATTTCCAACACTAAACTTGTACCAGTTTACACATTCTTCGTGTGTCACTCAACTGCCGTGCTTAATGAAAACGCCGTAACCAACAATTTTGCGATTTTTGTTTTACGGCATTTTCTACTAGAACAATTCATCCTGTGTCTATCCCCGGTACTCAAAAAACCGTATATATATAGATACGGTTTTTTGAGTACCGGGGATAGACGCAGGATGAGTTGTTCTAGTAGAAAATGCCGTAAAACAAAAATCGCAAAATTGTTGGTTACGGCGTTTTCATTAAGCACGGCAGTACAGGTTTACCTTATATCTGTAACAATTTAGCTTTAACTTTTTTACACAAATTTCTGTTTTTAATTATCATTAGTAGAGTCCGGATTAAGCTTATCTTCAATTTTGATAGGCCGTTAAAAATTACAATGAGTGGAAAATGACACATTGTGTTTAGGATATTTTTAGTGCAATTTAACCCAACATAATGTTTGCCTTTTTTTTCACACAAAAAATGACTAAAATACCTTTATTTTTTTAATTATTTGATTTTTTTATAAAAAAAAATTGATTTTTGCCGCTTTGAACACCTTTGCCAATAAGTTTTTTTCTGAGCTGAGCTTTGGTGCAAAACTATGATTAAAGCAATGGCGCCGAGTTTTGGATAAACGACATAATTTAACTAAAGAAAATGTCAAAACCATCAAAAATACATTGATATTTTGTTAAATTCGTTTTTTATTAATTTAAATTATTTGGAATAATTCATTTATTTCAATTTTTTAATTTTTTTGTAGTATTGCCTTTTTGTATTTTTTGTTGCGTATTTTGCCCTTTTACTTGCCCCTGCCTTTTTGGGGGTCTTTTTGGAAGCCTTTTTCAATTTTTAAGTGCCTTAAAGTCTGGTCTCTAATTATTAGGATTAATGCAGAAACCGAGACAGAAACTTTTTCTTTAGTCCTGTAATATAGCTTGCTTAGTTACCTATATGTTTAATAGTGTAAATGCAAAAAAAAACATTATATTGTCCAAAATTTCATAAAACTCTAGAACGGTTTTAAAACTGTTTAAAATGTTCCTATAAACAAATGCCATGATGGAACAACATTGTGCCATGGTAAAATGACAAAATACTGTATTTTTGTAGAATAATTTTGTATATGTTTAATAAACATTGTTTATACATATTAAAAAAAATCATGACATTGTTAAATTTTAACATAAATTACACGTACAGTAAGAAAATCAAATTTTCAAACCCCTGTATATCTGCAACCTCTCAGTCAATGCCTTCACCCTTTTGCAAAATTAAAGTAGTTTGATAGGACAATGATTTAGGCAAATTTCTTCAAAATCGGAAACAACTTTATTTTTAGGTGGGAACACTTGATGTATAAAGTTAATTATAATATAACATACACTGCGCGTCAAAATTAACACATAACAAGTAAAAAACTAAAATCAATCTTTATAAAATTTTGTATAAAAATACTTTAAATTATATCTCAGTTTACGTTTTTCTGAAAGCCCTTTTATTTAATAATAAAAAACGCTCAAAAAAATTTTTATAGGAATTTTTTTTTAAGTAAATAAGAAATATGCTGTGAAAGACCGTATTTTTGTTAGTATGTTGTACAAATAAAACAAACAGTAACAAAAATACAGCGCATCAAAGTCGTCAAAAATGTCCACTTTTCAGCAAAATAATCAAAAAGGGGTAATTAATTAAAAATTTTTACCGACTTTGAAGCGCTGTATCTTCGTTATTGTTCGTTTGATTTGTACATAATTTTCAGGGTATACTAACAAAAATACGATTATTAACAGCATAATTTTTATTTACTTAAAAAAATTTTAAGTAAAAGTTATTTTTCGAACGTTTTTATATTATTCAATAAAAGGGCTTTAAACATATTTTCTCGAAAAACACTCGAACACAAAAACTAAGATATTAGTTGAAGTATTGTTATACAAAATTGGTAAGATTGGTAAAGGCGTTTTAGAGTTAGAATTTTTTTACTTATTATGCGTTAATTTTGACGCGCAGTGTATTTATAACATCACTTTACGTTATAATATAAACTGTCAAAAAATGCCTTCAACCATAGATTAATAACCTCTTCAACTTTCAAATAGAAAATTTTAGTTATCTGTTAGTATATTGTTCAGGGTTAAAAAAAACGGGTTTATTATATAGAACCCAACCCACTGGGCTTTTTTGGGTTTTTAATTTAATGCAGATTATTAGTAAAAAAAATATACAAATAAATACTGTTGAGTATGAGTATGAGTATAAGAGACGTATAACCAGCCCCATTTCCTCTTGACTCTCGAACCCCGTACAGGCCTATGTTTACTTACGCCGATTTTTGTTCTTCCCCAGCAACTGCACGGCTTCACCCGTGTTTGTTGGGTGCGAATGTCCATTGCGTTCCGTACTGTCCCCTATTTGGGGCTCGAGAGCGAGAGGCGAATAGTTATAATAGCCATTCCCGGGTTCGCCGAGCCTATGCTATACGCTCGGTGGGGTATGGATGAGGGACGGGAGGGAGTTGGTTTTTGGGGGACAATTACGCCGACTTAAAACTAAGTACGACGCGGAATCCCCCTAGACCAGTCGATTAGTAATACTCCAAACATTTGGGATTACTATTTGGAGTTGGGGAGTTGTTATTTCGCTGCAGGGGTGTAGTTTCCTAGTCAAGGTCTTTGTCTTGTTCGTTATTGTCATTGTCCGTGTTCTGGTCAGATAGTTCCTGCCCTTGGTAAAGTGTGTCAGTTGTTTTTAATATTTTTGTCCCAAGCACATTTTGTGGTAGAGTTCCGTCTTTGTTTATCAAATTCCAAAGCTTGCATTTATTCACTAGTCAAACAAATCACAAGCGCGATTATTCTGTTGTCTAATGTTTACAAATCTCGAGTTTGGCTATTAGGCCCTTTTTTTTAATGTGTTAGAATTATGTGTTCAATGTTAGTTTACTCTGTCAGTCCAGTGTTTATTTCGGTTTCGATTGGGACCGCCTTACGCATTTGCTGTTGACAGACTTATTGCCCCACGCCGCGTGCCCTTCATGGGTTTTAAAGATATCCCAATAAACACTTTAACGATACCTAACACCATTAACATTGCCCGTGTAAGAATTTTTAACACTTTTTAATACAATTTTGCAATGATAGTAATTAAAAACAAAACAATTGTTTAAAGTTCTTAACATAATCATATTTTAAAGTTATTTTAACATTTTCAAGTAAAATAAATGTTATGTTTAATGAAATGAATACGGGCAATGTTAATGGTGACAAATAACGGAAAATGCTTGCCGTATTTATATTGCAGATTTGTATCAGGTCATGCATACTCTTAAAGTAAAACTTATCAGATTTTTCCCTTTGCGGATGGCCACCTCCCCTCTTCTCCGACCTCCCCCGTCCGTCCAGTGAAAGCCTCCAATGACAGGTGGCACCCAAGTCATTCATATTACCCAACACTCCACTCCTCAATGACCGTTACACCATTTAGCTTGCACTCCATGAAAATGTTTGTTTCACTTATCAGTTCGCACCCCTTTTTTTTTATTATTGTTGGTTTCATCTTTAAACTTTTACGTTTCAAGAGCTCGCCCGCGTGACGCGACTCGTCTTCTCGAGAGCTGGAGCCGAACTGCGCATACAAATAAATACTGTTGATAAGAAAAATTCAAGTTTTTTTAGAGTGAATTGTGTATAAAAAAAAGGTAGTGAAAATTTCACTCCCACTTATTTTCGCGGTCGTTCGTCAACCTTAAAATGCCTTTATATTTTAAATTAGAATTTGATTTTTAAATACATTAAAGCAGTTTTAGTTTGACCAACGCTGTATGCGGATGTTCTTTTAAGTTTTACCCAACGACCTAACAAGTGTACTGCTTTTAAATAAAGACTTGTGCCCCTGGGGGCTTTTACCTACTGGGCAGCCAACCATGATACTGTTCCTTTTTTAGCTGCCGAGGAATTGGCGGCCAAAAAGACCAGGGTCAAGCAAAGTCTGATGAAACGCGCACGCTCTGTTGCCATATTCTCGCTGAAACTGAAAGAGCGCAGGGCCAGAGAAGCGCAAGAGAAGGCAGACAAAGCGGAAAAAAGCGGCAAATCCGCTGTGACGCCTCCTTCGCAACTTCCACCGCCCCAATGCGGCGGCGGAGAACTCTCATGTATACCCATTGAAATGGTAAGAAACTGCTTATAAGCATTTTTAATTTAACTGTGTCGCTTTTTACCAAAGCAAGATATTTTTCTTTGAAATTTTACAAATATTCTCGTTAATGTAAGACTTATGCTAGACTGAAATCATTTTTAGCTCATTCAGTTAGAAGACGTCAGACTTAACCAACCAGCCAGACCTAACAACAACCAAACAGGAACATTGTAGCAATCTAAATAAAATAAAAATATAATACCAAAACTAGTCATTAATTACGTATATAAAATTAAATTTTGTATTAGTCTGTAAACCTACAATGATATAATGAGGCTGAATTATTTTTAGTACACTTTAGTAATATGAAATAATCGCTTGAGTAGTCACTTTGATACTTTACAAAAATCAGATAGGACCTATAATACAATAATTGTAAAATGTGTGTGCTAATTTACTAAAAATACTGGTTGCTTATTAAACTGTAACTGCTTTTTTTAAGATCAAGTAGTTACTGTTTTAACTCAGTACCCCAGAGTCCACCTAATTTTTAAAGGAGATTTGAAAATTTTCATCTTTGCATTGTTTTTTAAAGCTATAAAACACATAAAATATTTTGTGGGTTTCATAGAAATCGAGCTGTATCTGGCACGACAATTTATTTTTTACATTACACATTAATTGCTTGAGGTAGCGCATTTTTTTGTTTGGTAGTATATAACAATTTAAATACATATCTATGCAACTTTTTCTTAACCAATAAAAACTGGTCCTGTCTGTATTAAAACTTATTTTGATTCAACAATTTAACAACTGAGTTTCATGTTTATAAGCCCCATATATATAAATAGCAGTATTCTCATAATTAAAAATACTTATAATAGTATACTCCTAACATCTTAAATCTAAAGCTAATTAAGCAATAAATTGTTACTGTATGAAACATTGGGAAAAGTCTCTTTAAACAACCCTGATGTTGATAGTTGCATAAGGTTGTTTTAAATTATTTTTTATAATATATATTTGTAAACAGTAGTTATAAGACTGCAAGTAAATATCTTAGTTAATTCTAACTTTTAAAGGAATACTATTTCTTGAATTAATACAATAAATAAATGTTTTGTGGACACACTCCGAATCTGTATGTTTTGATAGGGACTAGCAGTTAAAGTTTATCTCACTTTTACTGTTTCAATTTACTTGAGCTAAAATAACATTTTAATGAGTAACAATTTTTTAGATAATATAACTAAGTCAGAAACTTCTAGTCCCTGTTGTTTAATTAGAAGTAAGAATTTTCCCAACGCAAAGTTTCCCAAGTAGATACAAGAGCTGAAACATTAACGTTTACGTTGCTAGCTAGCATAAATTATGTACGTCCAGAAATTAAAATGCCTTTTAAATAAGTTATATTTTTGTAAGTGTTCACGCAATTTCAGTCAATGAAAAACAATTATAAATAATATTTTGCTACTAGATATTGATTATTATTTGTTCAGTGATTGTCAAGTCAATATTTACACTTGAAATATTATTGAGCCATTGTAATTTTTTATATTGTTATTTATAATGGACGAAAAACCTAATGGTACAATGATTTATACAAATATTTAAAATTTGGTGCAATCTTTAAAGGCTTTATAAGACAAATAAGTTATAAACATTCTAGTTAATTTCATATTAACTAAACATGTTTTTAAGCTTAAAAAATGTTAAATAGATCTATGTTGACATAAGACTGCAAGTTGTGACTGCAATCTAGTTGGATCTTATATAAGTATACTTATTTATAAATCAGTGATTATATCATCGCAATAAAAAAGCATGCATGTTAACCATTGTTCGAGATTATTAGCGTTACTCACTGAAAATGTTGAGTGCTTCATCGAACTTCATGTTGCTTAGGTGTTAAGCTTGTTAATATTGTATTTAATAAATAAATCAAAAAGCCAATTGTGTTTTTATCGAATTCTTAGGAAAAAAACGCATCTAGGTATTGTGTTCCATAGAAAACAAACTTCCCTTTTTCAATAGAAAGTTTCTATTGGAACTGATTATCCAATCACAGCCCTGAATTCTGCCTCAATCTAGTATGCTAAACTTCTACAGAAAGTAATAATAATGCAAGTAAGTAAATAAAACTACATATTAAAATAAATATAAAAGACTTTTTACAACATACTTAACATTTAATTTATAAATTTTCTTGTACAAATTTTTCGGCATTTTCCAGACTCTCGTTCAACAAGGTATCCCAGTCTTGTAAGTTTACTTTTCTTGCTTTCATGTTGACTACCAATGTTCCATCTTGTCCTTTAGGTGGCGCCACGCGACTTTTAAAAACTGCTGCCACGCTGTCTTTCAGCCATTTTTCAGCGTTGAAGTTTTCAGACCTCATGTGCTGAAATAACAACAAAAATGAAACCAAGTCTTGGATAAATAATGTGCTAAATGAGCATGGCATTTAATTTAAATTCTACTACTTAAGTGTGGATAAAAGTACATATTAAAATGAACAAAGTATAGTACTTACCTTGGGTACACAGCATCTGGCTTTGACCATATTATCAGCAAAGGCGATGACTAATACTGGTAAATCAGGGCATAATTTTGTAGCCCTTTGTAGAGGAACATCTTGAAGCATCATAGAACTTCTTAGATAGTGAACAACATATTCTTTGTCGTTTTTAGTTTTCTTTACGTTGGTGTCCAAAACGTCTTTCATTTCTAGCTCTATAAAATCTCTAAAATAAATACAGTAAATCATTGTTGATAATAATATATTTATAGTATACTTCAATGCTCCACTGGTAGTTGATTTAATATCTTTGCTAATGTTTTCCAACATTTCACTGCAGAGTTGTTTTTCATGTATAGGTAAGATCGAGTCATCTGAATTTGTGTAGTTTAATCTATGTTTTAAAGCGGATACAGCCATTTCCAGAACCTCAGGCTTAAAAAAATAATTATTTTTGTTTACGTGACGCGCTCTGAAGAAACGAACGAATCGGTAAATCAATTCCAATAGAAAGTATTTGCTATAGAAAAAGTCTCAAATTACAAGGAACACCCCCCATACCTTGTCTATATTATCAGCCACAGTTTTCTTCAGTATTTCTATATCATCTCTTAATTGTACTGCATTGTCCATAGCCAATTTCGCCCTTTTACCTGTCACAGCTATAATTGATGCTGTACTTCTTCCAAGTGATTTCAAATTTATTATGCAAAAATCTTCCAGATCTCCTGTGTTGAAAACATGTGTACCACAACAAGGTTCCCTTAGCAAAATCAAATTAGGAAAACATTATAAAGGGTACTTAAATTAAAGTGCCTGGAGTAGGAGCGACTAAAATTTAATGTTATGATCATTCAAATGAAATTAAAAAAGGCAACATTTTAGACGCATTTTTCTGGAGTTTTTAACAGTTTCGTTAATATGCAGGGTGTTTCATAACACTGTGCGACAAATTTGGGGTAACCAATTTTAAACCGGATTTCACTGATTTTCCCTCAAAGGTCCCTGGGTTTGTTAAAGTTAGCTCAAAATTATTTTTTTTATGGTCTTATGAAGTTTTTAAGTTTTGGGTAATTTTTTGTTCCTAAATTGTTTCTTTTGGCAAAGTAGTTAATGTTTCTCGTTCCGACTCTTTGTGAAAAGATTTTTCATCTCAAAATAATTTATATTTATAAACATTAAATGCAATGAAATTTAGTTTTTGGGGTCAATTTCTTATAAAATTGCCTTTTTTTCTTTTTCTTTAGCCTACCCAACTTAATATTAGATTTTTAATTTAAGACTATAAAAAATAATTTCCAACCCTAGGAAAAAATTTAATATTTGTTTAAAAAAAATTCCTAAAGTACTTTAAGGTACTATAATAGCACATATAAAAGTTAAAAGTTAAAAGTACCAAATGAATTTTTTTTCAAAAGCTCCTTGAAATTTTTAAAAAGTTTTTGGTGCTTTGAAAGGAAAAAGTGGAAAAAATCAGGAATACATTTTTCTGAGAAATCATTTTTTTTCTTTTGAAGAAAAATTAAATTTTCTCATAAACCATTAGAGACATTTAAAAAGTTTTTTGGGTTTTAAGGGTTTAATTAGAAGCAGGGAAAATGAACTATAATATTTTTTCTGAGAAATCAGAAAATCTATTTGTTCTTCAATCAAGGGAAATACTGTAAGAACCTCTTATTTTTTGATTTACGTATAAGTGGATACACCGTGTCAAAAATGCCACGAAGTCGGTTAAATAGGCAAATTGGTGGCATTTTTTACACGGGTCAAAATGGTGAAAAAAAAAAATTCAACGTGGAGTTTCCTAAATATTCACAAAAATAATTTTTTAAAAGATAAATATTTTTACATATTTTAAAAGAAAATTTAATTTGAAACAAAAAAGGTTTGTTGCATAACTACCTTAAACATAAAAATACACAATTAATAAGCACTTTTCCATAGTTTTTAACATAAATCAAAGTAAAGGTAAGTAAACAATTATTTGTTCCAAAATAAATTTTCTTTCAAAATATGTAAGGACATAAGTACAGAGTGTCGCATTAAATTTTTAAATATATATTTTTTATTTGACGATTTATTGTTTTTCTATTTTCACCATTTTAAGCAGTGAAAAAATTGCAACTAATTAGCTAATTTGTTGCTCCAATCATAACTGAGTTAGCAATGGTGAACACTTAACTTTGGTGGGTATTATATTAATATACATTGTATTATTATATAATATAGATTGTAAAGTCAGCGATTTGTATATTTAATTATATAATATTATAATTGTAAATTATACAATTATTATGTTATTATATAATTAAATATACAAATCACTGACTTTTTTACTTATTAAAAAATACAAATTTCATATGGGTGATTCTACAAAAGTTTGCCAACTTTTGACCTCATTTTGTTTATATAGTTTTCGTAGAAAATTAAACAGTATTTTGTTATGAGAACATAGATAATATAATAAATATACTGTTCCAGACCGGGTCAGTCACTTTTTCAAACAGTTTCTGAAATATCTGTGTTTTCTAAATTTGAATGCAAGGGAACTGACGAGTATACCAGGGTACTAATTAAATACATAATTTATTTAGTTTATTACAACTTTGAGCATATTATACATTAAATATCTTAAAATCAAATAATACCACACCAGTGGCGGCTGGTGGATTTTGGATATACCGATATCACAATTATTAGATATGGGACCCACACCAAATTTATATGAGTATATAATGACATTAAATATACAAGTTCTGCGCAAGCAGAATTTAAATTGAAGTTTGCGAAAAAAAGATAACCGAAAAATCGAACAAGGTACTGATGAATGGGATACAAATTTGAGATAATAATTCGGAATTAAGTATTTTACTGATATTTTTTATTAGTGGATGCTACTTATCAACAAATCACATATAGCCTTATATAAATTACAATGAAATATATACGTAAGAAAATAACTACTCACCACAGTACTGAAATTTTGACTGGAACTATATGTGCATTCACCACAACTTCGCCGCTTGCATTGTTTTCAACATGATTGTCGTGCAAAGGGCGGGCTCTGTAGGTAATTTTTTACCAACACTGGAGTTAAAACGTGGACTTGGCGTTTAAACTTCAATATTTCGCAGGAATTTTGAATTTTAACATTGGACATAGAACTGACGGGTAAAAGCGAGTGCAAAGATTATCAATTTTTTTAAAATTGCTATTATTCGAATCTATGATAAAATATGAAGAATACATTATTTAATGTTTTATAGTTTGTAGTGAAATTGAAAAATTTAAGATAAATTGAGTATATTTTAAAATAAAATCACTCAAATATTTGATTCAGGAGTTGTGGCACGCCAAGGTTCTGATGTTTTAAATATTTATTGTGTTTTTCTACAAACTTGCTTTTGAAAAAATACATTAAAATTGGGAGGACACGTTAAAAAAAACCTGGATCTTTTGTAATATACTAAAATATTTACATTATTATATTTACGTCAAGTTGTCCAACTTTTGTAGGATCACCCATATACTAAAATTTAATGTAAACCAATTGATAGAAAACTTGGAAACCCAAAAAACTTATAATGTGGTTATATCTCTCCATGGTAAGATCTAATAACAAAGTTAATATAAATTACCTTGAAATGAGTCCATTTTCATCATAAACCTCAATCAACCTTATATCCGTCTCCGGGTAAATCTCTCCTGGTATTAACGTTACTTGATCGTAACTTAAAAGCTGCTGACTATCTACGATAAGCTTGTCGACTGGTAAACGTTCTTTTATAATCGAGCAAATCCTATCTTCGATGTGTTTAACTTCGTTCATAGTCAATTTACTTCCGAAAATCGCAACGTCCAAGTTCAAATACGTGTCCGCAACTTTGCTGGATTTCTGACAGGTGGCCCCTTTAAACTCTTTGATGACAGCATTTAGCAGATGCACGCAAGTGTGGTTTCTCATGGTGTTTAATCTATCCTCCGTCAGCACGGATAGCTGTCCTTTGGTGTCGGTTTTAAGGTTGCCATCTTGGCTTCTAAAGAATCCCTTGTGAATAATGTAGCCGTTGTGGTTTGCGATTTCCACGACTTCGAAGGTTCCGCCCTTTTGGAAGTGAATTAAACCCTTGTCACTGCTCTGTCCGCCCGCTTCAGAATATAAATTTGTGTTGTCCAGCAATAGGGAACAGTAATGGTTTGGTTTTATTTCTTTCACAGCTTGTTTTTCGTGAATAATACTCAGTACTTTTATTGGCACATCAGGAAATATATAAGTATCGCCGTTTTTAACATAATTATACTTAAAGTCGTCGTTGGTTTTACTAAAATTACTTAACAAGGGCAGTAAGTTATCAAATTTCAATAAACTACCTTCCTTAGATCGCGTTTTCGCCTCCTGCAATTTATATTCCAACTGTTTCGCGTTAAACGGCAGGTTTAAAGCCACGGAAAGTTTTTCAATGCTTTCTTCGTCTAAACCATGAGTATCATAGAGTTTAAAAGCTAATTTGCTATCTATTTCTTTTGGATTTATTAGGGTTATGTCTTTGTAAGCTGCCACCAGGCTTGGGCTTTCCAAAATTTCTAACGATTCAAGTTTGGGATTGTTCGCTGATATCACTTTCCAATCTTTTATTGCCTTTTCTCTAATGTTTCTGTACACTTCTTCTTCATAGTCAAGGATTTGGTTTACCTACACATTACATATAACAATTAAATAAAGTGGACTAAGAAAAAAACTTCATAATTCAACATTTGCTTTTCATATTCCTAAAAGTCAGAAATACGACATTTGCAAGCCATAAGCATTAGAGCATTTTATTAACAAAATCTTAAAAAAGTAGAAATCTTAAGATTTATATAGTTCATTCGCATAGTTTTTTAGTTTATGAAAATATTCCTTCTTAAAAATTGCAAATTTATAAAAGTTGTTTTTATTGGAAGTGATTAACCAACGGGTGAATTAATTAGAGCACAGCCTGAAATCTCCATCTCAATCAAGTATGCAGAGGAGGCTGTGCTCTAATTGGTTAATCACTTTCAATAGAAAGCAAAATTTTAATTACGCATGCGTAGAACGGGCGCGTACAAGTATACTTGTACGCGCCCGTTCTACGCATGTGTAATTAAAATTTTGCTTTCTATTATATTATTATTATATATAATTAATAGTAGGTTGTATTAGTAGCTTATGTTCTGTGAGTAGCTTTATCCATGATACAAACACTGTTGCACAATGGACCAGTTTCCCCAGGTTACTGACGTATGGAGGTGAGAAGGTGCAACATAAAATTTGTTTGACCGGATTTGTATTTCCCCCTTGATATGTAAATCAAACTGTTATTGGCCAAGATCATATTTACTATAACTTAAAAGTTATTAAGGGTGGGTATTTTTTTAATTTGAAAGGCTTTAGAGTTTAGTCCTTTTTCCATCTCAAAGTGCCTTTATTATATACAACCTACTATTATAATACTACAATGAATCATATAATACAAAATAAAAAAGTATAATTAAGGTTAAAATTATGTCACATGTAGGGTTGGGAAAGTTGAAATTTTCAAATGAAAATTTCAACTTTGAAAGTTTCAAACTTGAAATATTTCATTTAGTTGGAAAAGTGAAATTTTTAAAAATTTTAAATGAAATTTTTTCGCATAAATTTCACATGCGGTCCTCCCTGGGACCTTAATAATAATTTACAACAGATTCCGAATCGACCAATAAGAACGAGTTATCGGGCGTTTTTGTTTAGTTCGGCTTGGATTTGAATACACTATACGTAATTATTGTATCTGGATGTTAAATAAATAAATAAATAAATAAATATGCATAAATTAATTTAAATAATTTAATTCAGTTACCAATTTAATATGTAAATTAAATCAGACTTCAGTCATGATGAATTTAAACTTTTACTTTTGCTATAATTGCATCGGAAAACGGATGAAAAATGCCTTTGGCTCATAAAATTTTGATGAAGTTTCTTCAATTTTCGTAAAATTTCAGTAAAATAAAGTGTGTCCGTAAAGTCCCGGAACATGTGATTATTTTGAAAACGGTAATTTAAAAAAAAAACGCTGAAACACGTCAACTTTTATATTTTTCTAGCAATATTTTAGCCTATGTAGTTGTTTCAAAATCTGCCGCGTGGCGGCGCCCCAATCAAAGTAAGGTTTTTTTTTTTAAATTACAACCCTTTATTTTTGTTGCATTTTTGGATAGCTACCGTTGTCCTGAGTACATTGATATGCTACATGTGGAGGGTTACATAAGAAAATTTTTGAGAAAAGTAGGTTTTTACCGCTGATTGAGATTTTGGTTTTGACGAACTTATTCGCTGTAACGGGGCACCACCACACTATGCATTGCTAGTAAGGGATTATTTAAATCAGGTCTTTCCCAATCGCTGGATAGGTCGAAGGGGTCAAATTGAGTGGCCAGCGCGATCACCCGATTTGAACCCTTTAGACTTCTTTTTATGGGGACATCTTAAAAATCTCGTCTATGTAAACAGGCCTTAAAATTTGGACGACCTAAGACACCGCATTCAAGCCGAGATCCAGATGATCACTCCAGTGGTACTGGCAAACGTACAACGCTCGTTTGTAGACAGGCTGGCCCACTGCCAAATAGTTTACAGTGGACACTTTGAGCAACTGCTCTGATTGGCTTTCCAAAAAAGATTAAGCAACGCATAGATTGTATTTAAGTTTGACAAATACCAAAATCTCATTCGGCGGCAAAAACCTGCTTTTCTCAAAAATTTTCTTATGTAACCCTCCAGATGTGGCACATCAATGTAATCAGGACAACGGTAGCTATCAAAAAATGCAACAAAAATAAAGGGTTGCAATTTAAAAAAAACTGACTTTGATTGTGGCGCCGCCACTACATATATGCCAAAATATTGCTAGAAAAATAACAAAGTTGACGTGTTTCAGCGTTTTTAAAAAAAAATGACTGTTTTTAAAATAATCTCATGTTCCGGGACTTTACGGACACACTGTATATAAAAATAATAAATAAGTATATATAAATATAAAACAATGAAAGTGGCACAATCTCGTTAGCTATATCTCTCTTAGTTTTAGTATTTTAAAAATATTTTAAAAGGAAATCTCAAGAAATTTGTGGTAAACATAGGTATTTACTATTTATATTATCGAAGGGCAGGAGCCCTTAGAGGGGTAGGAGGTAAAAGAGGCAATTTGCCATGGTCCTCGAGTGGGCTTATTTCAATATATATAATATATTACACTTAAAGTGATTGAAATTTATTGAAAGTTACAATAAATTTCATGAAATTTCAGAAATTTTGGAAATTTTATTAAATTTCATAAATGTCATGAAAATTTCAAGTACAAAAAGTGAATTTTTCCCAACCCTAGTCACATGTACCTTTATTTTAAAATTTTCTTAATTAATTGAAATAATAATTAAAATTTAATTTATTTTCTCAATTAAAATTATAGTCCGGGAGGCAGTGAAGATTTTTATCTTCTTATTTTCCCAGTTCGTGAATGTCATTAAGTTTGTTCAAATGGTGACACAAAACGACAATTTGTGTGTCTGGCTAAAATTTTCGGATGGGTTAACTAGATGATCCAAAAAGTCAAGTCCACTTATTTTCCCAGTCATAAATATTTCACATTAATTACAGTGAGTCATTTTATTAATGGAAATAACAGTCTGGCACATCCCAAGTGAAGGAAAGTCAGTCTGGCTGAAAATTTGCGGAAGCAAAAATTTGACCGGTTTTTGAAATACGTAGCCCTTATTTTCCCATGCTTAAAATTTAACCCATTATTTGGTACTGCCATAAACTATAATCAAAATTAAGTCTGGCTGATTTATGAAAATCGTAAGAATTACAAAAATTTTGCTCTTATTTTCCCGGATTTGAAAATTTGTCACATGATAAATAATACTATAATTTCGTAGAAAATACACGTCTGGCTGTTATTTACAATCACGAAGAAGTTTTTTGGTGGCGGACGGACTGACATTTTTTTTAGCCATATTTAAATTTTGCTTTACACAAATTATTTTCTTATCATACATTATGAAAAGTAAAAACATGTAGAGATGACAACAATCGCCTGTATAATTGAACATGCCGAATTTAGCGCGCCTGTGGAGGGTTGGACGAGTATGGCAAGGCTTTCTGAGTGTTCCACATTAGCCAGACTATATTTGCAGCTGTAATTATAATATAAACTATCATCTCACAAAATTTTTAGGACTAAATAAAATAATGGTTTTGATAATTTTTCCACCTGCCAGACATATTACCCATACTCACAGATTAGCCAGACTATTTTTTTTCTTAAGTCCACTATATCTCTCACTAATGGAATTATTTTTATCACTGGAAAAAAAAAGTGCAATATATTTGTACTTTATAACGCATTTTCCGCCTTAACCCATCAGAAACCACCCCCCCTAAATATATATAAATTTTGCTCAGAATAACAAACCCAATAATTGTATCGGTGTTTGCCGACTGTGAAAATAAGTACCGAAAATCTTCACTGCCTTCCGGACTATTATTACCTACTTAAGAAATTTCTATTTATATGATTTTAAAAAACATTGTTGGCAAAAAACTTATGTTTTAATAAAAGTTTGAAATAATAATATGTTTTATAAAACTAAATTTTAATTAATTGACAAAATTATTTTTAGAGTTACCCATCCATTAGTAATTTAAAGTAATTTTTATATTGTTAAAAAAATCGGTAGGGTTCAACACAGTTTTTCTGAATTTTTTATTCCTTCCCCCTTAGTGCATTATGTAATACTTAAACGCTCCCACTTTTTATAAATTACACCTGGCAATTTTAGAAAAAAAATCGTAAATAAAATTCCATCAAATAAAATGCTGATAAAAAAATTTAGACTTTATACCTGATTTTCATTTTTATGCATTTCAGGATAGGCATCACCAAGATTTTCCAAAATATCTTTGCAGAGTTCCTTTAATAGACCCCTTTCTCTTAGAAACACATTTTCACTTAATAAAAATGATTTTCTTAAAACTCTTCTTAATTTTTGACTAAAAATAACCCATAGTCAAACACTAGTTATTTATAACCGTTAGTCAAATACTACTTATTTATTTTGGTCTTACTTTTGTTCAGGAATAATTCCATCTGACAAACAAACAGAAATCATTCTTGCATGGTCAGCTAAAATTCTATAATTTGTGTCCAAACTGTCCCAATCAGTTTCTCCAAACTTGCCAGAATATTCAGGAATATTATTGCAACTCTAAAACATTGACACTTTAAAACATAGATTGTAAATATAAAAATGCTTACTTTATGAATTCTATTTAGAATATAGCTGAAATTGTCTGTGTCGTAGTTACTAATTTTTCCTTGTAAAACTGAAGTTAATCTTTCAAAACCCATTCCAGTGTCCACATATGTATTTGGTAGTGCAGCTATACTCCCATCAGTTTGCCTACAAATATATTTTTATTTAGTTATTTTTTACAAGTATTTTGTCAGTACCTGTTGTAACCTATAAACACAATATTCCACACTTCTATTAAATCATGCAAACCTTTATTTACAAATTCAGATCTATTTCTTGTTTCCCTGTTATCTATATGTATTTCAGTGCAAGTACCACATGGGCCTGTCAAACCCATTTCCCAGAAATTGTCTTTTGCACCAAACGGTAAAATTCTATCTTCTTGAACTCTACAAAAGAAAATATTTAATAGAAATAAATTTAAAATTTGCAAACAGGGTTTCATGAACTAACCCTATCATTCTCCATATTTCTTTAGTTTCTGTATCTTCTGGGATTCCTAATTTATTATCACCTTCAAAATATGTTACATACAGCCTAGATGGGGGCAACTTAAACACGTTTGTTAAAAGATCCCATGCATAGAGACAGGCAGTATTCTATAAATAAATTGAATAATACTTGGTCTGTTAAATTTACGCTGTTTTTACCTTGGAATAATCACCAAAAGACCAATTTCCAAGCATTTCAAAAAACGTTTGGTGATACCCATCACTTCCAACCACATTTAAATCATTATGTTTGCCCCCAACGCGAATACATTTTTGGGAGTTAGCTACTTTGGCAAATTGCGGTACTTGTTTACCCAAAAATATACCTTTAAACTACAAATATCCTAATTTAAAAAATACCGCATATTTAAAAAAAATACGTAGTACCTGGTTCATTCCAGCATTTACAAATGACACAGTGGGGTCACAAAATGGAACAACCGGACTGGACCTAACAAAGTTATGACCCTTTTCCTCAATAAAATATTCCAAAAATCTTCTTCGAATAGCTTTGGACGACACATCTTTATTAACAAACTTTGATATTTTTCTGGTTTGACACTTTATAACTGATTTTAGGGGGCACACTTTCAATCCAATTAAATAAAACATAATTATGACAAATATTACAGTATAACAATTTTTTCAAAATTCTAAAAATTTAACATAACCTAGATTTGGTGTATTTGAACTACTGCGTACTTTTTGACGTTTCATAAGTAAAGGCATAGTGTGTGCGTAAAGGTAATTTCAAAATATGGTTTAAATGATTTATTAAGTGTTTGTTTTAGATCTATAATAAACAAACCATGGCATTGAACGCCACCTCCACGATACTGAAATCTCTGAGGAGCCCAGTGAAAATTTCCACAGCTTCTTATCACCCAAAAGTTATTGACCACTATGAAAACCCAAGAAATGTCGGTTCTTTGGATAAAAACGACGAAAACGTCGGTACTGGCCTGGTCGGAGCTCCAGCATGTGGTGATGTCATGAAACTGCAAATCAAAGTTGATGACAATGGCAAAATCATCGACGCCAAATTCAAAACATTTGGATGTGGATCTGCCATTGCAAGCAGCTCATTGGCTACAGAGTGGGTAAAAGGCAAGACTGTTGAACAAGCTTTGGAGTTGAAGAACACCATAATTGCAAAAGAATTGTCTTTGCCCCCAGTAAAATTACATTGCTCAATGTTGGCCGAAGATGCTATTAAAGCAGCTTTATCCGATTATAAAATCAAAAAGCAGAAATCTGATGATACCAAGTAAATAAGCAATGTAAAGAATGTGATATTTTGGTACAGTAGTATGGCATAAAGATAAGTGTATAGTTAGTCTAATTTGAGTTTTATTTTGACCTATGATATCATTTAGAAAAATTGGCAATACAATATTTGATATTATGCCAATAATAAAACCTATATGGCTTAAATTGTGGTGTAATATTATGAATTCCAAAGATGAACTAGGAGTTTTTTGTAGTGAATTCAAAATTAAGGGTTTTCAGTATTAAAATAAAACATTATTTTTAATAACAATATTTAATAAAAACATTGACATGGATTTAGTTATTACTCAGATATTCATTAGGCACCTTATGGTGTAAGTTATCACAATCAATAATTAAGTAAAGTTAATAAATATCTTAGTCAAATGAAACTTACAATCTATTATAGTATTAATGCCTTATTAATTCGTTACAAAAATATATTTATAGTAAGTTAACAACAGTGTTTTAAACCCCCAATCATCTATGTGTTCTGAGACTTCCTAAATCAAATAGAGTCTCATCATCGTCATCTTCATCCAAAGGCAATGGTTCCATTTCCACATCAGTTCTTCGAGTTTTAATTCCGTATTTCTTGACAATGACTGGTCTGTGGTTTCTTTTTTTATATGTTTGAAATGCCATGTACATAATAAAAAGCACACTTATGCCTACAAACACCCAAACCCCTCTCACCACAGCCCCAGCTTCCAATTCTGTTGTAGTACTACCCTCGTAATTATGGTGTGTGGTGTGAGTTACATTATTATCATGTTTTGAACTTATATTCTTAACTGCTACAGGATTTGATGCGTCTATTACAGGTGCCGGCAATGCTGAATCGTTTTTACCTTGAGTTTTATTTACCAAATTGGGATCACTTGGGCCAGGTTGAATGAATTGTGATAAAATGAAGGGTAGATATACAAACAAAAATAAAATTATAGGATACATTTAGACGCACCTCGCGTTTCTTATAAATAAATTATTGAAATTTTATCACTAAATTATCATGTTCAAAAATTGACGTTTAACTTCCGGGCAAAGTAGTTTATTTACACCAGTTGGGTCAACTTGACAGATGTAGTTTTAATGTAGTTCTAATAAACCAAACTAACCTAAAAATCAAAAATATACAAATTCAGCGTTTCTGGCAATAATTAACAATTATAGAGTGTTTCAAAATGACTGATGATAAAAAATCAGCCCAAGAATTTAAATTAGACCCGGATAATGAGTTGAGATTCGAAGTTGAGTCTAAAAACGAAAAAGTATATTTAATTCTAAAGGCGGGTTTAGCAGAAGTTTTTGGTACTGAAATTGTTAAAGGCAAAACCTATGAGTTCTCATCAGGAGCAAAGGTGGCCATTTACACATGGCAGGGCTGCACAATTGAAGTTAAAGGCAAAACTGATGTTATTTATGTAGCAAAAGAAACACCAATGGTGACTTATTCAAATTGTCATGCAGCTTTGGAGTTTATGAGAATTGAGGCTGATAAAGAGAATAAAAAGGGGCCCACAGCTATGATAGTAGGTCCTAATGATGTGGGAAAGTCTACTGTTTGTAGGATTTTGTTGAATTATGCTGTCAGGATGGGAAGAAGGCCTATATTTGTTGATTTGGATATGGGACAGGGGCAAATATCCATTCCAGGAACAATAGGTATGTTAACACTAATATTTTTTAATTTTAATTAATTTACCTACTTGCAAGTAGGTAAATTAATTTAAAAAACTAAAACTTAAAAAAAAACAAGTACCGTAAACATGGGTGGCTTTAGCTCACTTAAACTTAAGCTTAAAATTTTTGTGGTTTTAACAATCATAAACATTTTGTATACCAAAATTTGAGTCTTGAGTTGCTCTTTCATAAGAACTATGTTATAATATTACATAGGGCTGAGTTTCAAAAATAAAAATTAAAAACAAAGTTACCCCCTGGTTGCAGGTAACTTTGTCTCACAGTGTATTTTCCATATAAAATTAACTCAATATAATTTTATTTTTATTAGACAGGTGTTAGCAGCGACATATATCTATTGCAAGGGATTACCGATAAAAAAAATAAAAAATCGACCTGTAGTTAACCAAGGATCATCATTCCAAACTATTGCGCATAATATAGAAATTGTAACGCGTGTATTTCTAAGAGTTTTGCACTGATGCGATATATATAATTTTAAAGTGTAATAAATCCCATTTCTTTCTTTAAAACACTGATTTTCCTGTAATATAAACTAAATAGAATCGCTCAACTGACAGGTTTAGACCAACAATTTATAAATGTTAATTGAGCCGCTCAATTAAAATTTATAAATTGTTGGTCTAAACCTCAATTTGAGCGCGAAAAGATTTTTCATAAAAGGGTTAGTCACCCGCGGGGTGCAAAGTCACCCGTGTTTACGGTACCTAGAATTAATATAATTTTATCTCGTATCCAAATTATTTATTTATTTAATTTAGATGTTCTAGAAATAGCTATTAAAATCTGAAAACAAAATAAATTTGTGATTGTAATATTTTTGTTTTTAGGTGCTTTGCTCATAGAAAGGCCAGCAGCTATAGATGAGGGTTTTTCTCAGGAGGCACCTTTAGTTTATCATTTTGGTCACAAAACTCCTTCTGCAAACATAACACTTTCCGAAATGCTTATTAATCAGCTAGCAAATACAGTAAAGGAAAGATTAGAAGTCAACAAAAAAAGTAAAAAAAATACTCAAAATTGTGTAATTTAATTTTTATTTATTTATTTTTAGCAAGATCATCAGGTGTAATAATCAACACTTGTGGTTGGATTAAAGGGGGAGGATATAAGCAAGTTTTACATGCAGCAAAATCTTTTGAAGTTGATGTTATTATGGTTCTGGACCAGGAAAGGTTATACAATGAATTGGTTAGGGATATACCTAATTTTGTTAAAGTAGTTTTTCTGCAAAAGAGTGGAGGAGTAAGTGTTAAAAAAATATCTTTTGTATTTTGAATATACAGTTATTTTGACACTAGAGATGTCTCTAGGAGGGGTTGATCAATTTAAATCATATAATACATGTAACCAACCTATGTTAACTATTTTTGTGTTCTTATAATTTTTAGGTGGTTGAACGTTCCAAAACTGCAAGATCTGAATCCAGAGACCAAAGAATAAGAGAATATTTCTACGGAACCCCGAAAAATTCTATGTACCCGCATTCCTTTGACGTAAAATGGTCTGAAATCAAACTGTACAAAATAGGAGCGCCACCTTTGCCTGACTCCTGTTTACCATTGGGAATGAAAGCTGATGACCACTTGACAAAATTGGTACTTTTAACCCCTAACCCTGGTATTCTGCATCATTTGTTAGCAGTGTCTTTTGCTGAGAAAGATGATGATGAAATTCTTTTAAATCATGTTGCTGGATTTGTTTGTGTGTAAGTAAAAGTCAAAAAAATAAATGAGAATAAACCATTGTTAGTTATAATTAATGGCAACTTATACTAACTATACTTGGGATACTTTTCTTGATTTTATTGTTTTTTTCAGGACAAATGTGGACAATGAAAGGCAAACTATTACTTTGCTTTCACCTCAACCAAAACCTCTACCAAACAATATTTTACTATTTTCTGAGTTACAGTTTATGGATAGCCATTAGTTTTATTTTATAAGTACCAATCAAATAAAATATATATTTTGTAATTTATGTTTTATTTTTCTATGTAATAAATCACAGGTATGGTTACATTTTTATTTGAATTTAAATGGTTTATATGGTAAATAAACAATAAGTTAAGTATAAAAATTAAAAGAATAGCTTTTTTAATCTAATGTAAAAATTCTAGCAGCAATGTCTTCAACAATCCAGTCAATTCCTTTCAATAAATTTTCTCCAGTTACTGCACTACAGGATACAATTTTCCAGTGATGTGTTTTAATGCTTTCCAAATCAAGAATCTAAAAAGAAGTTTTTGTAATAAAAGTAGAAGTGAATATTTTAAATTTTTGCTTTTATAAAACTGTCTAAGATCCAAGAAAGTCAATCCTCTCTATAAAGGGTGTTTCATAATCATATGCAGGAGATCATTTTTATGTAGATTGGCCTAATCAGACTAAATATTCACACAGAAAAATTTCAGTGGTGTACCTTTTCTTGTAAAAAATATCAGAGGTCCTATTTACAGGGACGCCACTGGTGGAGCAATATAATAACGTTTCTCCATAAAATATGTAGATTTATATCTTATTAATACAACAGAATTAAAAATAATATCCAAAGTACTATCAGCAAACCTCTATTGAGAGAAGTATCAAAACTGCACTCCTAATGTTTAAAATGTCAAATTAAGGTATAATATTTTCTTTATAAACATACATAATACTTATTACATATTAGTATATTATTATATAAGAGATAATGCAGGATGACGTTTTTTAAATCATTAGAGTGAATAATATGCATAATCTTGAGTGTAATACTACTACTTTATCTACTGCAATAAGTAAAATTAGGTAAATGATTTTCAAAAAAAAATCATGTAAAATGGCTAACCTCACTTTTTACCAATTTTAGTCGCCTTCTTCCAATTTAAAACCCTATTGGTTCAAATCACAGTGAATATTAAAATCGGCTAATCACTGATGCCTAACAACGTAAATAACGAGTTTATTATTCCCAGGGAATTTATAATGTTCATCATTATTTAAAAAAAAACAATATTATGCAATAGGAGTAGATAAACATACATGTAACTGTACATAGTGAACATGTTCACTATGTACAGTTACTGCAGTAATTTAATATAGGTAGCAACAGTTGGTGATTTACCAATTACGTGAATTGAAGCGAAATGCAACTTAATCTTAAGATTTGGTCGTTAGTTTTTTTTTAAATTTAATATTCTTATATTTTCTATCCTTATATATTAGTAATATTTTGAGGCATTAATTGTTAATTTAGCAAGATAATAATAATGTATTTGACATTAAAAATAAATATTTGTATACCATTAACTCATAATACAATAGTCTGAAGCTTTTAAATTCGGTAAATTTTATAGAATGACTATTTAAACTCCCAAAATGAGGTTAAAACTGTTCAATTTGAACTGAAAGAGTAGCATAACTACCTTATTTTCTGATGTAGGATGTCAGTAACATGGGGTATATTCGGAATAAGCGTAAAATTTTCTATAAGAATAGGTGATAAAATAATATGGTTTGCCTAAATGTCTAAAATTATTCACTGTTTGGCATTAAACAAATCTCTGTTTGGCTCATTACTAATACTAGGGGTATATTTTTTTAAATAATTAACTTACATCCTTTAATTCTTCTACAGTACATGCTCCAGGAAGATCTTGTTTGTTTGCAAAAATAAGCAGTGTTGCACCTGCTAGCCTCTAAAATTAAAATAAATTATTATGACAAAAAATAAAAGATATTATAAATATAATACTGTTAAAATTTATTTAATTTAAGTAACTTACTTCTTCCTGCAGCAAAACATACAACTCCTTCTTGCAGTCTTCTAACCTTCTTTTATCGGCACTATCAACAACCCAAATCAGACCATCTGTGCATTCAAAATAATTTCTCCAATAAGATCTTAGAGATTTTTGGCCTCCTACATCCCACATATTCAGTTTAAAGCTAAAATTTTTAGTAAACGCAAGTTTTGAACATATTATTTCCAAGATTAGGGGTAACTTACCCTTTGTGCTCAAGGGTTTTAATATTAAACCCTAATGTGGGAGAAATTGTGTCAATAGGTTCTCCATTAAATCTTTTAAGAATTGTTGTTTTTCCTGCATTATCAAGACCACTGAAAGTACGCAGATTATATTAAAAACACCAAATTAAAAAAGTACTGATAGTAACTGTTATTTTTGCAGATACTTACAGCATTAATATTCGAATTTCCTTTTCCTTTTGCTTCATTTTCTTTAATACTGTTAAAAAACCCATAATTATAGATGTATTTTATATTTTCTTAAGTCACACAGACAGAAAAATCACAATACCCACAATAAGGTTATGTTGTTATTCGTTCAAAAATTATTTGACAGATGAACCAGAGATCCATGAAGCCTACACATGTAGGCTCCATGCACAGATCCAGGGTGCACAGATCCATAAAAAATCGAGTAAAAAATGCACAGATCCAGAAAAAACCCAACGACCCACCAAAGATTTTATTTTTGTGTAAAATCCTTGCAATAGGTAACACAGGGTGTTCCAAAATTGGCGGTCCAAAGGGTAAAGGTGAAATTCCAAAAATTATCCGTTAGCATTTTTTTGAACTCGCAAAATTGTACAAGTGCCTGCCTACCTACATAGAATAAGTTGCATACTATAATATACATAATTAATAATATTAATTATATGACTTAAATTCCCCATTTGTAATCTGAATTGCCTACCTACATAAAATAAGTTGTATATGCAACCAATAGCACAGTATATGATATAAGTATAGATAATGTATCTACATTGAGTAAAGAACTTTCTCTACGACTACTTAAGAATAGTAACATTCTAGTGTAATTTTTGATCATAGAAAGGATGTTTTTCTGCAATACTGTGCGAGAATATTCCTACTCTTGGTTAAGAATGGTCACAAGTAACGACATCTCCTGACTGTTTAGTAAACGTAAAAAATTTAAAAATATTTAAATATTACTGTATTATTTATTAATTAAAAATAATAGCAGTTGTATAATTAAGGTTTAGGCACAAAAAATTGGTTATATTTATTGTTTTTCAAATATACAAATCAAAATTATAATAAATTTGATATTAAAATGATAAACCAGTTACCTACTATACCGGCTTTGAAGTTTTGACAGATTCAAAAAATTTAAAAAAAGACCTTTAAAATGTAGAAAAAGAATAGATGTTGACATAGATAAATAAATAAATAAAATAAAATACTTTATTTTCATCCCAAGAAACATACAGTTTATAGAGGGACACCTCTAATCATACAATTACTTGTAAAATTAGTTTTGTATTTGTTACAATGTTATTTTTATTAGTTAGTGTAAATAACTATTTTTAATTATAATAAAGATTTAGGCATACCATTTGTTTAAATTTATTATAATTTACATTATAAAATTGTGACGGCACAAAATGGTTTGACAAGACAAAAAACTTAAATGTCAAAAACTGCTTGGTTTCTTTTCTCTGTTTAAAATTATATAAGCGTTACTATTCTTACGTAGTCGTAGAGAAAATAATGTCTGAAACACGTTTGGAATAGCATATTCCACTCTCGTAAAACCGTCACACTCGCCTTCGGCTCGTGTGTCAAATTTTTCCTCGAGCGGAATATGCTGTATTCCAAACTTGTTACAGAATGTACTATTACTCAATGGTATCTATATCTCTATATATATATATATATATATATATATATATATATATATATATATATAATAGATAATAGGTATAAATACTTTATCTACGATGAACACAAAGAAAAATTAAAAGCCAATTTTAATTGTTAAAAATTTAATGAATTTAACCTCACTTTTGCGCAATTTAAAGCTAACTTCAGCCTGTTACTAAAATGCCCAAAAGCCACTATTGCTAACTTCAGCACGTGACTAAAACGCCATAAAGGCGCAGCTACAAAACTTGTTTTGTGGGAACAGCTTGTCAATGTCCGAGTAGATAAAAATCCTTTTAATAACCCGCAGTATTCTACTGAAACACAAGCGCATTAAAAAAAATAATATTTTAGATTTAAAAAAGTTGGTAATTATTTAAAATAAATTAAACGAAAAAGACAAACATTTTAAAACCATTTTTTTTAAATACTTAATATATTTTTTTAATATTCATTTATTCATATTATATATACAGTGTGACCCATTTGTTTGCGACTCACCCCTGTAAAATCTTTATTTATTGAGCGATTTTAACCGGATCTTGATAAAATGTATTTTTGGAGGAAAAGCCCAGGTAGCACATTGACGTCTGCTGACGTTTATATGACGTTGAAATGACCTGGGAGACGCCATATTAGTACAAAAACTGACATACCTATAGGTATGTCAGTTTTTAAGAGTAAATTTTTAAGAATTCATATTAGCGATTTTTTTTAAACAAAATCCAAGCACGGCATTGGATTCACCAACTCTTAAAACTACCCTTTACTAAATTTTATTAAAAAAATTTAAGTAGAAAAATGCAGAATAATAACTACAAAAATTTATTCTGTCAAGTTATCCTTAACTTAAAGTTATAGTACATACGTGGTACCATGTTAAAATTAGTTTAATTTTATTTCAATGTTTTTTTCATGGATAACTTGACAGAATAAATTTTTGTAATTATTATTGTGCATTTTTCTACTTAAATTTTTTTAATAAAATTTAGTACAGGGTCGTTTTTAGGGGTGGAGAATCCGTGCAGTGCTTGGATTTTGTTAAAAAAAAATATGAATGAATTCTTAAGAATTTACTCTTAAAAACTGACATAGTAGGCCGGCCTATACAAGGCCTTGTATATTGTAAATATATGGCGTTTTTTGCTTCAAAAATACAGTTTATCAAGATCTATACTTTAAAACAAATCCGGTTAAAATCGCACAATAAATAAAGATTTTATAGGGGTGAGTCCCAAACAAATGGGTCACACATATATAATGCGCCAAAATTTTGGATAATGAATAAAAATACAAAAAATAAATATTTATATAGATTTTATTACAAAAATAAACAAATTTATGCATCCTCTTCTTGCTCTTCATTTTCTGGCACTTCCTCTTGCTGTTGTTGTTCTTCCTCTTCCTCCACCTCTTTGTCCATTTCATGTTCATCTTCAGTCTCTGTAAATTCTCCTTCATCTTCATCTGCGTACATCCAATCATCTTCTTCTGAGGTCATTCCTTCACCCTCATCACCTTCATAATCTTCATCACCTTCATCACCCTCATCACCTTCATCACCTTCATTACCTTCATCTTCTTGTTGTAGCCAATCAATAGGATATTGCGGATATGCTTCATTCACACCCAATATTGGGACATCTGCACCTTCCAAATTGGTAATTTCTGATTCCCATTCACTTTCAGTTCCTTCTTCGGTTCCTTCAGTTTCTTCTTTTGATTTTTTGGTGAAGTCTTCGGCTGTTTTTTTGGCTTCTTTTCCTTTCCCTTTTCCTTTTCCTTTACCCTTTTTGCCCTTCTTTCCTTTCTTACCTAAAAATGTTGACGATATATATCTCCAATGCGAGAGTTTCTGCATACTTGTATTACCTTTTTTTCCTTTTTTAGGCTTTGGTGGTGGTAAGTGGGCATCTGGATAATACCTCATATAAGTTTCTTTTATTTTGATACCATCAATCGCTTCTGTCTTTCCTATTTTAAATTTATTAAATATAGTATTTAGCAAATCCTTATCCAGTTTTTTCATTTTCTCTTTTTTTAGTAAAAGGTCAAAGTCTTCGCGTAGAACCTTTTCATCGGCTAATTTCAAAATAAAATGGCTAAAATCTTTTTTGGCCTTCTTCTTTTTGGGTTTCTGAAGAAGATATCTGGCTCTGTTGAACATCAGTAGAATATCGTCGGGACCGTTTATTGTGTAGTTTGAATAAATTCCACCTATGCGAATTACTTTTTCCTGATTTTTTATTTTATCTAGAACCTAAACTTGGTAAAATTAGATTTTTTAATGTAGGTGTAAAATATTTACTGGTAGGATTTTTTTATCGAACCAAACATTCTCCATGTCAATTTCCTGTAAGTTAGTTTTTTTCACCAATAAATTTGCAATATTAAACGCTTCCACCGGGGTAAATTTATTATTACCCACTTTCAGAACCCTTAAAGATTCGTTTTTGTTCACTGCACCTCTAATTGCGTTTAATCCAGGTCCACTCAATCTAAAAATTGAATTTTTATGTGCTCGTTTATTTATGGTAATTTGCGAAAAATTAGTACCTGTTCCAACTTAAGTCCAATTCTTCAATAATTTCAGAACTTTTCATAAACCTTATCAAAGGTCTTATAGCTTTATTCTCGCTGATACCGTTAAACGCCAAATTAAAAACCTTAATGCTTTTATTAAAAAACAAGCCATTAAAAATCCTTTTAGTTGCTACAAAAATAAATTGAAACATACACAGCGCACCACAAAAATATCTTTTAACCTGGAGGCGGATAATATCCATTCCAAGATAAGTCCAAATCCTCTACAAAATTATTTTCCTTTAGTATACTTTCCAAAGTCTCGGCACTTGCTTCCGTAAAGTTGTTGTGACTAAGATTCAACTTTTTAATCGACATATTTTCTTTTAGGCCAATTTTTAACGCCAATAACCCAGCATTGCCCAAGCTGTTGTAACTCAAGTCAACATCTACCAGTCTTTGAGATATTGTTAAAACATCATTCAAAAATCTTGCTCCTGTAAGGAGTAATGAATTAATGAATGATTTATTAAATGATATATGATAACACAACGGGGTATTTTACTTTAAAAAAACTCTACGCCATCTGAAAGTCTATTAATTTCAACAATTATTGGTTAAATTAGTTTTTTAATGCGCTGAATAAAATCTTAGAATCGCGTTTTCAACCCAAAAGTAAAACTTTTTAATTAAAAATTTCTACTTGCCTATTAAAAATATGAAAGTCCCTACCAATTAATATACAGGGTGGCCCATCGAAAACAGTCCAGCAAAGTTTACGGCTTTGTATGTTAAAATAAAAAAAAATCTTTGGACCCGTATACACAGTAAAAAATTTTGCCAGTGCAAGTTTTTTAGTCTAGGGGTAAAAATATTAGAGTTGATTTGTAAGTGTAAAAGTTACACTACAAAATACACTAGGTAGCATTTAGTGCTTAATAAGCACTGCTTATTAACTTTATTAAACACATTTAAAGAATATGAACATTATTGATTGGTACGTTCACACTATTTATTATTAAAATAACTCAAAAGGGTAGAAAAACTTAATGCGAGTGTTTTTTACCCCTTAATGTGTTAAATAGTGACAAAATGTACACTACAGTGCATGCCAATTTCTTTGTCTGTTTTGATGTTACTATTTTCTTTACACTACTAGTGCACATTGTATCACAATTAAAGTTAAATTACACCAAGAGTGGCAAAATAGACTGAAAAAACTAATAACCGAAATGCGTTTTAAAATGTTTGGTTGGTACCTATCTACCTACGCAGTGCATATCCGGAGATACCGCGTTGTGGAAGTGTGGCATTTTTATTCAGTTAGATTTTTATTACGGTGAATCCATAAGGGGATATTCTTATTTTTTAAGCCTTAATGTCCATACCCGACCTATAATATATATCAATAATTTACGGCAGTAGGTCGGGTGCTTGTAACATTAATAATATAAATACATACACTTGATTTACTTTTTATTTTCAAGCGTAATGGTTGTTATATTAACCTATACCTACCTACATTTTTATTAATATTATGGAAAATTTGTACACGTGGTAAATCCCCGATATACAGCCGCCTGACGCCTCTCTACCAATGGGATCACCCATTTTTTATAACAGAAAAATGGATTACTCATGAATTCTCAAGATAATTCATTGCTTACAAGTTGACAGCCAGTAAAACAGTGCATTGATCTAAAACTTTTACGTTTTAAGGAACCATTTTGCTTAAGCCATCCATACGACTTAAATATAAAATTTTATTTTAAAAGGCACCGATTTTGATAATTGTCATAGATTTTTGTTCCAAATAAATGTCTCTCTTTATTTACCTTTTCGTTTTATTCACTACCACCAATAGGTTTTACTCAAATAATAGTGTTAATTTACACTAGAAGTTTGAGTAAAAGTACCTTTCTAAAATTAGAACCTTTCCAAAGTAGTGTTAATTTACACTAAACAAAAGTGGGATTTTACCCAGGAAGTGCAGAAGTACACGATTTTAGGTAAATTAACACTTTTTAAAACAGTGTAAAATTACTTTATCCTCAGTGCTATAGTGTTAAATCATACTTGCTTACTTGGGGAAAATCTACTACAAATTAACTCTACTTGTAGTGTTATAAAACAACACTATTTAGTGTGGACCTGTGTGAACTCTAATTAGAGTTGCTTATACAGCAAACGGAAAAATATAAAACTGTATAGGATGACTCCGCGTTTGAATATTAAATCTTAAAGTTTTATCAGAACTGTATTGAATCGTGCTTTGTTTTTATATTTTTCGGCTCTATACCTATGCACGACATTGTTTTGTTTTTCTATATTCAACAGAGAGGTAGAAACTCGACCCTGTCGAATGGTGCAGTCATTTATGTCTCTAGAAATTATTAAAAAAGGGTTCAGTCCAATGGTGCAGCAACTTCGGATTCCTATTCTCTTCAGAGACATAGAAACTCAAGCTTTTCGAATTTTACTGCAGTAAATGATTTTCGTTAATGTCCCCGAGAATTATACAAAAACAGCGCAATGCAATATCGCAACGGTTTCGACTTCTCTTTACTCTACCAAGTTATAGAAACTGGAGTCTCACTAATACTGTTCTAGCATTGAGTAAGGAAGTCAATGGTTCAAGTCAATATTTCTGAGAGTATAAAAAGAGGGTGTAATATTGCAAGAAGTTTTGATCTTTTGATGGATGCAAGTAGTTTGAATTTTCTCATTTCTGCATATGATTTTGTTGAAAATAGTTCCTTTCTTTGGATCCTTTGTCTGATTTTTATTTACCGTAACAACTCAGGTATGTAAAGCACAGAGGATATGATGTTAAGTATATTTATGTATTATATAAAGTACCTATATTTCGTGACCTTGGAATGACAAGGTTCTAAGTGCAGCTGCCCCGTTAAGCAAAAATGCCTTACCTGCAATAATTAATATTCTAGATAAGTCATTTTTGCTTAACGGCGCAACTGCACTTAGAACCTTGTCATTCCAAGGTCATGATTTGTATTAAAAATTTCAGAGGTTATGTTGAAAAAATGATCGATATGCTAAGTATTAAACTTTAATAATTTAGTAATGAGGTCTGTTGGTAGACCCTGCACTATCTCCACTGGTATAGTTTTGTAATATTTAAATCTGGTTGATGAAAAAGTACACACCAGTGCAGGTTATTGTAGCATCTACGAACAAATGAATTAATGGCCCATTGGCAATTATTCCTTTAGGAAAAATATTCAACACAGCTTAATTAATTAATAAAATGAAAAAAATCACAATCATGAATGTCGTATATAGTTTTTTTTAAGCATAAAATAATTTTTATATTAATACTAGTTCAAAAGTGAAATTACGACCTCTATACTGTGGAGAGTATTGAAACGCTCGACTGACGAATACAAATCTATACCGTGGGGAGATTTAGAAAACAATATTCAAACGTGGCGTCATCCTATACATACACTTCTATAATTTTCCGTTTGCTGTGTAGAGTTGATTTTTTTTTACTGTGTACTTAGGTTTTCAGGGGGACATATTTACACATTAATTTTATCACTGTAACTGATACCTCTTATGAAAGGGCATTACATTTTCTTTAAAATTCGTTAAAAAAATTGTTTTAAACTAACTAATATAAGTCAACAAGTCGACTTTATCTTCAGTAAAGTAGTTGATGTGGATATGTAGATAGTTCATTATTGCTATGCTATTCATTCTATTGCGGAGTGAGTGGAAATTATTGAATTGTATTTTATAAACAATCAATAGCATAGTAACGCGAACTTTGTTTAATGAGAGGCATGCATAGACATGTAATCATGGTTACATCCTAGAATTAGTAGCAAAATTTCGGCAAACTGATTCAACTTCTTCAAGAATTGCATGAAGATGATACAATTTTTTGAAATAATGTCCAAAATAAATATAAATACCTACTCCCAGAGCTGGGATTATCTTGAAAAAAAAAGATGCTTAAAAGTAATTATCTAAGATACTTTTTATATTAGACAGAAAGTATCTTTAGCTTAGTTACTTTGAAAAAGTATCTTGTAAATTGTATCTAAAAAAGTATCTGTTACTAGGTAAAGTAACTAAGATACATTTAAGTAACTTAGATACTTTAAAGTAACTAAGATACTTTTTAAAGTAACTAAGATACTTTTCAGTGTAACTTACTTACTTAGAGAAAATTGGGAAAATTCCAGAATGATTCAAAGTAATTACCTTACCTACAACTTGTTGAATTTTCATAATTTTATAGTTTTTATTCATACATAAATAACTTAGTTACTCAAAAGTATCTTTCTAAAATATCTTGTAACTAAAGATACTTTCTACTCAAAGTATCTAGTTACCTCAAGGATCTTCATGAGGTTGATACTCAACATCCTCGGAAATTAAACATTTGGGCTGGTATTTTTGGTGATCACATTATTGGACCATTTTTCTTACCGGGAAATTTAAATCGAGCTACTTAAGTAAGAAATTTAAATCGAGCTACTTAAGTAAGTAATTACTTAAACTTGTTGAAGAATGGATATAACCCAGGGCCGAAATTATGGAAAACGACCCAACTAGCAAAATAAATCCCTTAAAGAACTGAATTGTTTTATAACTATCGTCTAGAGCTGCAAAAAGAACATTTTTATTGTTTAATGCGTCTTAATACAATAATTTTATCGTAAAAACGACGAAATTCTAATACATTATTGTATATATATTCTTACAACTCGTGTTATAGAACCAAACTCATACACATTTTTTAACCATTGTACCTATAACGTTTTATACAATCCCTTATAAAATTATTTTAAAAGAGTTGTATAAAAGTTATAATAGAGTTGTATACCTATTCTTATACTTGTAGTTTCAACGTTTTATGATAGTTGTAATAGAATTTGTATAAAAGTTGTATTGAAGCTCTATAAGATACATTAAAAAATTGTTTTTTTAAGCAGAAGTAAACACACTACACAATAAGTATAAAGTTATTTTATAATTATCCTATAACTACACCGATTAACTTCTTTATAGAAAGTTTATAAAATAAAATTATCGCAAGTTCTGCGTTATAATTTTATTACTTAAGTCTGTTTATACATTTAGTGTCTTATTACGCCAAAATAAGTTAAGTATTTTTTTAAAATGTAGTCGCAATGGAAAAAAATTAAGAAAAGTGGGCATTTTAAAAGAAGAGCAAAAAAAATTTATCAGAGAATGATTCAGTCTTCTGGAAGTACTGCCGCAATAGAAAATTCTATTCAACATTTAGTTGAGGCACCAACTCCAAATTCTTTTACAATCGATAGGTTAGGTCACATGTAGATAAAGAAGGTACCGCTAAAAAGTGGATAAAACAGAACACAATTGTATAGTGCGGTACAATGCATACCTTAAGCGATATTATTGTTCTATTGCGCAGTAGGCAAAGGCGTTATAGCCAATACGAAAAATGAACTTACAGGGTTGTTATTTTAGGCAGCAGTGTTACCTACAAATCCTTATTTGCATAAAAAATTAAGGTAACGTCGTGCAGGATAAATAAAATTTTACTTGATGTACCTAACTGCACCAAAAATGAGTATTTTATTCTAAAAAAAAACAAATAATTTGAAAAATACAGATAAAATCTGGCAACATCTCAAATGTCAGTTTCTTGCTTTACTTTTATAGCGCCTGTATTAAACAACTTTACAGAACCTAAATATCGTATAACGCACGCGACAGAGCAGATAAATTGTATAACGTTTTTATAAAGACAAAACCATTTTATAACAAAAACGCCATATTTATTGACCGATCAATTGTTTATAAATCGCCGCCATTGTGTGAATTTTACCAACAAACGTTAAAACTGTCAATTAAAAATGAATTTTCTTGAAAAAAATTAATGTAATCTTAAGACTAGTCAATTATAAACTGAACAAATAAAACAATAATATTCTTAAAAAACATGAAACTTTGTCAAATAAAAAATTAATTTTTTTTTTAAATAATTTTTAGTAGGTATGTTTGTTAACTGGCGCTTTAATTTTTCGTTAAAAATATATACATATATTGTCAGAAAATATTGCTCCGCAGGAAGATGTTGTCCTCGATAGCGTAAATCTCAAAGGTTTAATAATTATATTTACATAATAAACAACAAGCACCATTTTGGATCTTAGCCGTTTGACATCCAACATAATTCGCATTATAAAATAGTCTTAGGATAAAAATTTCCCACTCCATTCCTAATTTCTAGAGAAGGAAACAAATTGATGTTCTTATAACGATTCTGTCGCATTATAACATACTTATAAAATGCTTGTTTTAATAATAATAATAATAATAATAATGCTTTATTGAACTAAAACCAAGTTCAAAGGCTATTGACCGTAGTCCTTCAGCCGCTTGTTTTAATATTCTATAAATATTCGTAAAGTGCAATTAAGCTGCAGAGTAAAACCGCTATAGTATAATCGTATATATATATATACTGCTATAGCAGTTCCCCAGTATACTGATACTGAGTTTTATAAGGGTTGTGTAGTGTATTTATATAACTGCTAACGAAGTAAACTGTTTTATAAAACGGGGCCCTTTTTGGTTGAGTAAGTGTTGTATAGTAGTTTTTAAACGCATTATACAATTTTAGCGTTTCTATAATATGTGTTGTATAGCAGTTCTAACAACACTTACATAATCAATTTTGTTAGCTGGGGACCAACGCGACCATGAAGAAAATTCGATATTTCAGCAATGCATTAGGCACAGTAGTTAATTTCTGGTAAAAAAACAACACCAAAAGTGGTCTATATAGGTCCACACTAGAAATGGTATATCTAACCACATACAATTTGGTAAATTTTTCCTTTTTAATTGGTTAATGATCTACACGTACTATTCGTACAAAAACCTCTTAACAGTGTAAAAATCATCAAATATAATACACTCCTAGGGGTAAAAGCAACACGCAATATTGGTAAAAGAACTCCATTCAAGAGTAGAAAATGCTCAATTTGGTGTAATTTACTACACAGGTAGGTGTTACGTGTAGGTGTTAAAAATGGTGGGTGTTTTATTATTAAACACAGCATATAATGTAAAATAAAGTATATTTTATATTACTTACAAACTATTAGATATGAATACAAATAGGCTTTGGGATAAAAATTATAAAAAATGATTAACACTACTTAGGTGTAAGTATTCTTATACCTACCCAAGAAGTGTTATTTTTTTTAATTTAATGAAAAGTAGTAATATTTTAAGTTTTTCCCAGTTTGTGCAAAACCATATTTAGCTTATATAGGTATATAAGTTAAATATGATTTTTCACTAGCTAAAAAAACTTAAAATATTATTAAATTTCATATTTCACTTAAAAATAACAGGTAAAAAACGTATTTTATCCCAAACATAAGGTGCATCCACTGTCACATTGCACCACTTCACCAGACCATGGGCGCCGGAAGGAATTCGTCCAGGGGGGGGCCTTAAAGTTTTTTACAATTTTGATAGATGTTATTTATAATCAAGTTGTACTGTAGAAGTTCACATTAAACTTAAGTCAAATAAAATATCATCTTTATATGTATTTATTTATAATGGTACATATTGCAAAAAATACATCACAGTTTTTGGTAGGTAAATATGTAAATATAAAAAAATTGTATCGCCGAGGAATCTCCTATAGTAGTACAGCCGTCTTATGTATACGCTATACAAATTATGATAAATTAAAATATAACAAAAAAATTAAATACAAACATGAGTAATATTTTAAAAAGAAGTTATAACAAAAACTTAAACATAAAAAAATGTGGTTGCACTGTAGCGACTTTTTTAGGTAATACATATCGATGTTATGCTATAGCATGACATAAAGTAGTAATAACAGGCAATTTTTGTGTGTAACACGTCTTATTTTTCGTTTTGCAACACGCCTATTAGGTATTATGGTTATTTAAAATATTATACAAATTATGGAGTACCGGAATTTCTGGGTATGAATTTCCAGGGGGGGGCCCGGGCCCCCCCCTGCCCCTATGTAGCGGCGCCCATGCACCAGACCACTGAATTCTAATTTAAAAACCAAGGTCTTAAATTAAAGTAGCATGCATAGGTACACTACCATCAACTGCATTTGGAATATATACTGATCGCGCCCTTTCCTTTAGCGAATGGTGATGACTACGTGACTTTTTTACCACAATTTGTGTAGCTGTCAATACATAATAGTGTCAAAGGTACACAGCGTCGAGTTTATCTTTAAATTAACACTAGATTGACACGGTGCTGTGTTAAATGAATTTAAATTAACACGAATGCATTTTACCACAATTTAAAATAACGGCAGTTTCTGAACGAAACGCTTCCGAAGATTTTTTTGATTAGGTATCACATAAAAAGCCTTAAACCTTTGTTGGACCTGTTATCATCTTATATTATAACAGAAATAACTATAAAATAACAAGCAATGGTTTTTACCATTTTACCTTCTGGACCTATGCGACACTCTTTCAAATTTAAAATCTCTATGATGTCGTTCACTTCCAACATGCTAGCCAATTCTTTACTCGACTCTGTAGTCAGCCAGTTATCTTGCAAATTTAATTCCGTAACGAAAACGTTGATTTTTAATGCTTCTGAAATGGCTTTTATTTGGTTTGGAGTTAAACCATAAAACTAAAATAGTTTTTTTTTAATTAACTTAAAAGACGTGGGATTTTCTATGACTACTTTTAGATTCATCAGTTGTGTTGGTAGGGACTTGCATATTCTTGATATAGGTACTATTTCAAAATCCTTACACATATCCTTATACTTGTTGCAACCAATGTTATCATTGTAAAATGGTTCAGGTTCTATAATAAGATTTTTAATATTAAATTATGAAGAAACTTAATGTACCTTCATAATCAAATGCATCGTCTATCCCTGGATCGTCAAGAGGAGGAAAGTAGAATAAAGGATGAAAAATTAAGGAGCTTCTGGATACACAAACTTGCGCAAAACATTTAAATGAAGGTGTATTTTTGTAGAACCATTCATCCTTTTCTTGTTCGACTACTATTTCTTCCAACCCTGGATATTCTGCATGAATTGAATATGCAGAATCTGATTTTGTATCCAGAGAAAAGGAGGCGTAGGAGTTTAATACAAAGTGACTAGATTGAACATCCATTTTGGTAGCAATTAATTTATACGGAAAAACTATTTTTTAAAGCTATAAAGCAAATCTAACATTATGATTATGACATTAAAGTGTCATTATTTGATAGAAATCATAACCCTTTTACGTGTTTTATTTCTAGTTTTATACAGTTAAGTTTACTCAAGTTCTAAGCTCTTAAAAACATGATTAAAAAGCAATTTCATTTTATCAGTTTACCGACCTTTACAAGAACAAAGCAAATATACCTCTAGCGTTGTTTTAATCTTCTTGGATTAGTTGAAATATTTTCCTGTTAAATGGACGAATCTATCGAAGGAATTTTGAATTAAGATAAAAAATTCTATTAAAACGTGTCAACCTTAGCAGTTCATATCATTTCAATTCAGTATGGCGAAGTCACTCTGTCTCGTATTTTTGATATTTTTTGTGTTCTATTTTGCTGCTGCAGAATTAACAGTACAACGTTCAGAAAAAGCATGTAAGGACCGAAATATCCTTATAGTGTTGATTGAAGATCTGAAAATTATTTTATATTTAATTTTTTAGATCCATTTAGAAATGGCATAAGATGCAATGGATGCCCACTCCATTATTGTGATGATGATCCCAGTGTTATTTTTGGTTATTGTTGTGGATGTGCTAAATTGAACGGTAAGATTACCTTTAAGCTTTAGTTGTATTTTTATTTCAAGAATTGCATTTGTTTGTTTCAGATAATTTGCCTATCAAGTGCGACAGCATCGTGTGTCCATTGAACACCTACGAGACTTGTACCAAATACGAATATATGATGACCTGTTGCTGTTCCAGATTTTAATTTATATAAAATTATATTTGCTTAAAATCTAATTTAAGAATTATATTTATTAGATAAAAAAATAAAGAGTAAAAGTTATTAAACATTCAATTTTCTTTTTTTCTTCAAGAAACTTTCTTACCCATTACTGGTAATATTTAAAAGAATTAAATTCATGTAAAAGTTATTATTTTAGTCTTAAATTTAATTTGATCTATTCACTATTTTTTACATAAAATGTAGACTGTGCGCCTTGTAAAAATAATGTTTTTAATGAAATAAGTTTGAATATAATAGTAACATTTAAAAAAGGAAAGGGCAATTACAATAATAAAGTTTAGTTAGTTATTTTAATTTAAAGAAGTTTTTGAAACGGGGTTATGGGTATGATTATTTAAATAAAATAATTAATGCAAAGGAAAAAGCTAAACTTAAAAAGGGTTAAGTGGAAGAGCAACAAACTTTACCCATTATTATTATTATTATTACTATAATTATAAACTAAACAACAATAATTTTGAAATTTTGTATGGCGCAAGTCGTTTTTTACATCTATACCGCTTTGCTCATGCCTAATAAAACTCGTAACTAAAATGGCATTTATAAAACTTGATAAGTCTTTTATCTATGCATAATATACTATAAAAACGCACAAAATGGTGTTTAAAATTCAATTTTCAAACATCGGGTTTTGCATTTAGAGGCCTAAAATGCGAGAGTGTGTTTTTTGATTAATTACAACAGTAAAAAATAAAAAAGCAGAGCCGCAGGTATTACATTCACGTGTAATCTGAGTTGCCGACATTTAAACTTCTTTACTAGATTAAAATAAAAATAACCACATATACATTGGCTACTAATAAAGTGTTGTCTATGAATGTAGGGTGGTCCTTTTCAGGGTTGTTTTTTATATTGTTAACGTACCTTTTTTTTCTCTTAAAAGAGATATTATCACCCTCGTAGTATGAATTTTATACCTACCATGGGTACTGCATGCTTATAGTACAAATTCAATGCCTAACCATGGTAATAAAAAAACAATACTCACCAAATTTCAATAATAGTATATTACCTATGTATCAAGTTTTATAAACGCCATTTTAGTCACGAATTTAATTTAGGCACAAGCGAGCTTAAGAGCGAGTGCTTAATTAAATGAGTGCCTATAAAAGTTTATAAACGAGTTGCATACTATACCTATTTCTACAACAAATACATAATATTATCTAAAAAATGATTTAAATTAAATATTTGTATAAAGCGACATCTATACGGACATTGCCCGTTATTATTTTAATTTAACTTAACAATGATTGATACTTTAAAATATTAAAATAACTTTAAAATATGATTATGTTAAGAAAATATTTCATCATTTGATTTTTTTATTACTATAATAGCAAAATATTATCACAAAGTATTAAAAATTCTTACACGGGAAATGTTAAAGGTACAAAAAGTGACAGTTGTATTTATTGGAATGCTTGTTAGAATTTCTAACATGGGAATCTACCGGCGCGCCGGCGTTAAAATCTCAAATTTGTCTGTGAAATCAAAATTTATCCCTTGAAAATAGTAACAATCGATATAAAAGCAGTTTTTCACAGTAAAAGAGAAGAAAATGTTTTATGGGCACTGTGTGCAGTGCAAAATTTTTAATTTGTATCAGTTAAATCAAGTTAAATGTACTACTATGCCGAAATCAAAAGGTCAGTACAAACTTCCATATAATCTTTTTAAATATTGGCGTCAATAAACTATTTGATACTTTTGTATTTTTCTATTTAGATGATAAAATAATTTTTACCAGAAAGGGACTTTATTTTAACGATTGTATGACATTTGACAACTGTCAACTAACTTAAAACAAACTTCAGCCCATGACTAAAAACCTGTTGATAACTTCAGTCCGTGACTGAAGCGTATTTAAAAGGTCACTTAGTGTCGTGAAAACATGTACGAAAATGAGCGTTTTATGGGTGGAAGTAAAAAAAATATATTCTTTAGTTAGGGAGGAGTTCTTTTTATTTTTAATATATGCAGCTTAAACACCTTGTATTTCTGAAACTGTTGGGTTGTTGATATAAGTTTATCGAGAAAATATATATTATCTATTTTAACGTTTTTTAATGATTCATAAATTATTAAAGGTTCCTTTTTAACTACCCTGTATAATTAAACCTATACTCCTATTACCTTTAGGTTATACTTAAATTATTTCTCAATAAAAGTACCTAAATAACGTTTCATAGATTTAATTAGTAAAATAATTATTGTTTTTTATGAAAATCACGTTTTGAAAATGACATACCTACCCAATAAAGAAACTTCCGCTAATTTTCTCAGTAAAATTTAACGAGCTATTAATTACGTGCTTGTGTGTTCCAATATTTAACTTTATTTACCAATGCAGGAAAATAAAAATAACACGACAAATTTGTCCTATTAAAGTTAATGTAAAATTATATTTCTACCCTATCCTTAAAACATTCTTTGACAACCATTAGATAATGCAATATAAAACACTTATTTTTAAATGCGTTTGTCTAAACTAATATTAAAGTCCACATTTTTTAGATAAAAATGCGTTTAAAAGGGTTGAAATTGTACAAAAGACAACATTCACTGACAAGATGGCGAAGGTATTCTTTGTTTGTTTGTTTTTAGTTGTGGTGCTGCACTTTAATTTTAGTTCTGCGGCAAGTACGAATAAGAGTGTTAGTCGGGAAAAAAGATTTTGTAAGTATGTTTTTAATTGTGAATTATTTATGAATTTTTTATACTTTTGCAGTGTTCAGATATTTTCAAACTTGCCGAGGCTGCTCCCAAAGTTGTGTAGTGGATTTAGCAGTACATGAAGGATATTGTTGTGGATGTGCTAGATTTTATGGTAAGTTAAATTTTAATAAAATATTTTCTACCTGTGCATTTTTGACGATTTTTTGGGAGAACTTCTTAGTTATTTTTTTTCAAACCCTCAAAACTGTGTTTTTTCAGTACAAATGTCATGAAAAATAATTCTGTTTTGAAAATAACATTAGACAGAAGACTTTTTACTAAAAAGTAGGTAGCAGTTATTTACATTCTGCATCCTGAATCAGTTTTGTAATTATTATAAAAAAATATCCTTTGCAATAAAAAATGAGCAGCTTATTGATATCTTCTCATTTTATTTTATGCGTCTAGACAAGAATTTTTCTTTTATACTTATAATCCTCAGCTTCACAAGATTTATAGGTTCTCATTATATTTTATTGATTTTTTTTAGATATTTTATATTTCAGATGTAGGTATTCTATTCCCACCTTTATCGTACATGTTTAAATGACACTAAGTGACCTTTTAAATACACATTGACAAGTAGTGGCTTTATGGCCTATTAGTCACGGGCTGAAAATAGTCTTAAGTTAGTTGACAGTTTTTAAATGTCATACAATCGTTAAAATAAAGTGCCCTTCTTGTAAAATAATACTAAAGGGATAAATTTCGATTTACACACAAAAATTTAAAATTTTACATTATTCTATTGTTTTATAGATGTTGCTCTATCACAGTGCTCCTCGACTAGCCATGGGTTTTATGAAAATGGCGCCAAAAAATAGGTTCAGATATTAGTAGGCATGTATATCAAGGTTACAAAAACGCTGCAAGTCAAATCATAGCTGATCATAAAAATATGTTTTTGTGATACTTTTATTTATGTTTACATTGGACCATTGTTTTAAATTAATTTAAAAATTGGCACATAATTGGAGGTCACAAAAGTTTACATATAGGTATGTTCATTGATAAGTTGGCACTGAAATATTTGATTAACTTGTCAGTTGTCAGCCTAGGTTTGGTCTAGGGTTGTCAGTTACAGTTTGCCTTAAAACACAAATCTAATAATTTTTGTCGGTTTTATTGTTACTTTTATGATAAAATGAACCCTATTGAAATTGTAAGCAACCATGAGCATAACAGCATGTGGGCAGAATATTATTATGGGTAATACAAAATCGTCGAAATTTTTAATTACAGAATCCTAAGTTCCCAATTTCAATTTCCATCTGCAATACTTGTCGCCATGGTATCCCAAAATTTAAAAGTCAATTATTATGTAAAATTGTCCCCTGAATCCGAAAATACCGTCAAAAATTATGAAAGTGTAGCAGTTTTTGAGATAATACGTTTCAAAATGACGTGCAATTTAAGAGACTTTGAAAGCCCAGCT